CATTTAAGATCACGTACATCCCTGGGTCACAGAACGGTAAGGCAGATGCACTGTCTCGGCGGTATGACACGGAGGAGAGGTCCGTGGAGCCCACTCCCATACTGCCGGAGTCGTGTCTGGTGGCACCGGTAGTGTGGGAGGTCGATGCTGAGCTCGAGCGGGCGTTACGCACCGACCCTAGTCCACCGCAATGCCCGGAGGGTCGGAAGTACGTTCCGCTCGAGGCAAGGCAAAGGGTGGCTACTTTGAAGAATATAAAATATAAAATATATATTTGTTTAACACTTTTTTGGTTACTACATGATTCCATATGTGTTATTTCATAGTTTTGATGTCTTCACTATTATTCTATAATGTAAAAAATAGTACAAATAAAGAAAAACCCTTGAATTAGTAGGTGTGTCCAAACTTTTGACTGGTACTGTATGTAAATAAGGAACTTCTGTTTTTAATGTTTAATACATTTCCAAAAGTTTCAAAAAACCTGTTTTCGCTTTGTAATTATGGGTTATTGTGTGTAGATTGATGAGGAAAATGTTTTATTTAATCCATCTTAGAATAAGGCTGTAACATAACAAATGTGGAAAAAGTCAAGGGGTCTGAATACTTTCCAAATGCACTGTATACATATCTACCTCTATTACCTAGTACCCCTGCACATCTACTCGGTACTGGTACCCTGTGTATATAGCCAAGTTATCGTTACTCATTGTGTATCTATTCCTCGTGTTATAATTGTTCTATTATTTATCTTTTTGTTTTTATCTCTGCATTGTTGGGAAGGACCCGTAAGTATTTGACTTGGAAAATCTTACATTTCCGACTTGCTAACTGGTTGAATGGGGCACATGTATAACTAAAACCACCTATAAAGTCGGAAATTTCTCAGTTTCCTACTTCGACTAGCACTAGCATAATGGTGCATTCAAGACAACTGGGCACTCTGAAAAATACGAGGACAAATAATGACGTCAGTGATCTTCAGGTCGGAAATTCTGAGATCTAGAAAGAGGCCCAAGTTCCCGAGTTAGAATTCTGAGTTGGATGACCATTCAAAACTATTTTTCCAAGTCGGAGCTAGTTTATTTACAAGTTCTGAGTTGTCTTGAACGCACTGAAGTCAGAAGTCTGAGATTTCCGAGTTCCCACTTGTTTTGAATGGGGCATAAAATCCTGAGTTCCCACATGCTGACCTCTGACATCACCTTCTAAGGAAATGACCTTGATATCTGCATTTTTGGCAGTTAAATGCAACAACAATAATTATTTATAAAAATATGTTTTTGGAACACTATAACCAAAGATTTGTATAACTAACGCTCATTGTTCTATCTGTGCTATAACTACATTATAATTACGTTTGCTCCTGTTTGGTGGGTGTGGCTTGAAGCAATTGACGTATTTAAAGGGCAGTGGCCATGCTGACAGCAGCGTTCCTCAACTCCTCCCCGTTTTCCAACTGGTCGTTCAGTACAGTTTCCGATCAATTGAACGTTCCAGAACGTACTGAACGCAGCTAGCCCTGGTCATTCAGAACAGCACCGTTTCCATTTCATTGAACGATGCACACCTTTTTTTCGTACTGAACCTTTCTTTTATAAAATCAGTGTACTAGTAATGAACCGTTTTGAAGCCACAATTTGATGAAAGCGCCCGAAGCCTTCAGAAAGCCTCGGTTTCCCATCACTACTAAAAAAGCTCTCTCAACACTCGATACTAGTGTGACTAAATAGGCTCTCTCAACACTCGATACTAGTGTGCTACAATTTCAAGATAGATTCCTCTACGGTGTGGCTCAACGCCCCAAACTATCTTTCCGCCTGCTGCTAAGAAGGTGAAATATCTAGGGGTGTGTTCGTAAATTCACTCTGGAGTGCTAGAGTGCTCTCTGGGTGTTCGTAAATGTGATCGTTCGATCAATCAAGCACCCATGCTAACTTGCTAAAGTTGGCTAGCTTGCTAGCTACTTCCATATACAAATGAGAGAACAACTCACTCTGACCATTTTACTCGCCCTTGCAGAGCTGGTTAGGCTGTTTTCATGTTATCTAGAGCGTTGGTGACTGTAACCGTTTTCTGACACCTGTCATATTCAACGGGTGTTGCACGTTCGTAAATTCCTCAGTTATTCTGCGCTCTGGCACACAGACGAGTGGTCTGAAGTCGGAGTAGATAGCAAGAGTGAATTTACGAACGCACCAGAATTAGATAGCCAGAGTGAATTTACGAACTCACCCCTAGATAAAAAACGGAAGCTTCCATCAGAGGTCGGTGGTCATATGCCTACGTTCACTTGCTAGTCGAAACTCAGAAACTCTGACATTTTTGACTTGCTGATTCATTGAACCCTGCACGTGTATAACTACAAACAGCAAGTAAGACATTTCCAAGTTTCCTAAATCCGACTAACATGTCAACGCGGCATTTGCCTGTCAAATGGTTGTGTGACGTCCGAAGCTTCAAACGTCATTATCGGAGTTGAGAGATTCGAAAAGATGGCGGAGGCGGCTGATGAAGTGGATTGTGAATCTAATGGCAGTAGTGTAGTATCTGAACATTTATAGCTTTGGCTGAGGTTTTCATATTGTTGGTTAAATGAACTCTGCTTTGCTGAAACATCTGGAAAGTATTACTATAGGGCCCCCCTGAAACAGAGGACACTTGGATATGTGGAGGCCAGGGATTGGTCTATCCAAAACACCCATCTTATGTTACATAGGATATATATCAGGTTTTGAACAAAGGACGGGGAGAATAATCATATTTGAGATTGGGTTAGTTGTTCTCCAGATTCTGCAGAAATCTGTAAATTGATGCTGAAATCTTTCATGTAATAAAAGTTATAATCAAGTACAGTGTCAGCGGATTCCATGTCAACACAGCATTGCAGCATTGTCTCGACACCACAGTAGAATCAAGGAGGATTGGAGTATTGTTCAAAATAACGGAAAAAGGAGCAAAGTAGGATACAGTGCGGAGAATGTCCCTTTATATCTTGTAGGAGTAAGGTTTGTTAATGAGGAGCAGCTTATCGAAATACCAATCTTGAAAATCCATTTGACCTATCCAAACTGGTGTAGAGAGTGATGGGTAAAGTGAAGGATGTGAGGATCACGAGAGGCGGGTTTGTTTTGATTTTTTGTACTTCTGCGGATCAGAAGGAACGTGTGTTGCGGCTCTCCGGATTTGAAAAGTTTGACGTGTCATGTGTGTCTCTTCGGAACAGGGTACCCCTTGTGGGGTTCTATTTTCTAATAATTGGATCTGTATGTGATGAATAGCTTAGAAGGAATGCATTAATGATAAGCATAGGTTTGTACTGTACTGATATGAATTGTTTCACATAACAGGCTGTGATTCATGTAAGAACGTTAGGGGGAGGGACAGATAAGACTTGTATTTCTTACAGATACGAACACTGCCTCTTTGTTGTCTGTGAACCATCCTTGGACGTAGGAATGGTGTCTAGGGGAGCTGGCTCTTCTCACCATGACAGGTTGTTATGATAAGAACTTATGCCTGGCAACAGGGATGCGCCAAGGGTCTGGGACTAGCCCGTGCGTCAACGGATAGGCTGAGTAAGTCTAAACCACGCTCAGTCTCTACTCTGATTGGCCAGCAGAGAGGTAGGAACTCTCTCTCTGTCAGAGTATTTGAGGAAGAACCTGTAACAATGGATTAGTTCTCTGAGTGCCCTGCGAGGTATTTCAGTGGACCCGTATATACGAACGTCATATTTACCATTGAAGATTTTGCATTAATTAAAATACTAGTCTATTTAGAAGACGTGTATTGACCTCTTTTGTTCCTAATACCAGATTTGAATTGACGCAACTTAACACCCTCAAGGGGATAATATCTGGCGTCCCTTGGGAAGTCGATGTTAAAGAGATAAAAAATATTCCTGGAGTGGTTGATGGATGAATCGAGTGGTGAATGATGAAAAAGTGAAGAGTTTTTGTCTTTTGATATATAGTCTCTCCCTACTCAAGTGCAGTTGGGGTATATAAACTAAAAAGTCAGAGCATTTATCCCAAGACCAATGCAGTGTGATCACTGTAAAGCCTTTGGTCATGTGTCAAGGGTTTGCAGAAGGGAGAAACCGAGATGTCCAAGTTGTGGAAAATATCATTTAATGTGTTATAAAAGTGATGAAAAAGTGAAATGTTGCAATTGTGGTGGGAACCATGAAGCCACGTCTTTTGAATGCCTGACAAGGGTGAAAGAAAATGATGTGGCCAAAGTTAGGGATGTACAGAGCATTTCCTATGCAGCAGCGGTTAAAAGGGTTGAGGGTTTGAATGGTGCTCCTGAAGAGTCCATGGTAGTGGACAGGCCTTCAATGCAAGCTGCAGGGGTTGCCTTTCACCAAGATCATCCTGACATTTTAAAGGTTAAAAAGGTGGACTTTGTGGCCTTTATCACAATGGTGATTAATGGCACTGCCAAGGTGGAGAAAAGATCTAGGAAGATAGAAATCATTGTGGTGGCGGCTGAACGGTTCCTGGGGCTGAAAGATTTCTCGGCAAAAGAGTTACATGGAATATTGTCAAAAGCCGTACCACCATCTCAGGCCCTAGAGACTGAGAATGGAGATATGGAGATTTAAAAGAAGGAAGAAATGGGAGCTTTGTTTTGTCAATGTACTATTTTATTTGGGTGGATTTAGTTAGTTTCCCAATTATGTATGGATTTTTCTTTTGTTACATGGAATATTGGCAAAAGCCATATCACTCTATCATGTCCTAGAGCATGAGAAGGGAGATATGGAGAACTAAAAGAAGGAAGAAATGGGAGTTTTGTTTGTTTTGGCAATGTACAATTTTTATTAGGGTGGAGTAAGTTAGTATCACTAAAGTATGTATTTATTTTTTATGTTATATATTTTGTGGTTTCAAACCGTCCAGTTGGTGGCGGCAATACAACTTTTGGATGTAGTCCGCCATAAAACCCACAGAAGAAGAACGTCATCATCACGTGGTATTGTTACTTCGACGCAAGCGTCGATACGTTGTGTCGAATCGTAGTGCTGTGAAAACGGCATCGGAGTTCAGGTGTAAATCGTTGCATCACTACCAGATAGAGTTGCTAATGGTAAATATTAATGTCGAGTTTACATAAGGTTAGCCAACACACCACTTTAAATCAGTGCTCAGAAGCTTGATAGCCAGCTTACCTTAGCATCTCCAGTGTGCTAGTAGTGCTGCTAGAGAGCAGATATCGTTGAAGTTCCAGCAATGTCAATGTGGAAGGGACTGCACATGACAGCGCGTGCCGCTCATGGAATTCATGTTTCCTCGCGATTTATCCATAAACACACGCAACTCTGCACCCTTTGGTCCCGAAACATCAACACTGGTAGACCCGTGCAAAATGAGTTCTTCAAAGGTGAGATGATCAACTTTTTTCACTTTTGCCTTTGTGTCCTACCTAGCTAGCTAATTTGCCAAAGTAGTTTCCATGACATTTCATATTCCTCTATAGAAATTGATGATAAACTACTATATGCATTTTGATTGTTGACATTTTGTGCCGTTTGCTGTAATAATATACTTTTTGTTGACATTGTGTTGAAATGACTCCCTTACATAATTTTAGTATGGTAACCTGTATTTGAAATTAGATCTGAAAGGGAAAAATAACTGTTGAAATTCTTCTTGTAGTTGGTGTGAATGCCATGTATTATCATCAAGTCCCTCTGCAGCCAGATATGAGAACTAAGTCACTTTAGTAGTTACAACCAGATAACTAGAATGACACATTCAGAGTGCCTTATAGTCCCGTGTAGCTCAGTTGGTAGAGCATGGCGTTTGCAACGCCAGGGTTGTGGGTTCGTTTCCCACGGGGGACCAGTATAAAAAATTAAATAAAAAATGTGTGCACTCACTAACTGTAAGTCGCTCTGGATAAGAGAGCCTGCTAAATGACTAAAATGTAAAATGTCCTAATAGAAATAACAATAACAATCTATTTCTCAACACAGATCTGGAGAACCAGTTCAAAGCGTTCAGGGAGAAAGCGGCGGACGCCATGCCTGGCAGTGACTGGACTCCGTTTGAGAAGAACCGCTCACTCCCCCCTGAGAGGGCGGACATCGTGATCGTAGGAGGTGGCGTGGTGGGCTGGTCCATTGCCTATTGGCTGAAGCAGAAAGAGATGATTCGGGACGGGGTGCGGGTGCTGGTGGTTGAGAAGGACCCCACTGTGAGTGGCCTAGGCTGTGTCACGTGACCTCACTCACGTCCTTACATTTTACATTTTAGTCATTTAGCAGACGCTCTTATCCAGAGCGACTTACAGTTAGTGAGTGCATACATTTTCATACTGGCGTCCTCTGAATACATTTGAACCTCAAGCTATGTCCCAATAATCTCTCCTGTCTCTGTGTGCACATGTTCACTTCCCTTCACTGATTTTAAAGGAAATGACTGGTATAAGAAATATGGTGGAAACTCCCAGTACCCATGCCTCTATCAATCCAATGCTTTTAGATTTGTGGGAAGTAGTAAACGAGTGCATATTATTGGGATGCACCTCAGGCTTGGGGCTGTCCTAATGGTCGCTGAAACGTTCCTTTCCATATCACCTTTCCTTGATGACCAAGTATAAACAAAGAGACTAGACTCTTAAGTCATCTTAGATCAGATGCTAGTCAAATCATTTGAGACTGCTACACCATCACAGAGTAGTGCACAGACTAAATCTATGTGCTAATCTGTATCTTCTATCTCCCTGTCTATCCAGTACTCCCAGGCCTCCACGGTGCTGTCTGCTGGGGGGATTCGACAGCAGTTCTCCCTGCCAGAGAACATCCACCTGTCCATGGCCTCTGCTGACTTCATGAGGAACATCAATGTAGGTCACTGACACTGTGACCACCAGCAAGTATCAGCCATTAAGTCACTGTGACCACCAGCTTGTGTCAGCTATTAGGTCACTGTGACCTCTAGCTAGTGTCAGTCATTAAGTCACTGTGACCACCAGCTAGTGTCAGGTTGTTTACTGTGACATCTAGCTAGTGTCAGGTTGTTTACTGTGACATCTAGCTAGTGTCAGGTTGTTTACTGTGACATCTAGCTAGTGTCAGGTTGTTTACTGTGACATCTAGCTAGTGTCAGGTTGTTTACTGTGACATCTAGCTAGTGTCAGGTTGTTTACTGTGACATCTAGCTAGTGTCAGGTTGTTTACTGTGACATCTAGCTAGTGTCAGGTTGTTTACTGTGACATCTAGCTAGTGTCAGGTTGTTTACTCATATAATACAGTACTCATATAATACAGTTGACCATTTCCATACACCACTTGAGTTGTCCACATGAGGCATTGGCAACCCTGTCAATATATGGCCAATCTGCAGTCAAAATGTACTATTTGTATCTATTATGGGATTCCCATTAGCTGCTTCCTGAATACACAAAAGTGTTTTTTGTTCTTCATAAAAGGTTTGGGTTTTAAGCATAAGGTTAGGGATAGTTTTTAAATAATTTTTAGGGAGATAGTGGTACTTCTGTCTTTGCAGCTTGGGACAATAGTGACAACTATCAATTTGTTTATGGCATTCTATAGCCCTGTTGATTAAGTGTTTTTTGATTGTTTGAGTGTAAAGTGATTGACAGTTTGTTGTGCCTTCTCAGGAACACTTGAGTGTACTGAATGAAGACCCCGTGGACCTGCAGTTCAACCACTCCGGATATCTCTTTCTGGCCAGTGAAAAAGTGGCTCATATCATGGAAGAAAACTACAGCACCCAGAGGTGAACACTTGTACCCTACATGCTACACTTACGCACCCTACACAAAAATATGCCATCATGCAAATATTTAAATGGACCCTGATGCCGTAATTTGACAATCGCTATTCATTTTAATTCAAAATCAGACATGCTGGAGCAAAAGTCTCTCTTCTTTCACCCACACAACTGAAGGAGAAATTTCCATGGATCAACACTGATGGAGTAGTGCTGGCTTCATATGGTGAGTACAGATCTTCTTTGTGACTTTGTTATTGTTATGAGTGACAGAAGACAATATAGTATTACCTGAAACGCTTAAGGGGGCATAATCTGGGTCCATGCAACAATAAGACAATGAATATTGTCTTCTTTAAAGCAAATGTAGCATATGCAGTCTTTGGTACATTGACTGAGATCTGAGATCCAATAAGCAATATGTTCAACATTTCTGAACAGTTGCAATATACACTCAGTGGCCAGTTTATTAGGTACTAGGTACACCCAACTACTGGGTCGAACCCCCCTTTGCCTCCAGAACAGCCGAAATTCTTCGGGGCATGGATTCTAGAAGGTGTCAGAAACGTTCAAACTTTGCTCAATTGGTATCAAGTGACCTATCTTGTGCCAGGAAAACATTCCCCACACCATTACACCACCGCCACCAGCCTGTACCGTTGACACCAGACAGGATGGGGCTCTGCCATCAGCATGACTCAACAGGAACCGGGATTCGTCGGCCCAGGCAATGTTTTTCCCACTCCTCAATTGTCCAGTGTTAGTGATCGCGTGCCCACTAGAGCCGCTTCTTCTTGTTTTTAGCTGATAGGAGTTTAACATTTTTACATTTTAGTCATTTAGCAGACGCTCTTATCCAGAGCGACTTACAGTTAGTGAGTGCATACATTCTTTTTTCATACTGGTCCCCCGTGGGAAACGAACCCACAACCCTGGCGTTGCAAACGCCATGCTCTACCAACTGAGCTACACGGCCGGCCTCCTGGGCTTTTAACCCGGTGTGGTTGTCTGCTGCTATAGCCCATCTGTGACAAGGACCGAGAAGTTGTGCGTTCCGAGATGTCATTCTGCACACCACTGTTTTACTGCGCTGTTATTTGCCTGTTAGCTTGCACAATTCTTGCATTCTCCTTCGACCTCTCTCATCAACGAGCTGTTTTCGCCGACAGAACTGCCGCTTACTGGATGTTTTTTGTTTGTCGCACCATTCTCGGGAAACCCTAGACACTGTCGTGCGTGAAAAGCCCAGGAGGCCGGCCGTTTCTGAGATACTGGAACCGGTGCGCCTGGCACCGACGATCATACCACGCTCAGGTCACTCGTTTTGCCCATTCTAACGTTCAATCGAACAGTAACTGAATGCCTCTGTCTGCCTGCTTTATATAGCAAGCCACGGCCACGTGACTCACTGTCCTCACTGTCTGTAGGAGCGAACCATTTTCGTGAACGGGGTGGTGTACCTAATAAACTGGTCACTGAGTGTATAGCCAGTGTGTTGTACGCCCTGTCTTCGTCAATGTATCTCTAAATTCAGTACTGTTAGCCAGTTAAGCATGCTTTCAGTGCAGCAGTCCAGACACATGTCTGTCAAGTAATTCACTGATTAACCTTTTACACTCATACCCGTATACAGGTTGAAAATTGCAGATTGACACTGATAAGTGCCTAAATTTGAACGCAGTGGCTGTACAGTAACATGCTAAACATGAAGTCAGAGCTCAGGGTCTCTGCTTCACAGCTCTGTATGGGTTTTGACTGACAGCCATTCTGAACTTGAGCACCTCGCGCAACAAAAAGTTGCCCCCATGCAAATGTTTTGTCTGAGTGAGGAAATGCTATAAATTACGAGGACTCTGTATTTTGAAAGATGAGACGTTGAGGATTATATTAAATACTGCTTTGATGTCATACAAGCAAGCCAAACACTGAGTCCAAATGTGCACTTCACATTGCCATATCAAAGAACTAATTTACAGTGAGGGAAAAAAGTATTTGATCCCCTGCTGATTTTGTACGTTTGCCCACTGACAAAGACATGATCAGTCTATAATTTTAATGGTAGGTTTATTTGAACAGTGAGAGACAGAATAACAACAACAAAATCCAGAAAAACACATGTCAAAAATGTTATAAATTGATTTGCATTTTAATGAGGGAAATAAGTATTTGACCCCTCTGCAAAACATGACTTAGTACTTGGTGGCAAAACCCTTGTTGGCAATCACAGAGGTCAGACGTTTCTTGTAGTTGGCCACCAGGTTGGATTTTGTCCCACTCCTCTTTGCAGATATTCTCCAAGTCATTAAGGTTTCGAGGCTGACGTTTGTTCAACTCGAACCTTCAGCTCCCTCCACAGATTTTCTATGGGATTAAGGTCTGGAGACTGGCTAGGCCACTCCAGGACCATAATGTGCTTCTTCTTGAGCCACTCCTTTGTTGCCTTGGCCGTGTGTTTTGGGTCATTGTCATGCTGGAATACCCATTTTCAATGCCCTGGCTGAGGGAAGGAGGTTCTCACCCAAGATTTGACGGTACATGGCCCTGTCCATCGTCCCTTTGATGCAGTGAAGTTGTTCTGTCCCCTTAGCAGAAAAACACCCCCAAAGCATAATGTTTCCACCTCCATGTTTGACGGTGGGGATGGTGTTCTTGGGGTCATAGGCAGCATTCCTCCTCCTCCAAACACGGCGAGTTGAGTTGATGCCAAAGAGCTCAATTTTGGTCTCATCTGACCACAACACTTTCACCCAGTTCTCCTCTGAATCATTCAGATGTTCATTGGCAAACTTCAGACGGGCATGTATATGTGCTTTCTTGAGCAGGGGGACCTTGCGGGCGCTGCAGGATTTCAGTCCTTCACTGCGTAGTGTGTTACCAATTGTTTTCTTGGTGCCTATGGTCCCAGCTGCCTTGAGATCATTGACAAGATCCTCCCGTGTAGTTCTGGGCTGATTCCTCACCGTTCTCATGATCATTGCAACTCCGAGGTGAGATCTTGCATGGAGCCCCAGGCCGAGGGAGATTGACAGTTATTTTGTGTTTCTTCCATTTGCGAATAATCACACCAAGTGTTGTCACCTTCTCACCAAGCTGCTTGGCGATGGTCTTGTAGCCCATTCCAGCCTTGTGTAGGTCTACAATCTTGTCCCTGACATCCTTGGAGAGCTCTTTAGTCTTGGCCATGATGGAGAGTTTGGAATCTGATTTGATTGATTGCTCTGTGGACAGGTGTCTTTTATACAGGTAACAAGCTGAGATTAGGAGCACTCCCTTTAAGAGTGTGCTCCTAATCTCAGCTCGTTACCTGTATAAAAGACACCTGGGAGCCAGAAATCTTTCTGATTGAGAGGGGGTCAAATACTTATTTCCCTCATTAAAATGCAAATCTATTTATAACATTTTTGACATGCGTTATTCTGTCTCTCACTGTTCAAATAAACCTACCATTAAAATTATAGACTGATCATGTCTTTGTCAGTGGGCAAACGTACAAAATCAGCAGGGGATGAAATACTTTTTTCCCTCACTGTAAGATAGTGTCAACGTTTATGATCACTATGTTTGATATACAGTTACAAGATGACATGGCGTTATACCCTGGGTTGTCCTGAACATAATGAGCCTGTGTTGTATTGTGAAGAGAATTTGCTGCGGACCACACATCGGAATGCACTCATGACTCCTTTCTATGCGCACCAAAATTACTATCTGCTTTTCTGAATTGCCTTGTGAAAGCCTAACACGAAGATTGTATTTTATAATTTAGTTAGTCATGTTGGAAATAGAAGAAGCTTTCAAATGATGCCCAACTGAGCCAGATTGTGATTTATAATGGGCTGTTTTTGGATTGCGTAAAAAAATTAAAATAATAATTGTATAAAGGTGGGGATGCAGGGTTGTGTTCCAAACAAAACAACTACAAGTGTGCTTGCTCTAGTTCCTCAACGGCATAGCTAGTAGACAAAAAAAAAAAGACTCTACTTTGCAGCGAAAAGTACAGTAAATGTAAAATGCACATCATATCAAGTGTAATGTTTGGATTCAGTCTTGTGTCAACTGTTGTCCTCACCTTTAGTGTAATAATTTTCCCATAATCTCCTAACTGTTCCCTTTTAATTGCTAATATGGTTATGCATATGCTTTCCATATTTCTTCTGCAAGAAACATTTCAATGTAGCCCTATCCATATAGGCCAATTCCCATGAGTGTAAGGGGTTAGCTACTGGAACACTAGGGAGTATGTCTTGCATAACTTTTCCAGTAATGTTGATTGTTATCAGTGGAACAATATAATCCTGTTAGTGTTCTCACACACTGCTCGTGAAGAAAAGCAATCCATCAATAATTTGCAACCTGGCACAGACTCGCCCCATGATTTTGTTGGCTAGAACCAATGAAATGACTTCCTTTCTGGGTTAAGCATAAACTGGCTCTCTTCTCCGAAGTGATCTCTACTTTGACAATGTCACCTCCTCCCTTTGCCCTTTTTGCCCCCAGGGCTGGAGAACGAGGGCTGGTTCGACCCCTGGATGCTGTTGAACGCTTTCAGACGGAAGGCCATCTCCATGGGGGTCTACCAGTGCTTTGGAGAAGTCACAGGTTTGTGCTTGTGCCAATGTCACAGCGTTGTGGAACAGACAAGCCATGTACACACTACTGAGCCAAGCTAAACCAATCTAACCGAGCTGTATATTGATGATTTTGGTGATGCTGTGTTTCAGGTTTTAGGTATACCACAAACACAATGACTACTGCAGAAGGAGACAAGGTGGATTTCAGGAGAATTAAGTATGCTAATGTAAGTATGACTCCTGATTTGTGCAAGGAAAATTTTCACTGAACATTAACTCCAATTCAGTTGCTGTGTTTACCTCGATCTCCTGTGTTTTAGAGGGCAAACTAATTTAGTGTGCAGACTCATTCCTGAGTCAAGATCAAAAGATTTTAACACCCAGATCATCACTTGAGTTAATCAACGCAGGGTTGAGAGAAACAGTTGAGTAGGGCAAAACATTTTGCAACAGTAAACATCATCCCCCACGAATGATGCACCCCCCCCCCCCCCCTCTCTCTGGCAAGACGCATCATTCACCCAAGTTTCGCCAAAATCGCCAGTGCTGTCTGAGGTCGCATGTGACTAACGGACAGACGGAGACTGAACTACAGTCCCCTCCCCAATTTCATCATAGGGGACAACAATCTGTATTTTACAGTAATTTGGACATGTTCAAGTAATACCTCCCCATTTCAAAATGTTTGTCCCTACTGAACACGACCCAGCTCAAACAGTAGCTAGGATCTCTCCACCATTATGGTCCATTCCTAAGTACCTGTCCCTGGTGTCTTGAGTAGGTCCAGATGCCCAACAGTCTGGAGTACCAGCCTGTGGAGTGTGCCATCGTAGTGAACGCTGCAGGTGCCTACTCCAGTAAGGTGGCAGAGATGATGGGCATCGGGTTCGGCCCGAAAGACACCATCGCTGGCATCCCGCTACCCGTGGAGCCCAGGAAAAGGTACGTTGAATAGAGGAGCATGAATGGATGTAGTTGGAACACAAAGGCTCCCCACCCCCCGATGTACTGTATCATAACACTGATGATATCACAAATCACCGGCTACTTTGGGGGGAAAAAACTGTATCAGGCCTCTGTATATTATGTGTTTGTGGTACTGATATATCAGTGTATTTCTTGTGGGTCTTCGTCTAGGTTCATCTATGTGGTCCACTGTCCAAACGGGCCAGGGCTGGACACTCCCTTCCTCGTAGACTACTCTGGAGTGTACTTCAGACGAGAGGGGCTGGGAGGAAACTACATTGCTGGGATGTCACCAGAGGAGGTGAGGAAGAGGATTGCCTTATTCCTCTCTAACTATTACATTTTGAACCCTGAGTCAGCTGATGAGGTCGCTCTTCCAAAAATTATCTAGATTCTATATTAGGCTAACCTCAAATAATGGTTCAATAAACAGCATTCAGTAAGCTCAAAAATGGGAGAAAACGCTTTGAGACAGAACAACCAATTAGTTTTTGGTTGAGGGATTTCTCCTTTCTCCCATCTTTGCTCTACTGAACTCGCCCCAAAGGAGTCTGGGAAGTGGTGTTCATTATTTGCAACCCCTTCAGGAAGAGGAGCCAGAGACCAATAACCTGGAGGTGGACCACGAGTTCTTCCAGGAGAAGATCTGGCCCCATTTGGCCCACCGGGTCCCTGCCTTTGAGTGCCTCAAGGTAAATTGATGTACCATTGCAACCACAGAATTACATAGTAAAATGGGTCTTAATAGTTCCAACCTTCCTCGCCTCTGAAAACTGGGTTGTGTTCAGTAGGCACCAAATGTTAGAAACAGGGCGGTTCCATCCGTATGCTCTAATGAACGTTCCCTTTTCCGAGGGAAAGTCAGTACAGTTGATAAATCTATTGCTACTGTTTCTGCTTCTGTCCTTTGTGCTGCTTTCAAATTAGCTCCATATCTTTGCCGATAACTTCTGTCCCTCCTATTTTAACACCGTCTCTCTTCACTCCTTTCAGGTGACGAGCGCATGGGCCGGCTTCTATGACTACAACACATTTGACCAGAACGGCATTGTGGGCATGCACCCGCTGGTCAACAACATGTTCTTCGCCACAGGCTTCAGCGGGCACGGGCTGCAGCACTCGCCGGCAGTGGGGCGCGCCATGGCCGAACTCATCCTGGACGGGGGCTTCAAGACCCTGGACCTGAGCGCCCTCAGCTTCAAACGCATCATGACCAAGGAACCCATGTTAGAGCGGAACATTGTCTAAGAGGGAGAGGATGAGTTGGACATTTTGGCGAAGGGAGAAAAGAGGAATGCCTTGTCCCATTCTACAGTCTTGCGGTATATGGTCTCGAAATGTGAGTTTGCACAAGTTTCTGGTAAGGTGAATGGTGTCCTATTCATTTCTTCACTAAAGTGCATGAGGGAACGACCGCACAATTCACAAGCTCAATTCAGTGGTCTACCGGTGAGACCACATAGCAACGGCCTCAGCCAAAGTGCTTTGTACTTAGAAACAGTCACCCATAGCTTGGGAGTGCTCAGAACTCTGACCGCAAGAATGGAAAAAATGGGATGAGGCAGAAACGCATCTCAGGAAGGAGTGAGGGACTTTGTGGGATGAGGAAGAGAAGAAAGGGGGTAGAAGAGAGCCCTGACAGCAAACATGGACTTCTGAAGTTGCCACTGAATTTAAGATGCCCAATATCTAACATACTGTACAGAATAATATATGGTACAGACATACAATGTGTTGTCGCAATTAGAAAGTCTTTGTTGGATATTGGAGTAAATTCCATTCCTCCAATGGTAAACCTGTATTGTATGGCTTGATTATGCATCTATAGATAAAACATTCAGGATATGTTTTGTATGAATAATATAGCTGGGGCGAACAGGAGCTAGGCCTACCCCTGGGATAACAGGAGCTAGGCCTACCCCTGGGATAACAGGAGCTAGGCCTACCCCTGGGCTAACAGGAGCTAGGCCTACCCCTGGGCGAACAGGAGCTAGGCCTACCCCTGGGCGAACAGGAGCTAGGCCTACCCCTGGGCGAACAGGAGCTAGGCCTACCCCTGGGCGAACAGGAGTTAGGCCTACCCCTGGGCGAACAGGAGCTAGGCCTACCCCTGGGCGAACAGGAGCTAGGCCTACCCCTGGGCGAACAGGAGCTAGGCCTACCCCTGGGCGAACAGGAGCTAGGCCTACCCCTGGGCGAACAGGAGCTAGGCCTACCCCTGGACTTATGGTCAACGAAAATAGTGTATTTCACTGGATCCCAGTAACTGGAAATACTAGTTTGATGTACTTTCTGAGAGCACTACTCACCACTCTACCAATTGATGTCCAGTATTCCTGGCTAGTGACCGTCTTTAATAGTCCCCTGTAGCTCAGTTGGTAGAGCATGGCGCTTGCAACGCCAGGGTTGTGGGTTTGTTTCCCACTGGGGGCCAGTATGAAAATGTATGCACTCACTAACTGTAAGTCGAGCGTCTGCTAAATGACTTAAATGTGATTTTGTAATTGAAGCCATGGGTGTCTAAAGTAGTTAATTTGACTCTTGATCACATATGAAGCATTAACATTTATACAAATACATGTGATGCGGTAGACGTCAATAGATTGACCAAAACAATGGAAACGCCCCCCACGCCCCCCTGGGGGGTAGGTCCAGAGTCTCCTCATTGCCGCCCATCAAAATTATCCTACATTTAGGCTATTGTTTGTATTTCACACTGTTGGGGTAAGAATCTGAGCATAATCCTTGTATAGATGTCAACCCCAATCCATGTTCATGTTATCGTCACCAATCAACTGCATTACAGTTAAACGACGACTGACTACCACCCCTGATTTCTATATGCTAGTTATGCTACAACCTTATTCGAACGGGAGTTGGCATTTAGCAGACATTTTTGTAAACCTGAAAAGGACAACTTTTAAATATTATGCAGCGAGAACAATATATCCAAATATATCCAAATCGGATTTTAGTAACCACCTTGTGGGCCTGTTCAGAACACAATCATGACGGATTTGACGAATATCCACTTAAGTTAGATCAGCTTTTTTTTTTTTATGGGCGCCAGTGACTGCGTCCTTCTATCCACCACAGTCTGCGTTCCATCTCTTTACCGCATGTATGGTTGTTTTCTTCAGTGTGTTGATCTCCTGCTGCATGTGCATTGCTTATTTTACAGGCCAAATTTCACTGCAATAAATTCCCTTAATATTTGAAATGACTGCCTTGTTTGAATTATGTTTAGCCAAAGCGTTTTTATTTTCAGCACATACCTGAAAAAGCCCTCCAATTCCCATACATTGAAAGTCATAATGTAAAAAAAGTGACATTTAAACCCACACAAGCTCTAATAGGAGTAGATTCACACTTTTCTCCATAAAACAATATCATTAATTTTTATCATTTCTTCTTCTTTATCAGCATGTCCACAACAGATGGCGCTTTGCGTTTTCTACCTTCAAAAGCAAGAGAAAGAGTTAATCCATTCCTACTCTTTATATAAATTCAAACCATTGCAAATAGGGGTGTAACGTTTAAACGAATTTGGGATCGTCAACGTTTCGATTTATTTTTTACAAATAATGCTACAACAATGCTGTAAATATAAGATATGATATGCATCTTTTAAATTATTTGCCACTGATATAAAGCGCTCCGCACCTCATTGTCGTTAACCGTTGGAAAAATGGCAGAGAGTGAGACATGAAAGCAACAGCAGTGAAGTCCTGTATGGCAATACCTTAGTTAAATGAGAAGTTGATGAAATGCAAACTGCAAGGTGGAATTCAGCTACAGTAGTGCAATGCTGAAAGGGAGGCACCGTGAGACCCAACCCATTGCTGGCAGCAGTGGGATAAGGGACTGCGTGAGAAAATCATTGCAGCCATTGTCAATGGTAGAGGATGTCGGCTTCAATACCCTAATGGCATATCTAGGACCAGACTACAAGATGTCATGTCGAAAAACCGTGACAAACCAGATGGAGAAATTGTACAATGATTGCTCTGCAAATGCAAAGCGTAAACTCTCAAACACCATACGTGGTGTTAATACATTGTTGGACGTCTATGAAGACGCTGCAACGAGCCATGTAGTCCCATGTACTAGGAACATGGAGCAGAGGCACACAGAGAACCTAAAACGGCATTTACACCATCGTTATGAGTGGGTAGGGGACAGCAGTAAGGTGAGTGCCGTCTGGTAGGTAGCCAGGACTGCATTAGACGTAATGTTTTGTTTGTTTAAACGATAAATGGCAGTTTAAACACTAAGAAAATGTGTACATTTGTCACATACCTACTTGCAAACCATGAGCTTCAAATATTCATTCCATCAAGAAGGATATAGCAGCACATATTTATTACATGTATTTGGACAAGAAACAGCTAATCTGCAGTCCCTGTCAAATGCCTACGATTAGTACTTTCACCAACAGTATCATAACTTGTCAGTACTAGCGATAAGTAGTGCTTTGTAAGGCATTCAGGGTGATATTCTGATTTAAGATCCACGTGCACAACTTGGACTTTCACATATCATTTATTGATATCAATGGGAGACTTGTGTGCAAGTTTGAGCATGCAGATCCAAAGTCAGAATAATGGCGCTCTGTGTTATCCTATTCTATGGTTAAGATTGGGGGAAGCTGATCCTATATCTGTACCTAGGGGAAACAAACCTTTCTCCTTGCCGGGTGACTCCTCGCTGGAATGTGGGGATCTCTTGGCGTAGGCCGCCTTCATCCTCTGGATGTTCTTCTTGCTGATTACCTCGTGCGCCACTATGGGCCGTGGGTAGTCCTTACCCACGATGCACCCTGCTGCCTCCTGGACGCTGCGTGGAGCCTTCCACGGCTCATAGATGTACTGTGCTGGGTATTTCTTCAAGAGGGGCAGGTAATTCCTTCAATACACAGGTTCATGATTGGTTGCGGTTAACAACCATAGAATTAGGATTACAACAGAATTAGGTCAGGGAGTTGGTCAACCATGGTTTGCCAGTGCTGTGATAAGATATTGTGTAAACCAATGAATGTGAAGAATATATCTGCACTGTATGTGTGTTGGCTAGCTAGCCAGACAGTCTTAGAGGAATGATTCCATCATATTTTCTAATGAACCGCCAATATGCCAACATTCCATTCAAACAGTGCACTCAATCCACAGCCATAGACTGGCTCAAATCAGTTGATAATAGGACTTGGACAAGTTGTAAATGCAACAAGTACTGATACTGTATCATAAATCGCACTCACAGCTTTCCAAGAGAACAAAATCTGAGACGTTTATAGTCTGTTTACATATATTTTAGGGTTAGGTTTTTTTTTTTTTTTTTTTTTTAGTCATTTAGCAGACGCTCTTATCCAGAGCGACTTACAGGAGCAATTAGGGTTAAGTGCCTTGCTCAAGGGCACATCGACAGATTTTTCACCTAGTCGGCTCTGGGATTAGAACCAGCGACCTTTCGGTTACCGGCACAACGCTCTTACCCACTAAGCTACCTGCCGCCCGTTGGCTGGTTGGTATAAATGGGTATAAAACCTGTATAAACTGTATTTATAATTATATGACAATATTTTAGGTTGACTATAATTCCATTTCACATTTTATGATCCATCACATGCCTTACTTTTATTTTTCTGCATAGGTAAAAGCAGGAAATGCGTCACCTATGCCTCTACTGCCATTAATTCCAATTAGACTGGTTTACGACATAGATCTTACTAGAGGGGCTATGTTAACAACAGTTGGTGGTACGCACCACGACAGTTTAGGATTCAGATCATGGTATTACAAGGTAATAAATCTAACATTCTGGCTTTGGTAAGGGTTAATGTTCTTACTTGATGTAGTCTCCGTTTTTGTCTGTTTTCTTGCCAAAGGCGATGGGCGAGTAGACCCTGAAGTACTGGTGAAAGAAAGTACTAGCAGAGAGCCACTGCCAGTTCCCAGCATTCAGGGACCAGTCTCCATCCAATAACAGTTCCTCAAATACCTGTGGTAGGAGCAAACAGGGTCCAATGAGAAACAACTCAATAATACAGTGGTCAGAACTTGAAGTCCATCTAAATATTCTGAAATAGTGTCAATACCTTGTCTCAGGCCTATTGATTCCAACGTTTTCAGATCAATGCATTCAAAAAAGGGGATGAGAGGAAAGGACCCTACTTTCAAGTATTGAGATGCTCCTCTAATCTCGGCATTTAGCCTCATTTAGCCAGACATTACCATTTTGATTTGGTTATTGTGCTTTCCTTACAGACTTATGAGGAAAGGTTGAGCATGGATAGGGGTTGAGCATGGATAGGGTTTGCGCCTCAAATGGCACCCTATACCCTACCTAGTGCACTACTATTGACCAGGGACCTGGTCAAAAGTAGTGCACTATTTACATTTTAATCATTTAGCAGACACTCTTATACAGAGCGATTTACAGGAGCAATTAGGGTTAAGTGCCTTGCTCAAGGGCACATCAACAGATTTTTCACCTAGTCAGCTCGGGGATTCAAACCAGCGACCATTCGGTTACTGGCCCAATGCTCTTAACCGCTAGGCTAGGGAATAGGATACTTATTAAATGACAGCAATAATAGGGGACTCAGTAACGGCAAGGTATGGTAGTCCATACCTTCTGGCCCTCCTCCCAGCTGATCCACAGGTCTCCTCTGGTCAGGAAGCAGGCCACGGCGTGCCGGGCCAGGTGGTGGATCCAGCCCTCCTGCCTCAGCTGGGTCATGATGGCATCGATGAAGGGGAAACCAGTCCTGGCCTGCAGAGCAACACAATCACATTGTGAGTGGATTGATAAACAACAATGTCATGCTTTACTATAGCATCAGATTAAGTGAAATTCTACTCTTCAGAGGTTTATGGTCCGGTTTTCCAGACACAGATTGAGCCTAGTCCCCTGGACTAAAAAGCATGCTCATTGGAAAATCTCCATTAATTGCTTTTTAGTCCAGGAGTAGACTTAATCTCTGACTGGAAAACTGTCACTATGTGTTAGGAGCTCTACAGGCCTACCTCTGCCCATGCAGCCAGATACTCAGGGTTGCTGTCCCAGTCCACCTGTGTACACACAGGGTTTCCCTCCATCTTGTCAAAGTTGGGGATGCCCAGGCCGGCTGTGTAGAAGAACTCTCTCCACAGTAGCTGGCCATGCAGCGAGACGGGAGGCTGGGAGTGCTTCTTCTACAAATCCCACACAGGTAGGAAGACGTCAGACATTATTTAAAATGTTCCACAATAAGACTTCCCATTCTTGTGCATGACCAAACTCTGCAAAAAAACGATTACCTATCAATGGAAGTTGATTCATAGGCTTGAGAAGAGACTCACCCCTTGGTAGACGTCGGTCAGTCTCCACCAGAAGGTGCGTGCCGACAGGCAGCCAAATGTCATATAAGGGCTGAGGACGGTGGTGCTGGGGCTCAGGGAGTTGGGGGACGTCTGGGGTTTCTCAAAGCCACACACCCATTCCTGGGTGACACCAAATGACGACACAATAAATTGAACACAAGGAATTGAATTTTCAACCAACTTTCCCATTGACATCAATTAATGATTTACATGAAAGTCTGGGATAAGTGTGTGAACCTTAAGTCTAAATACCGACCAATGTGTTTGAAGGAAAATTGGTTTTTCATCTTCCACTCTTGCCATTGCCCATGTACCAGTAATAAAGATGGCTGCCAAAATACATGAGTACCTTTCTCTCCATGTGTTGGTCCAGTCTCCGCAGAGCCTCTTGCTCTCCACCAGGGAACAGCTCCTCAGGATCCTGATCCAACTTCTCTAACATGGGGATGCCATAGTTCTCCTCATGTTTCTCTGAGCACCGAGTCGTTACATCTAGTTGAATGTGAGGAAGAAAGGCAGAAAAGTTAACCCTTGTGGGAATTGGCCTATATGGATAGGGCTAAATTGAAATGTTGATTTTTATGTGCATTTTACATTTAATGTACTTTGCCACATTTGTTAATAACAAAATCTGAAATACTCTGAATACATTCAGTAACATGATAAGAATATTCCTTGAAAATGCGGGGTAGGTGCAACATAAGAAAAAATAAATTACACGGGTTTGAGCGAGAGGACGAACTGGTATCTCCAAGTGGCCACACATCTCCAAAGTGTTAACAGTTCCTAAGTCATTTCAATGCACTTTTATGACTCAAAGAAAAGTATTCAACTATACGTTTTTTTTTTTTTTTTTTTGCTGTCCTAGCTGTGCCGTTGAGGAACTAGAGCAAGAACACTTGTAGTTAACACAACCCTGCATCCCCGCCATCACACAATTACTGTTGTTTAGGCAATCCAAAAACAGCCTATTATAAATCGATATCTGGGTCAGGTGGGCATCATTTGAAAGTGTGTTCTAATGCCATCATGACTAGCTAAGTTATAAAATACGATCTTACAGTGTTAGGCTTTCACAAGGCAATTCAGAGAAACTGATCATAATTTTGGTGCGCATTGAAAAGCGTCGAGTGCATTTAGGTGCATGTTCTTCAGCAGATGTTCTTCACAATAGACAAACATAGGCTCATTCTGTTCAGAACAACCCAGGGTATAACGCCATGTCATCTTGTAACTGTACATCAAACATAATGATCATAAACGTTGACACTGTATATGACATGAGTTTTATGATATGGAAATGTGAAGTGCACATTTGGACTTAGTTGTATGACATCAAAGCGGTACTTAATATAATAAATCAACGTCATCTTTCAAAATACATAGAGTCCTCTTAAAATTACAGCATTTCCCTCACTCAGACAACCAAAAATGTGCAAACTTTTCCCAATTAGCGGGAGGGATGGGGGCAACTTCTTGTCACTTATCAGTGCCCAAAACTGCCATTTTCAACCCTTATCCACTCTTCCTCACAAAGTTAAAAGCGTTTGATTGGTTTCGGCCTAAGCATTGGCTAGAGGAAGTTTAACACATAATTTTTACACATTTTAAATCTGTGAAGTGAACAAGTGCACACTTAGGTCATAAAGGCAGAGAATCAGGACACAGTAAATATATTCACATGGGAGAAGCATTCCAAAAGACTGTCGGTCTTACCCTTCATGTCCTCAATGGTTGGAGCAGGGATAGGCCTTTTGGGAGGACCGATACTATTGACAAGGGTCTGCAGACGATTGTAGGTCAGAGGAGCCTTCCCGTTGTTCTCTTCAATGATCCTACAAGAATGACGGAGCAGGGACACAGATCATTAGTGCTGCATCCAAGATAGTCTTGCAACTTGAGTGATGGTGTTCATGTTATGTTTTTATTTTATTTAACCTTTATTTAACCAGGTAAGCTAGTTGAGAACAAGTTCTCATTTACAACTGCGACCTGGCCAAGATAAAGCAAAGCCGTGCGATAAAAACAACAACACAGAGTTACACATGGGATAAAACAAAACATACAGTCAATTACACAATAGAAAATATATATACAGTGTGTGCAAATGTAGTAAGTTATGGAGTTAATGCAATAAATAGGCCATAGTGCAAAATAATTTCAATTTAGTATTAACACTGGAGTGATAGATGTGCAGAAGAAGATGTGCAAATAGAGATACTGGGGTGCAAATGAGCAAAATAAATAACAATATGGGGATGGGGTAGTTGGGTGGGCTAATTTCAGAATGGCTGTGTACAGGTGCAGTGATCGGTAAGCTGCTCTGACAACTGATGCTTAAAGTTAGTGAGGGGGATAAGAGTCTCCAGCTTCAGAATTTTTGCAGTTCGTTCCAGTCATTAGCAGCAGAGAACTGCAAGGAATGGCGGCCAAAGGAGGTGTTGGCTTTGGGGATGACCAGTGAGATATACCTGCTGGAGCGCATACTACGGGTAAAATAATATACATGTTATTTTTCAATTAAGACAGTTTCTTTCTAAAATGTCTGTCTCCATAGAATTTAATTGGATTCTTATTGTGTTACATCAATTTCTAAAGGTAGCAATAAGCTTTCTCTGCACAGAGTATTCACTCGTTAAGGATCGCTCACCTGTCTATGTTGTAGAGGGTGTGGGAGACTTTGTAGATGATTTCTACTCCGTGCTCTTCGGCTAACCGGACCACCTCCTTGTCCCGGCGGAGGCTGAAGGGCTCTGTGTCATACTCATACGTCAACCTCGTCACCTTCCACTTCTGGAACAGCTTAGGAAAGACCTCCTCTGGCTTACCTCTCACCACAAACAGCCTGGAGAGTGGAGACCCCACCAACACTTTTTAGTTCTCACAGTCAACTTTTTGAGAAGCACACACAACAATAGAATACCAGTAGGCATCAATCTGGGATCACCACACAACAAACGGCCAAGAAGAGACACCATATCTAATTTCTCTATCCACCCCTTACATTAACTAATCAACATAATACATGCATCTTTATTGATCCATTACCAAAAAAAAAACATTGTTTGTTTTGCTTTCCCAGTACCCAGTCCCACCAACACAACATACTCAGTAAGCAACTGAAATAGCATTGGATATCATGCTTTAGAGTTGTCCTTTTATTCCTACCTAGAATTGAGCTTCCTCAGGCTGCAATCCAAGTCTTTAAGGGCTCTTATGAGGAACCTCCATCGGTTGATGCCAATGTTGACGTTGTTGGGGACATAGGGGTCCAGGACAAACACAGGGTAGATCTCCTTGCAGTCCCGCAATGCAGCCACCAGTGCTGGATTGTCATGCAGTCGGAGCCCCTTGCGGAACCAGTGAATGCAGGTATGAGCCATGCCGGTTTGGTTACCTACCTGTAATAATGAACGAATTAAGGAGGCAAAGGTATTTTGACTAACTTACTGTACATGATGTTATGATAACCAGTCTGTGCATTATTAGTCCTTTGCCAACAGTGGTGTAAAGTACTTGTGTAAAAATACTTGAAAGTACTACTTAAGTAGTTTTTGGGGGTATCTGTACTTTACCATTTATATTTTTGACTACTTTTACTTCATTACATTCCTAAAGAAAATTTTGCTTTTTAGTCCATACATTTTCCCTGACACCCAAAAGTACTCGTTACATTTTGAATGCTTAGCAGGACAGGAAAATGGTCTAATTCACATACTTATCAAGAGAACATCCCTGGTCATCCCTACTGCCTCTGATCTGGCGAACTCACTAAACACATGCTTTGTTTGTAAATTATATCTGAGTGTTGGAGCATGCCCCTGGCTATCCCTTAAAAAATTCAATGATGCAGTCTGGTTTGCTTAATCTAAGGAATTTGAAATAATTTATACTTTTATTTTTGATACTTAAGTATATTTTAGCAATTACATTTACTTTTGATACTTAAGTATATTTAAAAACAAATACTTTTACTCAAGTAGGCTTTTACTGGGTGACTTTCACTTTTAATTGTGTCATTTTCTATTTTCTTACGTCTGGAGGGGACCTTTATTGCACTGTGGGATGTACACTTGCCCTGCAGGATTGTTAGTTCAAGCTCCACTCCAGTGGTTCCCTCTCAGTCCTTACATTGCTGTAAAAAGTAGGCCTAAAGTGTGCCTCTGGTTGCATTGAGGTTTGAACAAGGGTCACTTTTAAAGTGAGGGGGAGTAGTGTTGCCTAGCTGGACATTTATGGAAGTTGGTTGCCCTCTAATTCTGTTACTTTCAATATCTTGATGGGATGTAATGGACTTCAAAGGTACACTGTGTCCAGCATAGGTTACCTATCTGGGCTTTAAAATATTTTAACAAAAGTAGCCTACTTCCTATTTCATAATGAATGTCTCTGTATGAGTTCAATTACGCCTACATAGTTTCATAAGAGTTAACGTTGTAAACGAATTGAGTTACAATGAATGCGTTTTAACGTTTCAAATTTATCATGTAAACAAATGGCACAACAGTCCGTTTACAAAGAACTACTTTGTGCCTTTGAAACTAGTTTTCAAAACTAGACTTACCTTCACAAGGTCTTGCCTGCACTGGTAGAAAATATTGACAATTTGTTTTGTAATCAATCGTAAAGAGAGTTACAAAACCCCTGTACAACACGTGTTACATGTGAGCAGCCAATCAGAGGGAAGCCTAAACCAGACGAAATACCGCCCCCATTCAATTTCAACCGGAGCACGCGGAGCAATGCGCAGGGGATTGTGGGAAGGTGAGCGATGCGAACTGAACACAGCCCAAGTAAATAATTATTTTCGAAGAAAGTCATCTGCTAAGACCAGAAATGGTAAAGATGGCAGAAGTGGATGCTGAATTCGAATCAAGCAGCACATCCAGCAAAGTTGGTGAAGATGAATGTCCTGAATGGACAACAGTAGTGCAGTGGCATGTATTCATGGTTGCCAAGGGAAGCCAGGCATCCCCCAAAAATAGACCAATATGTTTTTTTTTTAACAAATACAAAATAATTTATATTTCATCTCTGTGTTTCATAATTTCTTTCAATTCGCAAGAGGCTGACTGTATCTCACTGGAGAAAGCATCCAAGCAGGCGAAACAGCGCCCTTCTGTCTCTCTACATGTAATAATAATAATAATAATATGCCATTTAGCAGACATGTACGCACACACACACACACACACACACATAAATCAGAACCATGGACAGCCACATCATATTTAGCTTACTTTGATTGGACTAAATTGTTTTTGGTATCTTTTAGTTGTCACTGTATTAGACAAAGCAGAGGTGATTTGATGATGTTGAAGTTGAAATGGTGCTGGAATAGTGGAGGCAGCTCCTTGTGGTAACTCTCTGTGGTTATAAATCAATAATTGTTTAGTGGTCTGAAAATGTCAGAAACATTAACTTGCTTGACCATCCTGTAGGTCATGTAACTGTCTGTTACATGCAATATCCTTTGTGGACTAAACTGGACAGAGGTTGCTCTCCGGTTTTGTGATAAAACAAAGGTGTGGTTGAATTTATTCTGCCACTGTGTCTTCTTATTGTCTCGGCCTTTAGGCCTACAGTTGAAGTCGGAAGTTTACATACACTTAGGTTGGAGTCATTAAAACTCGTTTTTCAAGCACTCCACAAATTTCTTGTTAACAAACTACAGTTTTGGCAAGTTGGTTTGGACATCTACTTTGTGCATGACACAAGTAATTTTTCCAACAATTGTTTACAGACAGATCATTTCACTTATAATTCACTGTATCACAATTCTAGTGGATCAGAAGTTTACATACACTAAGTTGACTGTGCCTTTAAACAGCTTGGAAAATTCCAGAAAATGATGTCATGGCTTTAGAAGCTTCTGATAGGCTTGGAGGTGTACCTGTGGATGTATTTCAAGGCCTACCTTCAAACTCAGTGCCTCTTTGCTTGACATCATGGGAAAATCAAAAGAAATCAGCCAAGACCTCAGAAAAAAATTGTAGACCTCCACAAGTCTGGTTCATCCTTGGGAGCCTGAGGTACCACGTTCATCTGTACAAACAATAGTATGCAAGTATAAACACCATGGGACCACGCAGCAGTCATACCGCTCAGGAAGGAGACGCGTTCTGTCTCCTAGAGATGAACGTACTTTGGTGCGAAAAGTGCAAATCAATCCCAGAACAACAGCAAAGGACCTTGTGAAGATGCTGGAGGAAACAGGTACAAAAGTATCTATATCCACAGTAAAACAAGTCCTATATCGACATAACCTGAAAGGCCGCTCAGCAAGGAAGAAGCCACTGCTCCAAAACCGCCATAAAAAAACCAGACTACGGTTTGCAACTGCACATTGGGACAAAGATTGTGCTTTTTGGAGAAATGTCCTCTGGTCTGATGAAACAAAAATAGAACTGTTTGGCCATAATGACCATCGTTGTGTTTGGAGGAAAAAGGGGATGGCTTGCAAGCCGAAGAACACCATCCCAACTGTGAAGCACGGGGGTGGCAGCATCATGCTGTGGGGGTGCTTTGCTGCAGGAGGGACTGGTGCACTTCACAAAATAGATGGCATCATGAGGAAGGAAAATTATGTGGATATATTGAAGCAACATCTCAACACATCAGTCAGGTAGTTAAAGCTTGGTCACAAATGGGTCTTCCAAATGGACAATGACCCCAAGCATACTTCCAAAGTTGTGGCAAAATGGCTTAAGGACAACAAAGTAAAGGTATTGGAGTGGCCATCACAAAGCCCTGACCTCAATCCTATAGAAGATTTGTGGGCAGAACTGAAAAAGCGTGTGCAAGCAAGGAGGCCTACAAACCTGACTCAGTTACACCAGCTCTGTCAGGAGGAATGGGCCAAAATTCACCCAACTTATTGTGGAAAGCTTGTGGAAGGCTACCCGAAACGTTTGACACAAGTTAAACAATTTAAAGGCAATGCTACCAAATACTAATTGAGTGTATGTAAACTTCTGACCCACTGGGAATGTGATGAAATAAATAAAAGCTGGAATAAATCATTCTCTCTACTATTATTGACATTTCACATTCTTAAAATAAAGTGGTGATCCTAACTGACCTAAAACAGGGAATATGTACTAGGATTAAATGTCAGGAATTGTAAAAAAAAAAAAAAAAAGTTTAAATGTATTTGGCTAAGATGTATGTAGACTTCCAACTGTTTATATCAAGGTCGCAAGGCATTTGAATGAACAGGATTTATAGAGCAAACACAATTATCACAACACAGATTGTAATATGGCTTTTTTTCTGGCTTCCTCAGCGATTTTACCCACGCATCACTACTGCAGTAGTGTCAAAAAATGGAACATAAAAGTAAATTGTCTAAAATTGGAGTGGAGGGTGAGAATTAATCGTTTCGTGGTAGGATGCGTTTATTGGGTAAAGACGCATATGTGGGAGACCCGTTTGAAGTGTCGATAAAGGTGAAGTATGCGCTGGGAAAAGTGGTCTATCAGAGTGACCAGGAGTGGTCTTATTTTGATTAATTCAATTTCTGAAGAACAGAGGAAGATTGCTGTGGGTCTCAAAATAATCCGGGCAACAGAGGTATCGTGCTTTCGATTTCGGAGCAGAGCACCCATCAAAGGAGTCATCTCAGTGGTGACGACGGATGTTCAGGTTAAAATACCTGAAGAGGATTCCTGGTGTGGTTGGTGCCCGGCGTCTGACCAGCTGGTGGAATGGAGAAAAATAAGTATCTCGGCCCTGTTGTTTGTTTTTAAAGAGCGACTACCTACGCAAAGATTGGTTATGTAAGATACGCTGTTAGAGCTTTGTAAAAATGTTTAAGGATTTGGCCATGTTTCAAGTGTGTGCAGACGGACGGAGTATACTGAAGAATTGTGTGTAGAAGGGTGATCGGTGGTGCAATTGTGGTGGGGATCATGATCCCGAGTTCCTGGTGTGCGATGTAAGGGTGAAGGAGACAGGTGGCAAAAGCTAGAGCCTTCAATCGAATCTCCTATGCGGAGGCAATTAAAAGAGTTGAGAAAACAAGCGACGTTGGTGGATGTACCACAGCCTGTAATAAATGTTTGTTGCCAGGCCTACCCTGTGTGTTAAAAAGGTGTATTTTGTGGCGTTCATTGGCAAAATTATATACTGTAGGGCTCAAGTCTCAAAGAAGTCAAAACAACTGGACATTATTGTGGCTGCGGCAGAATAGTTTTTGGTACTATTTTAGACTTGCAAGGGGTAGGCTACTGGCGCCGGAAGATGGCCTGCCCTCCCATTTCAGATCTGTTTTATTTTTAACAGAACATTTGTTTGATTTAGTTAATTTTTGTTGGTAGTTTGTTCAGTTTTTTGGGAATCCTGTTTCCTTCCCGCACAGTAGGTGGCAGGATGCACACTCAAATATGCGAACGCCAATATACCATAGAAGAAGTCATCCGCTAAACCGGAAGTTTGTGTGTAACACGATCTAGCCAGCCAACTTTGTGTTTCCAGGCTGACTGACCGGGTCCTATGGTAAGTTTTTTTTGTATTTTTATATCTGGCTAGCTAACGTTAGTTAACTAGTAACTGAGCGATTCGACAATTAAGATAATGTTATATTACACATACGACTAGATGGCTATGTAACGTTTAATCTACATGTAGCTAGACCTGTGACCACAGACAGTATCGACGTAATTTAGAGAGCTGTGTAGCTAACTGTTAGCTAGCTAGCTGTGTAGCTAACTGTTTGCTAGCTAGCTGTGTAGCTAACTGTTTGCTAGCTAGCTGTGTAGCTAACTGTTAGCTAGCTCGCTGTGTAGCTAACTGTTAGCTAGCTCGCTGTGTAGCTAACTGTTAGCTAGCTAGCTGTGTAGCTAACTGTTAGCTAGCTAGCTGTGTAGCTAACTGTTAGCTAGCTAGCTGTGTAGCTAACTGTTAGCTAGCTAGCTGTGTAGCTAACTGTTAGCTAGCTAGCTGTGTAGCTAACTGTTAGCTAGCTAGCTGTGTAGCTAACTGTTAGCTAGCTAGCTGTGTAGCTAACTGTTAGCTAGCTAGCTGTGTAGCTAACTGTTAGCTAGCTAGCTGTGTAGCTAACTGTTAGCTAGCTAGCTGTGTAGCTAACTGTTAGCTAGCTAGCTGTGTAGCTAGCTAGCTGTGTAGTTAGCTAGCTGTTTAAGTATTCAGTAGCTAATAGCGTTAGTGTAAGTTTTGCTTTCTGTGATTAACTAACTTAGTAGTTAGATTCCGCTAGTTACCTAGCTAGCAAGGTAACATGAAACTGCTTTGAACTTTTGGTGACAAGCTAACTAGTAAGTTACTTGTCATTGGCCCCATTCTGAAAACCCATATCTATTATTATTAGCTAACTATTTACATTTTACATTTTAGTCATTTAGCAGACGCTCTTATCCAGAGCGACTTACAGTTAGTGAGTGCATACATTATTTTTTAAATATATATTTTTCATACTGGCCCCACGTGGGAAACGAACCCACAACCCTGGTGTTGCAAACGCCATGCTCTACCAACTGAGCTACAGCTAGTTTAAGAACTGGTTTTGTTCTGTGTATTTTTTGGCTAGTTATAAACAATTAATAGTTTGAAACAATAAACTAGCTAGCTAGTTATGATGCAATTTTATTTGGGGTGCCTGTGAAGTCCATCATTGTAGCTAATTACTTCAATTTGGACTGTTTTGACCCACAGGAAGAGATGTCAGGAGTAAGTGCGGTGAGCTCGGCGTTGCCTGCAGCTACAACCCGTACCACCTCATTCAAGGGCTCCTGCCCCAGCTCGAAGTATGTGAAGCTGAACGTGGGTGGGGCGCTCTACTACACCACCATGCAGACCCTCACCAAGCAGGACACCATGCTCAAGGCCATGTTCAGCGGTAGGATGGAGGTCCTCACAGACAGCGAAGGTATTGATGATGACATGGGTTGACTGCACCCAGAGTTTCCCAAACCTTTGTCCACTGCGAAGTCTTGACGCTCCATGTTTCTTCATGCTGCATAGGATACGATTCTCCCATTTGTACAGGCTAGCTGCCCTTGCATGCCTCCCATCATGTCTTCTGAGATGGCGAGATATGAAGATACACACACACACAGTCTACTATCTCCACTATGTTGTCTCTGCCACTTCTCAATGTAATGAGCCCTGTCCTCTGCTGCAGGCTGGATCCTTATTGACAGGTGTGGGAAGCACTTTGGGACCATTCTGAACTACCTGCGTGACAGTGCTGTACCTCTGCCTGAGATCCGGAGAGAGGTGGAAGAGCTCCTGGCAGAGGCCAAGTACTACCTGGTGCAGGGGCTAGCTGACGAGTGCCATGCTGCCTTACAGGTATTGTGTATCACCTTAACACACGGTAAACACTAACCTGTATCTTGGTGTCTCTCCTCTGTGTGTGTGCTGGTGTGGCCCATCATGCCTCCATTGAATTATTTTTGTCCTGTTTTCCTCCATGCGTTCAGAACAAAGACATGTATGAGCCCTTCTGTAAAGTGCCCTTGGTCACTTCCTCAAAGGAAGAACAGAGACTCATCTCTACCTCCAACAAGGTAAAAAAATATTTCACAATTTACATGTATGATTAGACAGAAATGTCATAGGGTTGTATTTTGTTTGTTTCTCAACACTGACTACCTCTGTGCCTTTTCATTTTGTATTACAGCCCACAGTCAAGCTGTTATACAACAGGAGCAACAACAAGTACTCTTACACAAGGTAAGCTAAACACTACATATGATTGTGGGAAAATACTTATAATGAGCACATCACTGTATTTCTTAAATGTACTGTATGTGTGAAGGGGATTGTATCATGGATAATTATAATTTAACTTGTTTAGCGCTTTTCATTACAGAAAATAATCTCAAAGTGCATAAAAATTCAAACAAACAAATTTAAGTTGAGATGGAGATTGAATGTCTCTATTTGGCTTCTGATGAAAGGCTGGGAGTTGAGGCAGTTTGGATTGGAAAGGCGGTGTAGTTTCAGCGGAGGGGGCATCGATGGTACAGCAAGAGAGAAACAAAGACAGTCTGACAAACAGGCACAGAGCTCTTCATCAGTGCACCACATTTGCTTCTCCGACAGTCAGTTCCTCCATAGGACCCGCTCCTCTGTAGGTACTGGTCCTCCATTGCCAAACATGTAACACCCACCCGCGTGATGCCACGGCTGCTGAAAAGATCACGAAAAGCCACCACATCTTGGCAGTCCCTGAGCCTCTTCTGCCATCTCTAGACCACAGCATGCAGTACTTGTTGTAATTCTTCCCTACAGATGATACAATAAAGCCAGGACCGCATTATTTGAATCCAAACAGCCAGCTAGCTAGCTATAAGCCAAGATATACTTTTCATCCCAATTCTGCAACTCTGAGTCAAGACCACGAGATGTAAGTGATCAACCCCCAGAGCAGTCGTGTATAGCAATTTGAACCGATTGACAACTAGACATTAACATCTGGTGTCATTACCTTTTCACAGCAACTCCGATGACAACATGCTGAAAAACATTGAGCTGTTTGACAAGCTCTCTCTGCGGTTCAACGGCCGTGTGCTCTTCATCAAGGACGTGATCGGGGATGAGATCTGCTGCTGGTCATTCTATGGGCAGGGCCGTAAGATCGCTGAGGTGTGCTGCACCTCCATAGTCTACGCCACAGAGAAGAAGCAAACCAAGGTATCCAGTTTCCCACAGCAAGAGCACACTTGTATGATATGAATGTTTCTTGCTCTGACCAAAGCATAGACTAGTCTCCTATCAGTGAGTTATCTGTCAGTGAGTAGTCTTGTCTTTGTACCTAGAGCAGTGTTCTAAGCAGTATCGTCTTTCCTCAGGTGGAGTTCCCAGAGGCTCGAATCTATGAGGAGACACTCAACATCCTGCTGTATGAGTCTCAGGACGGGCGTGGTCCAGACAACGCTCTACTGGAGGCTACAGGGGGCGCTGCAGGCCGATCCCACCACCTGGACGAGGACGAGGAACGGGAACTCATCGAGAGGGTGCGCCGCATTCACATCAAACGCCCTGATGACCGCACCCACCACCACCAGTAACTATAAGAGCCAACCAACATTATCAGTATCCGCAGTGACTATTACCCATCACTGACAGAACATGTGCGATCACACTATACCCACAGGTAATCTCACATCCTTGACATTGACAACAAGTGACCTCTGTGCTTCTGCACCACAGACACTTGTGAACTCCACTCATGAGTAGAGCATTATTTGGGTGTTACAGTTTGTGCTGCTGTCCCAAATGGTCGTATCAGTGTTTTCTAAACCCTCCATAAGAGCTGTTCTTTTTATCAGTGGTCAAAGAAGACTTATTTGACCCCCTGTATTTCCATATGTTTTGTATGTCTCGTCTTTGTATGAATGTAGACGTTACGTGTCCAGTAGAAGATCTTGTGCCTTAAGTCTGTGGGTTTAAGTGCAGCTTACAATCTGATTTACTTTATTGTGTCACTACAACATTGCTTGGAAGTTCATGTATTGTCACAGGGTAGCAAGTTCAGGTCAATTGTATTTCAGTGATTATACTAATACACTGTAACAATACCTTTAACTACCACCGCAGTTTTAGAGAAATGTTTTATGAGAGAAAAAAGAAACCTGCACACTGCTCTTGCTAGTATCACTGTTCTTTATTAAGCTTTACGTATCGGCCTCAATGCCCTTTGTCAGAGCTTTTGTGAGTGTTTTTAATTTGCACACTTGTGTAGACATTGCTCCACCCACATCCGCTCAATGCATCGAATGGGGTTGGAGTCAAGGAAAAATATATATTCATTAGTTTGAATTGGTGATGTATGCAAACTGTATAACAGCATTTTATCATATGTTTTAGAAATTGGGTGCTTCTATTTTCTGTATGTACTCATTTCATCCAGCAGAGGGTGTTGTGTACAAAGACACTGAAAGAATGCTAAGTTGTTGAAGTTACCCCTAGACACTGATCTTGGGTCAGTTTTGTATTTCCCCCACGAATGGTTAAGGGTTGGGAAGCTGATCCTAGATATTTGCCTAGGGGAACTTTACCCCGGAGCAATACATTACAACCCACCCCTGAATTGTAAGTGGTGTGAATACAGCCACCTTTTATACTGTAGTCATGGATGAATGATATTTTGGCATCCTAAAGAACCTTTGAGATGCCGGATGTGTAATCAAATGGATGTCATTGCTTCCTCTTAAAATAATTATTTGAGGGCGATGTTACAAGACAACTTGTTTGGAAACCAAGCACTTCCAGACATCTCAAAGAATGTCCACTATTTTACACAATTTCACATGTAAAAGTGTATTTTGCACTGTATTTAACACATCTTTCTTACAATAAAGATTTTTAATAATACATTATAGTTGGTTTTAATGTAAATATGGTACAGCATCTTTGTGAGAAAGTATAAAAATGAGGACACATATAGCCTATGCCTTCAAAATCAATGATTGACTGGTTTAACCATATTGCTAATATTGATCAAATCTACTGAAAATATCCCAAAAACTAACCATATTTTACAAATGGGCCCGAATATAATAACTGCTTGATAAGTCACAACAGCCCATGCATGTGATGTGTAGCTTAATAACAGGTGAAGTTTTCGTCAGAGTAGAACATCCGTAGTTCCTTTGGGATTTTCTCCACAGTATGAACCATTTGTTGAGATTTCAGTTAATATGAAGGGATTGTGAAATGCCCTTGAGGTTCGGTCATATGTCCAACCCTTCTAGAGAGGATGCAGGTTCTCATTCATGATATAAGTCCCAAGATGCCTCGAACCTTGTAGAATCTGATTATTGGCTCAGTCCATTACTTTGATAAGTGCAAGGGGATCCAGTTCAATTTTTTATCATTGGACGGGACTTTGTTTCAGTTGATTCCTGAGTAAATATAAGATAAGTGTTCATGTTGTAGCCTACTGTTTATCAATAGTTTAAAAAACGTATTTGCTCATTTGAGAACTGAATGGCCACAGTCTTCAGTTTCATACTCACCACCATCAGATGGCCATTCTTTGCTCTGTAAATCATGGTCTCCTGGCCACTCTCGAAGTCAACAAACCCCTCTCTGCCAGGCTGGATGTCAAACTTTACACTGCAAACGACCACAACATTAAATAACGTTACGTACGTTTTTGGCAACAATTTGCATTTTCTTTAGACTACAGTAGTAACGAGTTGGAACACAGGTCTTACCTGCCCTGAACTACATTGATACAGTGCTGCTTGTTGGCCACCAAACACAACTTGGTCAAGGCCTCAAACAGGTAGTCACACTGCAGCACCAGGTCCCCCTGAGCAAATAGACAATGCAACAATAGAAATGCAAATGTTCTACTATTCTAATTATATTCCATTCTGAAAATAACAGGTGCAAAAGCTTAGTAAAAAATAAATAAAAAATTGTGCACATCAATGATAAGCGTTTTGCGCAGCCAACCTTTTGCTTGATATCCTCACATTGGACATGGAGGATCAGGAAGTTGTCACTCAGGTTGCTGACTGACACACCTGGAAGAACACACCGCCCAGATACTTAGAACAGTGGTTGAATGAACACAGTGCACTGCACACACAGACAGACACTACTGCCATTGAGAGTACAAAACTTGATACATGCACACACGTCAAGTCCGCTTTATTCCTCTCTCAGTGGTGCTTACCTTTGAGATTGTTGAACACCACCCGCTGTTTGATCTTGGCCTCCTCCACCAGGTAGGCTGCAGTTCCAGTGTAGATCAGCTGTCTGAAGCGAGCCCTGAAGCCATTCCTGTCGTACTTCACCACGGGAACACTGTACTGTGGGAAGGTATGGAGCTTCCTTTCATTTGACCTTTTTAAGGTACATTTCTTTACTTTAACATGGCTTACTTAACTCCATTTGTTGTTTACCTTGATGCGTTCTTGCTGAATCATCTGATAGGCTTTTATGTGGATGTCTTCCTCACCTGACCAGATAACAATGCAACTGGTCAAATGACATAAATGCTGGTCATTATCACTGTTGCTTTGTAAGAGGCGCAAAATTCATTAGCACAAGGTCTATGCCTTACTTATCCTGGTGTCTACAAATGGTCTGCCCACACTGTGAGGGTAGTTCTCTTTTCTTCCTTTGAATAAGGAACTGGTCAATCCTTTGATTTGCAACTGGAAATGGGGTAAGCAAACACAACTGAGATATATAGTGTGATCATTGAGGTGAGCCCTATAGTCAAATAGGGTACAAATATGCATTAAATCACCCTGGCTTGTAAGGTAGGCCTACCTGTGCTTTCCGCTCTGTTGTGATTCCTTGTACGTACTTCCGTACCATGTGCCGGGTGTAGAGTTTCCTCAACATCTGTGATGCCTACAAGTACAAATGTATGTAATGGGTGTACAGTATACCCATTACAGAGGAGGCTGGTGGGAGGAACTATTGGAGGATGGGCTCATTGTAATGGCTGGAATGAAAAAATGGAGGTGTTTTCCATATGTTTGATACCGTTCCATTTATTCCGATGAGCCCGTCCTCCTATAGATCCTCCCACCATCCTCCTCTGACTCGTACCATGACACACAGGCATGTAAAATAAGTTAAGAGAAAGTATTCAAGTACAGCCAATTCCCTATTGAGACTCACCTCCTGCATAATGGGAGGAGGGGTTAGCCAGGTGTTCTTGTCCAGAACTGTTTTGGGTAGATTTTCCTTGAGCCGTGTGAGGTAGTTTTGCCTGACAAACGCCAAGTACTCTGTGTTGTCAACACAGGCTGGCTGATTTCTGGTCATGAAGCCCTTGATGAACCTACAAAATATGATCACAAAGTACAACTGATTTGATGAGTATTTGTGGTAGATGTTGACCATTTGTCTTTGGAGATATCTTCTGATCTTTGTCTCTCTTACTTCTTAATGACCTTGACAGCCCAGGCTCTCTTCTCCCTCTCTCTCCTGGCCTTCATGCCTCTCCAGCATGTCTCAATCTTAGTAGCTAATAAGACAACACAAGCTGATTAAGTTATCATAGTCTTGTATATCTTATTATACTAGTTCCAAGAAAGTCAAAGTAGAGACCTGCTTCTCTCTGTCTCATGTAGTCTCCCTTCACTCTGTAGCCTTTGTACTTTGCCTGGATCCTTGTAGCTGTAACATGAAGTGACATATGTCAAACCTGACTTCTTTCCAATCCAACGCCATTTAACAATCCAGAATTCCAGAATTTAGTGGTCTGTGATCTGTTGTTTGAAAAGCTAGAGCCAGTACCCACCCAGCTCATGCTTGCAGACCTCAAAGGCATCTTCGGTGGCGAACAGAGTTCTGGGGTGACGGATGAAGATCTTGGTCCTTTTGTATAAATGAAAGACTAGCCAGTGAGAAACAGCCAGACTGTGTTACCAGGTGAACCCAAACCCATAATCCTGGAGACCACCTCACCTGCCCATCTTGTACTCATCAGGCTTGTAGCCCAGGTGCTTGATCAGGCACTCCACCCCCTCTGCGGCTGTACCTTTCCAGCTAGGCCAGGTGTCTGGACACAGGGGCTTGTACCTGACAGAGACAACAGGAAACACCAGAGTGTTCAACATTTAGTTTAGTCAGCATCAGATCAACAAACTGTCATGCAGCCATGTATCAGCACAGTTCGTACTGGACAGAGAGCAACTGCACACTATCTACAGAACTGTGAAGTGCAGGTTGTGTTGACCTCTGCAGGAAGATCTCATATCTCCGGCGGTAAGCGAAGCCGGCCCGTCTGACCCTCAGGTGCTCCATCAGCCCCAGGTACTTCACCTGGTGTCTCACCAACACGTCGTCAAAGCGCCCTGCAGAAGGCGAGAGAGGTCACAACAGGCATCAGGTCATGCACTATGAATGAATGTACCAAGTAACACTTTGTAGGGCATGCATGGGTCAAGTCCATTAGGGATGGTTCTGTTTGGTGTAATGGCCTCTACTGAGTATGTAGGTGTGTTGGGTTTAGGCCAGTAGACTGTGTGGTTGGTAGTTAAGGTTTATAGATAAGACCTCACCTGGCTCCTTGCCTTCGTTGGGCTTCATACAGCGGACGTACCAGGGCTCCTTAGACATAAGCATCTCCGTCAGCCCGACCAGGCTGTTCTTAAACTGAGTGGCCACCTGAGGAGACAGACAATGATGATAAATATAGAAACTCATGGCAAGACCGTATCACTTTGGCGGCTCGTGTCATCAGAAAGTCTCTTTACTGTTTCAGGTCTCTTCTTGCTGTCTGGCTCAGTGGTGGGAAAGCAGTGTTTGATGATGGCATTCTTAGACTGACGCATTACCTAGTGAAAAGGTGGAAACATCCCCCAGTTAACAAATGGATAAACATCAATCCATCGTTCAACACTACAACATTTTAACAACAACAATTAAGGTCAGCTAAGACTCTGGCACACTTAGGCAGTGTAAAATATGCAGGATGAACGATTAAGAACGGTCTTATCAAAACCGAGAGGCAGTAGAGCAAACACTCCCATAGTCCTCCCCCTTAACAGTACTGTCAGTCTATCCCAAAGCAATGCTTAACAATCAGCTCCTCTATAATTCACAGGTGTGCTTAACAATGAATAATACAGCAGTCAGCAGGAAGCAGATTCCTGAGCGCAGCAGTGCCAGTGAGAGCCCTGGACACACTTACCTCTTTAATGTTCCTGTACAGGAGATCATTATTTTTGTCCAGGAATCCTGGAAAAACAGAGGTATAGTAGAGAGAAAAGAACAGATAAAGGTTGTTAACAGTGAGACAAAAAGTGATGAGAAGTAGTGGAGACTCCTGGGAGGCTTACTGAAATTATATCAAAGAGACACATCAGAGAGACAGGAAACTGGGTTCATAAATGTAACTGGAGTGTATAGAGCATGAAGTGTGCTGTGAGAGTGAGAGGATGGGCTATGATGTTGGGGAACTCATCTCTCACCGACCACACAGTATGTGACTTCCCCCGCGTAGTGTAAGAGGCGGAAGTCTCCTCGTTCCAGAGTCTTCCGGGTCTTCTGGTCAGCCAGCTTGTGTCTGCAGGATGTGGACAGAGAGAGAAGAGGATGTTCTAGTCAGGTGTTACAGAGGCAGACCGTGACTCCTCCATCCTCCGCTGTCAGTTGATGAGCTCAGCATTGCAAAATGGGTCTTGTTAGGAATGTGTTACAATGCTCTCTGTGAGATGGGTGGATGGCTCACGTAACAAAATGGGGGTGACCGCCCATCTTCTCCTCCAGTTTCTCCAGGAAGGTCATGTCTGTGGCCTCCCCAGGACGTAGACACTCTTCATCCTAGTAGAGAGGAGACTGAACATGTGTAGAGCTCAACCAATCCAAATCGATTGTCTGCCTGACTACATTTCTGTCTGACCGTCAGTCGGTCTATCTACTCACTAGCACTGAAATGATGCCTTTAAATTTCTCCTCCACCAGGTCACAGATGATCTTGTTGTTGAAGTATGGCACTGGCTCCCACTGAAAAACAACAATACAAAACACGCTTTATATCTGAAGCTGTGTAGTCCAGGCCAATCTGAGATTTTAGTAAAAGAGGAGTATTTACTTCAATCCCCTCCATCTCGTACTCCTCCTGCTCTGACTTCAGGGTCAGCTGGATGAAGAGCTGCTGCAGTTTCTCGTTACAGTAGTTGATGCAGAACTGCTCAAAGCTGAAACAGAGTCAAGTCCTCAGGCTCATCATCTCTGACACTCTAAAATTCACTGTCCAAAACTGACCCATTGTGTCTCCCCTCACCTGTTCACATTGAACACCTCAAACCCATAGATGTCCAGCAGACCAATCACTGTCTTCCTGGAGGAATCCTACATGGATGCACAATACCAGTCAGCCTCCTATATGTCTACTTACTGTATATCCTATACCTGTTAACAGTGTCTAAATTGGTTAGATTTAGTATTAGGGACATTATCACTCTTATTGGTGGAGCACTGAAGAGGGACAATCACCTTGTTTGCTAAAGACTCATTGAGCTTGTTGACCAGCCAGGTGAATGTGCGGCCATAGATGGCTTTGGCTAGAGCGTCCCTGGCATATACTGCATGGTCAATGGTGAAGGGACTGAGCACCTGACCAGAACAGCAGACAAACCACAGAGATTGATTGTCAGCATTGGTTTTACTGTGGTGGTAAAGTTTTATGAATAACCCAGCAAAACAGTAGCATCTTCCTCACCTCCTCCAACCTTGCCTCAATCTTCCTGTGGGTCAATCCAACCAGTATCACCTGTGCAGGAATGCCTAGCAACTACACAACAGAGAAACAACCAATAACACAACACTAAATAGGGGGATCACTTCATCTGAAAAGTTGCCATAATGTCTGAAAACTGAGAGTACTCTGGTAGTTTTCTGTGGTATGAGTACTGCTAAATTGAGTGACTGTCCATTAATGTGTAGTTTGCTGTCAGAATATGTCTCACCTTGGACAGCCAATGTATCTCTGGACTGTTGTTGAGAGTGGCGTATCCCAGCAAGTCAGCCACAAACTTAACATTTCCCAGGTGAAGTACGCTAGCAATGATTGCAAACAGGCTCTACATCATGGGCCAGAGAAGACACCGGTCAGTGATAATTAATGATAAGTGATATGATCTGTTCTCTTTTCAGTCTTTGATTACATGTTGTGTTTGATAGTAGAGAAATTAGGACTCACCTCTATATTGCTCTCACTGAACTCTATGACACTGAGGGCTTTCCGTACCGTCTTCCAGTCACTCTTGTCGTTGATTGAGCGGACTTTGGCAGATTCCCCCTGGATGAGACAGGAGATAGTACTGTATCTGGATGATGATGGCCCACTCCATGGAAACGTTGATTATTTGCCTCTTTAATACATACTCATACTGTTCAATTGTAAAGGTCCTCATCTGTACCAGGTAACTGTAGCGTTGTTAGGTTACCTCTACCACCTGTACCAGGTAACTGTAGTGTTGATAGGTTACCTCTCCCACCTTTACCAGGTAGCTGTAGTGTTGATAGGTTACCTCTCCCACCTTTACCAGGTAGCTGTAGTGTTGATAGGTTACCTCTACCACCTGTACCAGGTAGCTGTAGTGTTGATAGGTTACCTCTACCACCTGTACCAGGTAGCTGTAGTGTTGATAGGTTACCTCTCCCACCTTTACCAGGTAGCTGTAGTGTTGATAGGTTACCTCTCCCACCTGTACCAGGTAGCTGTAGTGTTGATGGGTTACCTCTCCCACCTGTACCAGGTAGCTGTAGTGTTGATAGGTTACCTCTCCCACCTGTACCAGGTAGCTGTAGTGTTGATAGGTTACCTCTCCCACCTGTACCAGGTAGCTGTAGTGTTGATAGGTTACCTCTCCCACCTGTACCAGGTAGCTGTAGTGTTGATAGGTTACCTCTCCCACCTTTACCAGGTAGCTGTAGTGTTGATAGGTTACCTCTCCCACCTGTACCAGGTAGCTGTAGTGTTGATAGGTTACCTCTCCCACCTGTACCAGGTAGCTGTAGTGTTGATAGGTTACCTCTCCCACCTGTACCAGGTAGCTGTAGTGTTGATGGGTTACCTCTCCCACCTGTACCAGGTAGCTGTAGTGTTGATAGGTTACCTCTCCCACCTTTACCAGGTAGCTGTAGTGTTGATAGGTTACCTCTCCCACCTTACCAGGTAGCTGTAGTGTTGATGGGTTACCTCTCCCACCTTTACCAGGTAGCTGTAGTGTTGATAGGTTACCTCTCCCACCTTTACCAGGTAGCTGTAGTGTTGATAGGTTACCTCTCCCACCTTTACCAGGTAGCTGTAGTGTTGATGGGTTACCTCTCCCACCTTTACCAGGTAGCTGTAGTGTTGATAGGTTACCTCTCCCACCTTTACCAGGTAGCTGTAGTGTTGATAGGTTACCTCTCCCACCTTTACCAGGTAGCTGTAGTGTTGATAGGTTACCTCTCCCACCTTTACCAGGTAGCTGTAGTGTTGATAGGTTACCTCTCCCACCTTTACCAGGTAGCTGTAGTGTTGATAGGTTACCTCTCCCACCTGTACCAGGTAGCTGTAGTGTTGATAGGTTACCTCTCCCACCGGTACCAGGTAGCTGTAGTGTTGATAGGTTACCTCTCTCACCTGTACCAGGTAGCTGTAGTGTTGATAGGTTACCTCTCTCACCTTTACCAGGTAGCTGTAGTGTTGATAGGTTACCTCTCTCACCTTTACCAGGTAGCTGTAGTGTTGATAGGTTACCTCTCCCACCTTTACCAAGTAGCTGTAGTGTTGATAGGTTACCTCTCTCACCTTTACCAGGTAGCTGTAGTGTTGATAGGTTACCTCTCCCACCTTTACCAGGTAGCTGTAGTGTTGATAGGTTACCTCTCCCACCTTTACCAGGTAGCTGTAGTGTTGATAGGTTACCTCTCCCACCTGTACCAGGTAGCTATAGTGTTGATAGGTTACCTCTCCCACCTTACCAGGTAGCTGTAGTGTTGATAGGTTACCTCTCTCACCTTTACCAGGTAGCTGTAGTGTTGATAGGTTACCTCTCTCACCTGTACCAGGTAGCTATAGTGTTGATAGGTTACCTCTCCCACCTGTACCAGGTAGCTGTAGTGTTGATAGGTTACCTCTCCCACCTGTACCAGGTAGCTGTAGTGTTGATAGGTTACCTCTCCCACCTTTACCAGGTAGCTGTAGTGTTGATAGGTTACCTCTCCCACCTTTACCAAGTAGCTGTAGTGTTGATAGGTTACCTCTCTCACCTTTACCAGGTAGCTGTAGTGTTGATAGGTTACCTCTCCCACCTTTACCAAGTAGCTGTAGTGTTGATAGGTTACCTCTCTCACCTTTACCAGGTAGCTGTAGTGTTGATGGGTTACCTCTCTCACCTTTACCAGGTAGCTGTAGTGTTGATGGGTTACCTCTCCCACCTTTACCAGGTAACTGTAGTGTTGATAGGTTACCTCTCTCACCTGTACCAGGTAACTGTAGTGTTGATAGGTTACCTCTCTCACCTGTACCAGGTAGCTGTAGTGTTGATAGGTTACCTCTCCCACCTTTACCAGGTAGCTATAGTGTTGATGGGTTACCTCTCCCACCTTTACCAGGTAACTGTAGTGTTGATAGGTTACCTCCTCCACCTGTACCAGGTAGCTGTAGTGTTGATAGGTTACCTCTCCCACCTTTACCAGGTAGCTGTAGTGTTGACAGTTCCTCTCCAGACCCAGCCAGTGTAGCATGTCCTCCTCTCCTCCCTCCACTAGCTGGTAGAAGATGTGGAAGTTTCTCTCTCCATGGTTCTGATGCACCACCCGGGACTTCTCCAGTAGATAACTGAGGATGTGGCCACCAACAGCTCCCCCCTAGGGGGAGTACAGACCATTAAAGATCTAACAGTCATTGATGTGCTGATTTTTGATGGAAATTCTGTGCTCAACCTCTTGGCACTTACCACGTGATCAAACTGAATGTCCATGTACTTCCCAAAGCGGCTTGAGTTGTCATTCTTCAGGGTTTTGGCATTTCCAAAAGCCTGAGAGAGGTACAGACTGTATTATCAGTCATTGTATTTGTACATGGCAGTGTGCAAACATAATGCTAATTTCTCATGTCATCACGTATGCTTTACTATGGTACTCACCTCAAGCACAGGGTTGGAGAGCAGCAGTCGGTCTCGGACGTTGTCCAGCAGTTTGGTACTGGGGCAGCTGACAGCGTAGAACTGCAGGATCTTCTTGGAGGCCTCCGTCTTCCCAGCCCCACTCTCCCCTGAGATCAGGATGAAGTGGTTGTTGGTCTCTGTTAACATGGTGCGGTAGACATTGTCTGCCAGGGCGTAGCTGAAAGGAAGGGCAATGAAGGAGAAGTTCAATAACACTGCTGATGAATATCCTGTAGATAGATAGGCAGGACTGTATAGCATATCTTGTTGCGCACACATACAAGCAAACACACGTTATACAGTACATGCACACAAATGCAACTTACATATGAGGTGGAAGCTCAAAAAAGTTCACTCCCATGTAAATGTCCATCTGCTTCTTGGTGTAGATTCCCAGATCTTTGTAGGGATTGACTGACACTAGGAGCGTACCAATGTAGGTCTGTGGGAAATGTATTAGAATTAACATTATGAGAGATGGATGCCTCTGCATGGGTGCAACGAGAATGTAGTGTACTTGTTATCTGTATGAGTAATGATCAGACATGACCTTTCAGAAAGTAAAGTAGCTCACCCTGTAGCTGTAGGTACAGCACAGTAGCTGCTGTTTCAGCAGAGCAAAGTGCCAGTTCAATTAGGGGACAAACACTGTTTTCCCTGGCACCTTGCGGTCTTGAGTTAGGGTGGCTTTTTGGCTGAGAGGAAGGCAATGTGATATCTCTGGACTGTGTGTAGGGGATGGACTCACGTAAATGAGGTTCTCGTGGAAGCGTTTCCTCAAGTTGTCCAGGAAGGCACTCTCACTGGTGTAGGCGTCCAGCAAAACGAAATCCTGGATGCCCACGCGATCCCGGGCTGTAAGGGAGCCCTCCATGTCCCGGAGGATCCGGTTACAGCGCTCCTCCAGGCTCTGACCAATCAGAGACAGGGTCCAGGATGGTTACATTGATATCTTAAATGCAAATACCCCCGAAGCACAACACAACAACACTGTCACAAATCTCATCCGGACATGACAGCTGTAAATGATTTACGACAACCAGATTACAAATCATTTATCTGCTGTATTTCTTTCAGAGAAAAAATACACTATGTTTTTACAGCAATAACTCAAGGAACTTTTCACTGCCTAAGGACTCATGTCCCTCTGTGTTCTGTTTTCCTTGTAGTTATCTACATCTGTCAGGTCTGACGCCGTGCCACGCAGTGCTCACAGACACAAATACAGAGGAAATCTTGCCCTAAACCAATTAATTTCCTCTCAACTTGTCCTCATCTCTTTGCCTCGCAAAGACGTCTGATCCCGCAAGCTTACATTAAACACTACATGGATATCCGCGCAGGGTTTAATGTAAGCTTGCGGGATCAGGCGGCTTTGCGAAGCTACTCATCTCTGTCGTACGTGGGGGCCTTGACCATATCCCCAGCACATGACCGATAGGAGTTCAGTTCAGGCATTCATATCTAATCTGCTTCCATGTTCTTCAAGGAGCAATCAGTCTCTTGTCACTGTTGACAGAGGATACACACGTCCCCCTCCCCACACAAATATAGTGCAGACTCCACCCTGTCATTTCCCCCAACAGCAGGGTTAAAACACAGACCAACTCTAAAGCTGTTGCACTGAAATCTACTCTTAGAAATGCTAATAATGCTATCCCTATGACGGCATTAATAATGTGTAATTTACAATACTATTGTGCTTCCATAATTTATATACTGAACAGAAGCCACAGTTTACCGTTATGAAAATCCAATTGTTGCTGAAGTTTTGTATCCCAAACAAATGAGCTCTTGGACCACAATATGCATCAGGTAACATTATCAGTCCTTAATTACAGTGCTATGAAAGTACCATCCAAAATATTTGAATGCTCTACCGGCTTGGCTCACAACAGTGCCAAGTTAACCTGGTCCCATGATATCCCTCTTCCTGGAGAGCTACTGTCCTGTAAGTTTTCGCTCCAACCCTAATCTAGCACACCTGATTCTAATAATTAGCTGATTGATATGCTGAATCGGGTGAGTTAAAACTGGGGTTGGAGCGAAAACCTCCAGGAGGGTAGCTCTTCAGGAACAGGGTTGGAGACCCCTGAGGTACAGCTTAAACATTGCCATACACAAAATGTAGCTTAACATATATATAATATACTTTTTTTTACAAAGATGTTCAAAGTAATGCATATCAAAGTCCCTACCATGAGTGGAAATCCTCAGTCTCAGACTGCTGTGAGCTCCAATCCCTTTTTATACTGAACATCTGGGTTTATTTAAGGGAAAGGACCGTATGGAAGGAAACATTGACATATTGCCCCCTCCATTTCCACCAATAGGAAGCCATCAATAATGCAAAAAGTGAGCGAGAAAGGAAGCAGAAATGATGTGTGTGTGTGGAGTCATGTATTTATTAATGTCTAAGTCTTATGACATCAGCTTACTTATGACATCAGCTTACTTATGACATAAAGGTGAAAAACTGCTACATGTAACATTACAGTAAAGTTCGATGGCTACTCTCTCTCTCCAAATGCCTATACACCAAATGACCTCCTTCTTGTCCTGCTCAGCAAAGCACTGTATGGCAATCCCCCTTTGGATTCTTATTTTTAGGGGAAACAGGGCTATTTTCAGCCCTTCTTACAGGAAAGCAACACTACCAGTCCCAGTTACCGGGTGGAAGATGGCCCAAGGGCACCAACGCACAAGGCAATTCATCACTTCTTTTGTTGTTTTCATTGTGCCTTCATGATGCCATTTCCTTAGGGAAAGAATGAAGGACAGGCTTCCCTCTGGGCACACACTGGTTGAATCAACATTGTTTCAACGTCATTTGTCAACCTATTGTGACGTGGAGTCTACGCGGAAACACATTTGGATTTGAAAAACGTAATCAACCAGTACTGTTTTCATCTAATTTCAACCAGCGTTGTAAACATTGAAATTAGGGTAAAACTTCAACTTAAATACAATGCCTTAACCTGACTAACAGATTCTTATATCAATATAATTTCAACATAATCATCAGAACTATGTATACATTGAAATGTCGTATATCAGACATATTTTATTTGACCTTGTTTCAATGTTGATAGTAAAATGGTACTGTATGTTTGAATCAATGTCATTGTTTCAACGTTATGCCATCAACCTAAATAAAGAGGTACTGTATATTGAAATAAAATGTGAAGCCACAGTCCAACGATTCCTGCCTGAACAATGACTCCTACTGGTATATGATGGGTAATGCACTTCCATGTATTTTATATAAAGGATGGTTGGTTGATAGCAAATGTAATCTAGAAGTTATTAATATGTTGGATTCACATCTCCATCTCAACCAAAAATCAAAGTTGAAGAATAGGACTAAATCAAATCAAACTTTATTTGAAGTGCATTTAAAGTTTGATTTGATTTAGTGGTATTCTTAGATCTTTGGTTGAGATAGAGATGTGAATCCAACATATTAATAACTTCTAGATTACATTTGCTATCATTAATTTGTAGACAAACTGGATATTGAATTGTGAACGCAAAAACATATCAACATTTGAAGGAGATGTATCTTCTGCTTGGATAATATATATATATATATATATATACACTACATGACCAAAAGTATGTGGACACTTGCTCGTCGAACATCTCATTCCAAAATCATGGGCATTAATATGGAGTTGGTTCCCCCTTTGCTGCTATAACTGCCTCCACTCTTCTGGGAAGGCTTTCCACTAGATGTTGGAACATTGCTGCGGGGACTTGCTTCCATTCACCCACAAGAGCATTAGTGAGGTCGGGCACTGATGTTGGCCGATTACGCCTGGCTCGCAGTCGGCGTTCCAATTCATCCCAAAGGTGTTCGTTGGGGTTGAGGTCAGGGCTCTGTGCAGGCCAGTCAAGTTCTTACACACCGATCTCAACAAACCATTTCTGTATGGACCTCGCTTTGTGCAAGGGGGCATTGTTATACTAAAACAGGAAAGGGCCTTCACCAAATTGTTGCCACAAAGTTGGAAGCACAGAATCCAATGGCGGTGAGCTTTACACCACTCCAGCAGACGCTTGGCATTGCGCATGGTGATCTTAGGCTTGTGTGTGGCTGCTCGGCCATTAAAACCCATTTCATGAAGCTCCTGACAAACAGTTATTGTGCTGACATTGCTTCCAGAAGCAGTTTGGAACTCAGTGGTGAGTGTTGCAACCGAGGACAGACAATTTTTACGCGCTACGCACTTCAGGACTAGGCGGTCCCTGTGTGGCCTACCACTGTTTCTCCTAGATGTTTCCACTTCACAATAACAGCACTTACAGTTGACCGGGGCAGCTCTAGCAGGGCAGAAATTTGACGAACTGACTTGTTGGAAAGGTGGCATCCTATGACGGTGCCACGTTGAAAGTCACTGAGCTCTTCAGTAAGGCCATTCTACTGTCAATGTTTGTCTATGGAGATTGCATGGCTGTGTGCTCGATGTTATACACCTGTCAGCAATGGGTGTGGCTGAAATAGCCGAATCCACTAATTTAAAGGGGTGTCCACATACTTTTGTATATATAATGTATATTGAACATAGGATGAAAAATATGTTTTACATTTATACTGTATGTGGAATTTTCAATGCAATTTCAATGTATACATAGTTCTGATGATTATGTTAAAATAAGATTGATGTAACAACCAGTTAGTCAGGTTAAGTTCATGTATTTAAGTTTAAGTTTTACCCTAATGTCTAATATTAAGGTAGTCTCAAGGTATTGCTCGCCTGAGGTAGAGTAGCTCATGATAAGCTGTACACCACACTATCTACCAAGAAAGTTTTCATCTATATTTTTCGTAGCCGTCTATTTACCACCACAAACTGACGCTGGCACTAAGACCGCACTCAACGAGCTGTATAAGGCCATAAGAAAATGCTCACCCAGAAGTGGCACTCCTAGTGTCCGGGGACTTTAATGCAGGCAACCTTAAATCCGTTTGACCTCATTTCTACCAGCATGTCATGTGCAACCAGAGGAAAAGAAACTCTAGACCACCTTTACTCCATACAAAGCTCTCCCTCGTCCTCCATTTGGAAAATCTGACCATAATTATATCCTCCTGATTCCTGCTTACAAGCAAAAACTAAAGCAGGAAGTACCAGTGACTCGCTCAATATGGAAGTGGTCAGATGACGCAGATGCTATGCTACAGGACTGTTTTGCTAGCACAGACTGGAATGTGTTCCGGGATTCATCCAATGGCATTGAGGAGAATACCACCTCAGTCACCGGCTTCATCAATAAGTGCATCGACAACGTCGTCCCCAGAGTGACCGTACGTACATATCCCAACCAGAAGCCATGGATTACAGGCAACAATCGTACTGAGCTAAAGGCTAGAGCTGCCCCTTTCAAGGAGCGGGACACTAATCCGGACACTTATAAGAAATCCCGCTATGCCCTCAGACGAACCATCAAACAGGCAAAGCATCAAAACAGGACTAAGATTGAATCCTACTACACCGGCTCTGACGCTCGTCGGATGTGGCAGGGCTTGCAAACTGTTACAGACTACAAAGGGAAACCCAGCCGTGAGCTGCCCAGTGACGCAAGCCTACCAGACGGACTAAATGCCTTTTATGCTCGCTTCGAGGCAAGCAACACTGAAGCATGCATGAGAGCACCAGCTGTTCTGGACGACTGTGTGATCACGCTCTCCATAGCTGATGTGAGCAAGACCTTTAAACAGGTCAACATTCACAAGGCCGCGGTGCCAGACGGATTACCAGGACGTGTACTCAGAGCATGCGCGGACCAACTGGCAAGTGTCTTCACTGACATTTTCAACCTCTCCCTGACCGAGTCTGTAATACCTACATGTTTCAAGCAGACCACCATAGTCCCTGTGCCCAAGAAAGCGAGGGTAACCAGACTAAATGACTACCCCCCCGTAGCACTCACGTCGATAGCCATGAAGTGCTTTGAAAGACTGGTCATGGCTCACATCAACACCATCATCCCGGAAACCCTAGACCCACTCCAATTCGCATACCGCCCCAACAGATCCACAGATGACGCAATTTGAATCGCACTCCACACTGCCCTTTCCCACCTGGACAAAAGGAACACCTATGTGAGAATGCTGTTCATTGACCACAGCTCAGTGTTCAACACCATAGTGCCCACAAAGCTCATCACTAAGGACCCTGGGACTAAACAGCTCCCTCTGCAACTAGATCCTGGACTTCCTGACGGGCCGCCCCCGGGTGGTAAGGGTAGGCAACAACACATCTGCCACGCTGATCCTCAACACGGGGGCCCCTCAGGGGTGCGTTCTTAGTCCCCTCCTGTACTCCCTGTTCACCAACGACTGCGTGGCAAGCACGACTCCAACTCCATCATTAAGTTTGCTGACGACACAACGGTGGTAGGCCTGATCACCAACAACAATGAGACAGCCTATAGGGAGGAGGTCAGAGACCTGGCAGTGTGGTGCCAGGACAACAACCTCTCCCTCAACGTGAGCAAGACAAAGGAGAAGATCGTGGACTTCAGGAAAAGGAGGGCCGAACACGCCCCCATTGACGGGGCTGTAGGGGAGCGGGTCGAGAGTTTCAAGTTCCTTGGTGTCCACATCACCAACAAACTATCATGGTCCAAACACACCAAGAAAGTCGTGAAGAGGGCACGACAATGACTTTCCCCCCTCAGGACACTGAAAAGATTTGGCATGTGTCCCCAGATCCTCAAAAAGTTATACAGCTGCACCATCGAGAGCATCCTGAACGGTTGCATCACCACCTGGTATAGCAACTGCTCGGCATCTGACCGTAAGGCGCTACAGAGGGTAGTGCGTACAGCCCAGTACATCACTGGGGCCAAGCTTCCTGCCATCCAGGACCTATATACTAAGCGGTGTCAGACTGCTGAACAATTAATCAAATAGCCACCCAGACTATTTACATTGACCCCCTCCTTTTGTTTTTACACTGCTGCTACTCGCTGTTTATTATCTATGCATAGTCACTTTACCCCTACCTACATGTACAAATTACCTCGACTAACCTGTACCCCCGCACATTGACTCGGTACCGGTACCCCCTGTATATAGCCTCGTTATTGTTATTCTATTGTGTAATCAATATTTATTTATTTTACTTTATTTTATTTAGTAAATATTGTCTTAACTCTATTTTCTTAAAACTGCATTGTTGGTTAAGGGCTTGTAAGTAAGTATTTCACGGTAAGGTCTACACCTGTTGTATTCGGCGCATGTGACAAATAAAATTTGACTTGATTTGAATTAGATGAAAACAGTACTGGTTTATTACTTTTTTCAAATTCAAATGTATTTTCCACGTAGATTCCACGTCATAATAGGTTGACAAATGACGCTGAAACAACGTTGATTCAACCAGTGTGTGCCTAGTGGGTGAACACACAAATGCACGAGTTCTTAACGTGATAAAAATATGTACTCTCTCAGCGCTGTATGTGTATCTTCTAAGCTACAATGAGCTACAGTGAATAGTTTACTATAGGAGCCTTGTGGTAAATGTACGGGCATGATTTGAAAGCTCATGGTCCAAAGGCTCACACCCAGACCCCCACCATGCTACCAGAAGACATAGAAGGCTAAAGCTGCCTAAAACTCTAGCCCTCCAGGATATATTTCTGAGAACACAGGGGGGCAGAGGAGTGCTAAAAACATCTTCAATCCACTACTCTAAGAAAAATTAAAAAACGTCCTCTTCCAACCCCCACTCTCCTACCCTCTCCCTAGCCTGGCACAGCAACCCGTCACATCTTACATGGTTGCCAGCTTTGCAACACTGAAAAGGCTTTTTCAATTTTCTGTAAAGTTGAGAAAACATCCATTAAAAGATCATAATTTGTATACAATTATCACACATTGCCCCTCCCATCCATCTTGCATGTGAAAAGCATTTTTGGTCATGTGAATAAGAAGGCGGAAACCTTTTTAAAGAGCAGTCTACAATCCATTCCACACATTCAGCCAGTATGTCTATTTAGTAATTATTCATTAGAAAACATTCAACGTCACAGTCAATTTCACACTCGGCAGTCAAAACACAAAAGAGATTTGGCCTATTTACTGCAAGGAGGGCAATGCTGAGGGGAACGACAGAGCAAGAGAAAGCGCAACAGGGGGTGTGGGTGAGGGTTGGGTGGTGGTGGGGGGGGGGGGGGGGTGTATTTGTCTAATCTGTGAACCCAAAAGCAAGTATTTAATATGACAATGAGCCGACTATAAGGAGAAGTAATGGTCTCAGACTTGTTGAGCTATGACACCTATAGTTATCATGTGGAAGAAAACAATGGAATATCTTTTTTAGTCTTCTGATTTCATTACTATCGAATTGTTATTCTGATCCTCAAGGAAGGTGGGTAACTGGGTTAGGGATGTGGAAGGGGTGGGGGGTTGATTTCTCCCACCTTTGAGCCACTCTTTATTTTGCACTCTCCTCCCCTCCACCATCTCTCCCTCCGATCTCCTCCCAGCCCATCATCATATTAAACCAATGAGACAGGTGAACAATATCATTGAAGGCTCCCCATTTGAGATGTCAGAATCAATCTGACAATACAGAACCTCCCTTTCTCCCCTCCTTACCATAAACTTGGGAACTGGAGCCTTCTTATCCACATTGAAAGTGAAAATGTCTTGACATTCCATTCTCTCTCTCTCTGTGTGTGCGAGTACGCACATACATGCTTGTGTGAGAAAGAGTTTCTCTTTACACTTGTGTTTGACACACTCTTAAAGCGTTGACAACAGAAGGACCATTAAATTATACACATTACATTTATTATTTCCTATATTGCCAAGGTTCTTTCCAAATTGATATCAAGTTTGCACACTACTTCCCTAGTACACCTGACCACCCTGTTCCAGGCCTAAAATACTGAGCAGAGACAATTGCTCTGAGTGGTATTGCTGCATGCCAGGCCTGCCCCTGGCGCTCTGCCCATGTGTTGGTGCTCTGTTGGTATTAGGATGGGCAGGCCGGTGGTACGCCTCAGAGCGTAAGGCAGAGACTACAGCCATTCAGGGGGAATCTGAGCTGAGGAGAACACTCGGCAGATAAGAAAATAACTCCAGGGCTGCAGTCCAAACTCAAAGTAGACAGCCTTCGGCCCTAAACCCTCAGCCCTTGAATGGCGTTTTATATCGTCACATCCGAGTGTACCTTAAACATCCCTTGCCCAAGCGAGGGAGAGTGATGTTTGGAGAGGCAACGTCCTTCGTGGGGAAAAAAACTATAGCTATTAATGTACCTAGCAAGCTAACGTAGCTAGCTAGCACTCCTGTCAGGTAGTTAGCTACCCATAGCTGGCAAGCTAGTTTTATAGTTTGGTCATTTATTCCAATACATTTCAGAATTCCATATCAACTCCACAAGTGATCAAAGTTCTTCACTCGCTCCGTCAAGCTAAATCGAGGGACGAGGGGGCAACGTTTGTGAATTGGACCTCCACTTAAGATGGCAACTGCGTCCGGTTTGAGGGATGTGGAGAGAGGTATGGAGATAGAGAGAGAGGGATTTGGAGAGAGAGGGATGGAGAGGGATGTGTGAGAGAGAGAGAGAGAGAGAGAGAGAGAGAGAGAGAGAGAGAGAGAGAGAGAGGAGAGAGAGAGAGAGAGAGAGAGGAGATAGAGAGAGAAGAGAGAGAGAGAGAGATAGAGAGAGAGCCTATCAGAGAGAGACTAGGAGAGAGAGAGAGAGGTGTCTGGGAGCACAAATAGGGGCTGAATTACAAGGGTTAAGGGGATAGAAATAGATGTGGATAGAGAGGAATGACACAAGCAAAGGTGGAAAATGAACAACAAGACACCTACATTTAATGGCAGGCTAAAGCGGATTGTCCCAGGCTCCCCACTTTGGGACAGGATCCTGTTACTCTGTCACAAAGTGGCCATTAGGCTCCTGAAAGAGAGCACTTCTCATGGGCCACAGACTGACACCACACATCACCCAGGGCAACACACACATGTTTAGGGGGCTCCAGGTGTCCAGAGAAACCTGAGCGTCACGGTTCTGTATCTCATCCTACAATGGTCCCTTTATATAGCTTAAATTATAGAGATCAAATACAGCATACTATAATGTGGTAGAAAACAATACTGTATACAGTATGTATTTTACCACTGTATTAGATATTTAAAAGAGTCTGGCAAAGGTTGAAGCTTTAGATGGTGGTCTTCATAAGTGGTGAGCAAGGCACTTAACCCTAATTGCTCCTGTAAGTCGCTCTGGATAAAAGGGTCTGCTAAATGACAAAAAATTAAAAAGTAAAATAACATTGGGGAACAGTCATTTTTGCATGTGCGACTTTATCAATATGCCGTTCTATCAAACAGAGGGGAAGCACACAGACACACAAAAAAACACACACTGCAGAATTACCTCACTCATCTCCAAAGCCATGTGAGTCATGGTTGAATAGGTCTTGTAATGGATCAAACAACTTCCAACTATCGTCCCCGAGTTCACAGTAAAGGGGAACTCTCGTCCTGGGGCTGTTCTAGCAACCGAGCAGTCCTCTCATTCTAGAGCCACTTTTAGCCTCTGGCGACTCAGACACAGGTATGTCCCTTTGACCGTATCACCTCACTGTCACACTGCTTTCCTCTGTCCCTCTGACTCACATGCTCTCTGAAAGAACTGGCCAGGTTCTGGGGAGCGGTTCGTGGGGAGTGTCTCAGTGTGGACTAGTACTTCCTGCTGGAGTGTCACTCCGGTCCTGTCCATACTGAGACCATACTGAGTTAGTTGGCTCTGGAAGCTCTAAGATAGTTAATCATTCATGAAGCCTAGGCAGGAAAGTCTCATTCAGTGCTTCACCTGAGTGTCCACTGACACATACAGTGTGTGTATGTGTGCAGGCTTGCGTGCGTCAGTGTGTGTATAACACAAGGATGCAGAAACTCTATCTGCTCCAAGCCCCCCTCCTCATCCTCGTCCTCCTCCTCACACAAAATTACAGTGCAGGTATTGTGTTACTGATCTTTGATTAGGCAGATACATTTCTGACTAATTACAAACCACTCATAAATACCAAGGTGAAGCTACAGTAACGGGCCTGTTGGGATGAAACTATTGTCCTCTCAGTGCATCTTAAAGCTGCTGTCAATACCAGCCTGTGCTGCAGTAAGAGGGACATACAGTACTATGCTGGCTTTCCCTGTCATCTTTAAACAATATATATCAAGTTTGTTCTCATTTTCATTCAAACAGATCATACATGATTTAACTAACCATAAATAACATTGTTATCCAGAACGATTATTTAAGATGAAGAAAAAACGAAGTATTGATGACCACCTTCCCTATCTTGTAGATTAGTACTAAGTAATGTGTTGGGTTGTGACAGGCTTGTGGGAAGCATAACATTGCCCTCTCATTCTGACTGTTTAAAATGTAAAGTTGAGCATCCTGTAAACATTAACATAGGCATCTTGCATTACAGCCACACTGATTAAACAGAGAGGAGACATTCAAAACAAAGAACATACATTTTAGCCACTACTGAAAATTAAAACAGAAGAGATAACTTGACTCCCACCATATCAACTTAAGTTATATTCTTTCCAAACAATGTTACATAGAGGCTTACATTCCCAGAGACTACTGTAACTTTTAAGGTAATTTATGGGAAACACTGAACCATTTTGAGCAGTTCATTTTCTCCCTACCAAACACCCACCCATATATTCACAATCACACCACACGTCCTGTGCACCCTGCCCATCTAGCCTGTGGTGAGGCTTGTCTAGCCTTAACAAGCTTTGTGCTACCTACCTACAGCTCTCTGATTTAGCATGAGTCCCTGTAAAATCCAATTACACCAGAGTCAGGGGGTTGATTTTCCCATTACAGATTTCATGCTGTGTTTGAGGGCTACGATTTGATAACCCCACACATAACCCCCCTTGCCCCTCTCTCATACATGAACTCTAATTTTCTACTCTTCCTGACACTTTATGTCTCTGTAATGGGGGGAACAAGCGGTATCCCTTAGTCATCAAAGTCCACTCCAGTCAAGCGGTAAGGTCATCATCTGTCCTACCTTACTCTCATTCTATCGTTCAATGAAATGGGATATCAGAACCCATACACACCAATGTTTTTCATTGTTCTACCTTATCATCAATAGGGGGCAGCAGTAGCCTTGAAGTTAGAGAAGCTGGCCTTTAACCGAAGGGTTGCCGGTTCAAATCCCAGGGCGTTGTGCCCTCGAACAAGGCACTTAACCACTAACCTTCGCCACACAATACACACACACCTCTTCCTGCAGCAGGGCACCAATGTACCCAAGACCCCCCACACACCACAAAAACACAGGTAAATACACATACACACACACACACACACACACAAAACCAGCTACACCAGCATATTAGGTAATATGTGCCTGGGGATGGAAACAGTGACCCCTTAACCTCTCAGAACATCATGGGTTAAAAATCAGACCAATTACAGCACAACTCTGCCTCCTTAAAGGGCATGGGACAAGGCATCACAGGATAGCCAAATTAATATTCACCTGCTCAATTAGTCCCATACAACTCAACATTCAACTAATGCTTTATTTATAGGAGCAAATAGATAGCCGAGGACAGAGCTGGACTCTAAAGGTCAAGACTAGCCAGGTTACTGTAGTAGCCTTCTGAATCTCTGCCATGTTCAGTGAGCAATAGACGTTCTGCTAGGATACCATGGCCAAATGCATACAGCTGATAATAAAGTAATATAATGATAATGCAATTATATAACAGTATTCTAAAACGCAATCATTTAGGTTAAATGCAATTTCACTGAGCTACAGTAAGGAAATGCAGCTCGGTTTGTTTAGAGATAGTGGAGAAGGTTATTGGAGATATTGAAAAATTGTTCAACATGCATTGAAAATCAAATGACAAATAAAATTACAAATATCTTACCTTTGAGTACATGTACATGGTTTTATATAATGTGCTTAAAAAGGAGGATTCTTCTGGACAGGTTGTTCTGACAAGTCCAGGCCGATAGAAGCTGAATCAGATCTGGATAGGACAGAGAAGGAGGAGGGCAGCTCAGCTGTGTGTTAAGGGATGCTTGCTGAGAAGTGGGAGCCTGATACAAGGGCGAGAGCAGCTCTATAAACGTTAAATTAGGACACACATCCTTACCTATAGCACCTGGATTTATGGACATCCCATAATGCAACAGCCCTTGCAAACTGGCTGTCATGGTGTCCTAATTTTCTTCTTCTGTTTTTTTTAGGTTGGCCTCATTCCCTGTAACATTCTGCAGAGAGCACTAGACAGAATGCCTAGCAGACATAGACAAATCTCCAATGTGATAAGATATTATTGCAATATACATAGAATCATACTCTGTGTAGTAAAAAGGCACACACTGTCATTCTAACACTTCTCTGGCTGGAACTCTTGATAGTACGCTTAAGGTTGCAGTATAGTCTACATCAGACTGATAATGATCCTACACAATATACAGTTGCCTAATCATTTTCTGCTGGCTGCTGTTGATAACATGTCATCTCTGTACCAAAAGTAGGCCTATGTCAGGTGGAGGGGAGGGGCAAGTTGCACAACTCAGAGTGTGTTGGCATTATTAACTTATGGGAAATACTTGTTCTGATGGGGGGACGGGGACGACGACGACGACTTTCCCATTCCATTAATTGACAGTGCTACAAAGTATTCAAATACAGGCATTCGAGTGGAGGGTCTAGGCCAGTGTTCCCCAACTGAATTTGGCCCGCGGGTGGGTTTATTTGCCCCCCTCCCCCAAGTTTTCTGAGCAAAGAAATTGGAATTGTCATTGTTGGCCATAAAAGACTGTAAAAACACCAGGAAATCTGCTCCAAGTGAAATCTGTTCCCAAGTATTCCCACCCATAATATAAAGACACGTGATCGTATACAAATGTAAGCAAGGTTTGAAATTATGATGTTTTAGTCAAACATTATATATGTTTGGGCTTCTTACGGTCAATTTGGAGTCTACAAATTATTTGTAATTCTGTTCCGGCCCCCTGACCATCCGCTCCAGAAAAAGTCGGCCCGCGGCTCAATCTAGTTGATGGTCCCTGGCCTAGGTTATCTAAATACTTGTTTAGCGGGATCATTATGTGAGCAAAATATATGCTAAACATTTTCATACAAGTAAGATCAATATCTGCAAACTGTTTAGTCCCCTTCCCTTAAAATGACCATCATTCCCACCTGTCTATGTTGTTTGCTGCTTTCACTGGTGTAGGCTCTGTCGCAGCCGGCCGCGACCGGGAGACTCATGGGCGGCGCACAATTGGCCCAGCGTCGTCCAGGGTAGGGGAGGGAATGGCCGGCAGGGATGTAGCTCAGTTGATAGAGCATGGCGTTTGCAACGCCAGGGTTGTGGGTTCGATTCCCACGGGGGGCCAGTATAAAAATAAAAATAAAGATGTATTCACTAACTGTAAGTCACTCTGGATAAGAGCGTCTGCTAAATGACTAAAATGTAAATGTAAATGTGTTTATTTCACTGCTATCATTGCGCCTCCTCGAACACCTTCCCGCTGCATCCCATCAAACCGCGCGATCGAGCGCGCGGGGTCAAAATTCGAACCAGACAGTGACAGTGGTGCTGATGAACAGCTCCTTGCAGAGTGCAGTGGACACACTTAGGCAGTCGGGTGACAGAAGAGGGAGTTTTGAAACGGTTTGGAAGGTTAATGAATGGACTCAAACTCAACGTTGATTCTTTCAGAACAGGTTAGCAAGGGGTTGTTTACACAGGTGTTTTTTACATTTCATGTAACGTATCTGATATCTAGCTAGCTAGCTAGCTCAGTAAATACATTTCTCATACTAGCATTGGGAGCTAACTTGAAACGAGCTACTGTAGCTAGCAGTCAGGTATGGGTCAGGTAACTAACGTTAGTTGAAACAGCTACGTAGCTACTAGTGTAAATGTAAAGCTAGCTGTATCACTGTGGTTAGCTAGCTAGCTGTTGTCTGGCAGTGTGCCAGGTTTGTCAAGTAATGTTAGTTAACGGTGGCTATTTCTGCGCCAGCATGACAGCGATATTCAGAAATTCTGAAAGTAATGTTAACTTTAATCATTCATCACACCTCATCACAGGATTTCAGGTAAAACAATCTAATGATACATCACCAGGCTGTCACCGGTCTGAATTAACTCTGAAAAGCTTGGAACCTTCAAGTTATTGTTTGCTAGGAGCCTCTCTCTCGCTCTCTCTCTCGCTCTCTCTCTCGCTCTAATATATCTTTATTTCACCCCCCCCCCCCCCCTTCTCTCTGTGTGTCCCCGAAAATATGCAGAAAAAACCCCATTACAATTAATAATTGTTGGTCTGAATGGATATGTCAGAGCCCATCAGCTCTGTTTATTCAGCTCTGTTTCACTGTTGGGGGGGGGGGATCTATCCCTGGGTGTCTGGTGGAAGGGACTTCGGAGGGGTAGCCTCAAAATAGATACAAGGGGACACTGCTTGTAGAAACCCTTGGGGGAGGACTTGCTTGACTGCCTGTCTAATTTGTACTGGTAAGCAAAGGTGGTGGACACATCGTTCACACATCAAACACTTCTTCCTAGAGTGGAGAGAGTAAAGAGAGTAAAGAACAGCTTTTCTCCTCATCAATCAGAGCTTAGCTACATCAGCTACGTTATTGCTCAGTGCACTGGACCTGCTTGTCTATAGCCTTCTCGTTGTGTTTATTTGGAGTTCACCTAGCGACATTGTTGACAGGGAAGTAGGGATTTTTATTCAGGGAAGTAGGGATTTTTACGTCAGAAGGAATCATTATTTTGTGCTAGCTGAATTGAGGGGTATTCTTTGTGGCACTGTTACATGGATGTTTCCCTCAAAAAGGTTTGTGTTTTTTCAGATTTTATGTTAAGTTACTTTTGAAGCAATCAAGTTCAGAGATTGTTTTCAGTCAAATTGTCCTTGAATGAACTACAGTCACTTTTTTCATGCTGAATATTCTGTTCCCACAGTAATGTAACTTTATTGTAATGTTCTCACTGTAGCCTAATTTCTTATGTTTCTTAACTAGTTTCTTAACTTATAGCCTATGGCTCATTGAATGAAAACCAGATCAGCTCTTCAGTCATTAGCCTACTTACAATGGAGTTAATTCAACACATTGACCAAAACCTGACTGTCAAATTAACCACAATCAAACTTGTAATTGTATTGCCTATTACAGTTTATAGACCGTGTTTTCACATTATAGAACTTATAGTTATTAACCATTCCCTTTCTGGTTTGTGGGCATGACACTGACCACACAGGGTCTCTAAGCAACACTTTGTTTTTATCATGTGACTAAACATAAGAATGGGCCAGTTCATTTTGCATTGCCCAGTGCACCAGGTGGGTGGAGAGCTCATTTAAGGACCAATGGAATGGTCTAAAATGTGTAAACTCCACCCACCCAGGGCACCAAGCCACGCAAAATGAACTCGCCCAATCTGCCTACTGATAACAATGTGTGGGTGGAGCTCAAATGTTACGTTTGTAACTGTGAAAAATAAGATTCCCCACGAAAGACGAACTATTGTGAACTAACCTAACCAAATGTAAGACGAGACTGATGTCATTTTATACGCAAAAAAAAAGAAGCTTTATAAAGGCAGGAGCGTGCATGTTATTTTAATGTCTGTTTAGAAGAGTCAACAGTATTAAGCCTGCTTTCCAGGCTCTTGCTCCTCTGAGGGAGTCTCCTTCACTAGAGCGGTTGGCTGTAGCGCAGAGGGTCTGGTGGTGACAGAGAGGCAGATGGTTCTTGTTTAACTCCCTTGACAATTAGCTGTCAATCAACCAGATTAATGCAGGCTCTGGTCATCATGGGGGTGGAGTGGAGTGGTTGGGGACAATCAGGTAACAGCCCTCTGGAAACAATAGAGCCACGTGCCGCAGGGCTGGGGACTGTCGTTTGAATGACTAATGATTATTCAACGGCCAGACCAACTGTTACAGACAATGTGCACAGTGTACCCGACCCTACTCCATACTGAATACTGTGGGGGGGGGGGGGGGGGGGGGGGGGCTATGTATTTGTGATTCAGCCAATGGAGCAGTGGGCACCTGATGTTACATTACCTTATTTTTGAGTGTCTGGAACTGGAAAGTAAATCGTCATTGAAATAAAGGAAAGGGCCATTTGTGCAAATGGAGTTTGTAAAACTCTGTCAAAAAATAAACTAAATCAGAGAAGACACGCGATTCATGGGTTGCACCTTCGTCACTCGGTCGCATCGTTGCCATTGTTATCAACATTCTACAGATGCCGCAGCATATTCAAGCAATCTATCAATCAATCAAATGTATTTATAAAGCCCTTTTTACATCAGCAGATGTAAAGAAGAAGTGCTATACAGAAACCCAGCCTAAAACCCCAAACAGCAAGCAATGCAGATGTAGAAGCACGGTGGCTAGGAAAAACTCCCTAGAAAGGCAGAAACCTAGGAAGAAACCTAGAGAGGAACCAGGCTCTGACGGGTGGCCAATCCCCTTCTGGCTGTGCCGGTTGGAGATTATAACAGTACATGCCCATTAAGGCCAGATTTTTCTCCAAGATGTTCAAACGTTCATAGATGACCAGCAGGGTCAAATAATAATCACAGTGGTTGTAGAGGTTGCAACAGGTCAGTACATCAGAAGTAAATGTCACTTGGCTTTTCATGCATTGAGTAGAATGCTTAGCTGGGCATCAGTCCTAAAATGAACATTTAAAAACAATATTGTGACGAAACGTGCACCATGAATAAAGTTTCAGTCTGTGACCTTTCTATAAACTGAGGGCTGCAGGGGTAACTTAGCTCCCTTACAGTAGATGTTAAGCAGCTCCTTTGTCTGTCGATCAGGCTGCTGACCACTGAGCTGTCCCAGCAGACTGAGGAGCTGCTGGGGGACATGCAGTCTCTGTCCTGGCTCACCACCGTGGACGTACCCAGGCTGCAGCAGATGGCCACAGGCAGACTGGCCTTCAACAACACAGGACCCCAGAGCAGCCCACTGGAACTACACCCAGGTTCAGACCAGCACAGCAACATGAATACAGCACTAGGACATGACACCATTGTCCCTCCCCATAGCAACATACAGAACAGTTATCTTGGAATGAACTACCTCAACAATGAAAATGGAAATGTAAGTATTCCAATAGGTTCTGTTTTTGTTTTGTGTTGTATTTGTCTTCGTTATTTTTAATCACCCATGTTCTTCCCTTCATATGTGTCTTTATCTTTCAGATGACAGGAGGGTACCCAGGAAGTGATCTGCCTGCCTCAGGATACCAGTCCTCCCCAGCCCACTACTACCACTCCCCCCAGCAGGCCTACAGCCCAGCTCAGGCTGTCCAACAGGTAACATCCACAGAAATGTTAAGGAATGTTTCTGAACTCTTATGAACATAAGAGTTTATGACAGAGAGATGCATAGAGTATTTGTCTGCATCTCTCTATAACTCGTAATTAATGCAAGGAGGGCCTAATATGTCTCTTGGTTTCCTTTTTCCCAGCATTCCTCCAGCAGCCTGTATAACAGCCCCTCCTACCATAGCCATAACCTGTATGAGCAGCAAGCAGCAGGCATGAGCATCACCAACCCCCACAGCAACCAGGATCTCCTACAACAACCCAATGCCTTCCCCAAACCTATCTACTCCTACAGGTAGTGCAGACTAACACATTCACTTGGTCATTTTACATTGACATTTAATCGGTACAGTTTTAAAACAGTTTGTAAAGGGACTATCAAAAAGCAGACTCAATTTGAACAATTGGAACTGAGCAAAAATGAAAATGGATGATATTTGACTGTTTTCACCAGCTGCCTGATTGCTATGGCTCTGAAGAACAGCCGTACAGGCAGCCTCCCTGTCAGTGAGATCTACGGCTTCATGAAGGAGCACTTCCCTTACTTCAAGGTGAGGAGCAGGGAGATGCCTCTTTACACACATGAGATTATCTGGGCTCATGGAAGTTTGGGAACATCAGCAACATTGTATATTATCAGTATGTGTTTAACTGATGTATGGTTCTCCACCATACAGACGGCGCCTGACGGCTGGAAGAACTCTGTGAGACACAACCTGTCTCTGAACAAGTGCTTTCAGAAGGTGGAGAACAAGCAGGGAGGCTCCTCCTCCACTCGTAAGGGCTGTCTGTGGGCCCTCAACCCAGCCAAGATCAACAAGATGGAGGAAGAGATGCAGAAGTGGAAACGCAAGGACCTGACTGCCATCCGCCGCAGCATGGCCAACCCAGGTGAGGATGGTAGAGCAGACATGAAAAGACTAGCCATATTGTAGCAATTAGCCATTCTAATGAACAAACAGCACATAATGCTTATGTACATTTTAAATTTTTTAAATTTTAGTCATTTAGCAGATGCTCTTATCCAGAGCGACTTACAGTTTTAGTGAGTGCATACATTTTTCATACTGGCCCCCCATGGGAGTCGAACCCACAACCCTGGCGTTGCAAGCGCCATGCTCTACCAACTGAGCTACAGGAGGCCACTGAGTATTCAAAAAATTAAGAGCACCTTCCTAATATTGAATTGCACCCCCTTTTGCCCTAAGAACAGCCTCAATTCGTCAGGGCATGGACTCTACAAGGTGTTGAAAGCGTTCCACAGGGATGCTGGCCCATGTTGACTCCAATGCTTCCCACAGTTGTGTCAAGTTGGCTGGATGTCCTTTGGGTGGTGGACCATTCTTGATACACATGGGAAACTGTAAAACCCAACTGCATTGCATTTCTTGACACAAAAACCGGTGCGCCTGGCATCTACTACCAAACCCTGTTCAAAGGCACTTAAATACTTTGTCTTGCCTATTCACTCTCTGAATGGCACACACACAATCCATGTCTCAGTTGTCTCAAGGCTTAAAAATCCTTATTTAACCTGTCTCCTCCCCTTCATCTACACTGATTGAAGTGAATTTAACAAGTGACATCAATAAGGGATCATAGCTTTCACCTGGATTCACCTAGTCAGTCAAAGAGCAGGTGTTGCTAATGTTTTGTACACTCAGTGTAAACTCATTGTTTACAGCTAATGTTCATGTCTCTCAGATGAGCTGGACAGGCTGATCACAGACCGACCGGACGGCTGCCGGAGGAAGCCTTGTGACCCCAGGATGACGTGTCTCCCCTCAAACCCCTGTGGTTCCCCTCTGTCTGGGCATCTGCAGGAATCCCTCCCCTTCTACCTCCAGGCCCAGAACCACACCCTCCTAGGAGACCCCAGCTCCCCTGTTCCCGGGCGGACCCCTCCCCTCCACGCTGTCCCAGACTACTCCCACAGCCCCTTCATCCAGCAGCAGCCCTACAGACAAGCCAACAGCCACAGTCTGTACAGCCTCCACCCTGATTTCACAACAGAGGTGGACGCTCTGGACCCCAGTATCATGGAGTTTGCCGGTGGGTTATTATGAGGATCGGAGGGATGTTACCATATGTTTAAAATGAAAATGGCATATTTGTTGAACACCTTTATCAAAACAGATAGTCTTGAGCATAACTGTCTGTTTTAACCCAAGGATGATTTGGTTAATGATCTGTTTTAACCGGTTATAATGTGTTTGTTTCTGTCTCTCAGGGAGCCTATGGGAGGGGATGAGAGAGGAGGGCTTCAGCCTGGAGACTCTGAGTACCTTTAACCACTCTCCTCTGTGCCTGTCTGACTGTGAGCTGCCTGGCCCCACCACTGGACAGCCCCTGGTGGACCTAGAGGTTTCAGGGCTGTACACCACCCTGGACCCGGCACCTGCTGTCCCCTTCCAGTACATCACCACCACAGAGGCTGGGGGCCAGGCCGTCGCCCTGCTCTGACTTTGACTGTGAAACACCAATATACACCAGGACAGATTATATGAAGAACACTGCTGTTGAACCTGCATGTCCCCACACCTACTGTATGAGAATCCTGAACGTTCCCCCACCTGACAGGATGTCTTGCCCCTTTTATGTCTATCAGATGTTTTTTTTAAACTGATTTCTGTTTCTCCACCAAAGCACTTAAGAAGCACACAAATCAGCTAGCATAGACATGTTTGATTGGGTCTATCAGATTTTTAGAGTGATGAGTATATAGTGTTTTTGTGTGTGTGATGGTTTGGAGGTAAAATGCAATGCCACTTTATTTCTACAAGAGCTGGAGTCAATGTTGTGAAGGTTGTCATCTGTGAAGATATGTAAAAGGTTGTCGGGGAAACTCATCTGTCATCTATTTCTTGTGGAGGAAAAGTCTTATTGATTTACTAGCTTGTGCAAACAATAATTTTTATTTTACCGGATTTGACTGTGGTATTGTAGCTTGATAGTCTATGTTTGTAGGACTACAGTACTGCTAGGCAGGCATTATCTCAGTGGTTTCTGTTTTGTTCATTTGTATTTATTTACTTTGCTCTGAGTATATGCTCTAAAATTACTCTTAAAGCCATGCCTTACAACAATAATTGTATATTGTAATATAGAGGACTTTTACATGTTAATGTATTTTAGAAATACTAAACATTTTTAACTAAAGATTATTTATGTAAAGGTATTACAGATATGTTAAAAGCCTTAGCAGATTCACCCGTTTTAAACTGACAATAGACTCCTGTGCCTACAAGGTATTTCTCTAAATGTAAACATTTTCAGAATAAATATTTTCAGATGCCAGATTTCTTGCAGGTTTTTCAGTGTTGTACTTATTCACACAACGCACACAGTGCTGCTGAACTAGAATTAAACGTATGATGCAAGAGCACCGTCTACTGTCAGTCTAGGGTATTACAACAAAGTGTATATTTTCATAGCCATACCGTACCAGTGGTGGCTGGTGGCACTTTAAATCGGAGGATGGGCTCATAGTAATAGTCTGGAATGGATTGGAATAATTTGAATGGTATCAAACACACCAAGCACATTTCCATGTTTGATACCATTCCATTCCATTGACTCCATTCCAGACATTATTATGAGCCGTCCTCCCCTCACCAGCCTCCTCTGTACTGTACATATCCTAAGTACCATTTGTAAAAGGTGTTGTATAATCCGTATGTAAACATAATGCATAATAATGACAATGGTACAATTAGGCAGTATGAGGCCAATGGTTTTAAGTTAATTGTCTTTTATATTCTTGTTCCTCCCTCTCCCAAAAAGTTGTTTACAATTTATGTAACTCCTCCCTCACCTTCCCTGCAGGCTTTATTCCTATTGGATGACTGACTGTAATTTGAGATACAATATGCCCCAGCAGGTTTAACCAACTCAACAACACCTGTTATGATCACAGGAGGTTGGTGGCACTTTAATTGGGGAGGACTGGCTCGTGATAATGGCTGGAGCGGAATGGGTGGAATGGTTTCCATGTGTTTCATGCCATTCCATTTCCTCCGTTCCAGCCATTATTATGAGCCGTCCTCCCCTCAGCAGCCTCCATTGGTTATGATACTGATGATTTGTCGCCACAGATGGTTTGTTTACGTTTCTACCGTTGTGGCTAGATGGGGTAGGCTTACAACAGCCCAATCTAGTGGTCGCGCCGGGGACAACAGTTGTTGACAACCGTAGCATTGTAGCTAAGCCTAACCCTAACCCTTTTCCTGACATTAACCTCATTCTCCTAACCTGCTACATTAATTCACCTGCGTTAGTTCTGCTGCCTTAATTACTGGTGTTTTTGAAAATTACTGCATTATTCTCTCAATCAGGGTTGAACCCAGAGCTTTCCTAAATGTGGTTGTGTGCAGTGGAGCTGATCAGGCTGAATCAACAGAACACACTGTTATTGTAGCACATCCACATTCTCTCTTGGGACAGTTAGATCTGTGAAGATGGCAGAGCAACAATAACGCTCAAACCAGGAACAAAACAAGTCTATTTGTAGCCCCGTCTGAGTTATAGAACTGGTTCCAGACTCAATTATTCTGAACCAGAAAATATACGGCCTTTTGTTATTAAAATGCTTACTGTTAAAGTAGTTAATTTTTTATGGAATGTAACTGATTCTGTGGAACCTGTTATTTTATAGCCAAGGTAACGGTTTCACTTTTTGACCAATACCAGGCCGTCCATTGCCAGTATAGCAGCTAATGTGCTATGCAGTGCTTATTTGAATTCCCTATAGTTGTGCTCTGCATCAGGGTTAAAAATCATATTTATAGATTAATTAATGGACATTGTACTCTGAGTTCCTCCTGATGAAGTCAAGGGCCACCTGCATTATGCTGATTGAGGTACTTTCTGTCCATCTGGATCATGCATACCATTGGCTGGCTCTGGCTGCTTGGCCTGTCTACTGCACCCCTGGTGGGCTCTGTTTTGTAAGTATTGCTACTCTGAGACCTGCGGTATCTATGGTTCTGAAACAAAATGGTTGACATTCATCACCAAGGTGGATGTTACTGAACACATAGGTAGTGGATGAAGTGTGTTACAGTATATGCATGTGTCAGTGTCTGTGTTCATGTGTGTGTCTGTGTCTGATACAGTGGCTGCCCGAGAGTGCCCACTTCCATGCGCTTTCGGGAAAATGCTATGAAAACGTTAAGACACATTGCTGCCGACAACGGGAAAACCATGCCCCATGGGGAACTAATTGCCAATAAACAGGTGAGACTGTATAGTTCATGTGGTGTGTGTGTGTGTGTGTGCATTCATGTTGGAAGTGTTTATCTGAGACCATCTGAGATCCTCTTGCTTAGCTTAAAACTGTGTTTGTGTATTCACAACACTTGCTTGGGTGTGTGCTTTTCCCATATTTTTGAGGCAGGAGGATCGTGGTAGGATCCGAGATCTCTCAACTCCTCATTATTGCAGAAGCACTATTCTCCTGTGGTTTATATGGAAAGTCCATTTTGCTCTCATTATTCTGGTATCTCATTAGCTCACCATCTCGATTCAACCAGTGCATCCTCTCCTCACAGTTCTGAAATTGAAAACCTTTGAAACCTAGAGTTGGGCCCTTCGTATGATCTCTGTGTTTGTATGGTTTCTGCCTCAGGTTTGCCAATGCCTTCTACTATGGCCTGGTCCTCCTGACCTCTGAGCTACTCCAGGCAGGAGATGTGTGTGGTTGTGAGTGATAGATGGTCTGCATGTTACTCTTTAAAAGGTTGAAACTTCCCTTTTGATAGTCACAAGCAGAAACTCCTACACCGCTCTAACAATGAAACATGTAAAACAGTCCTGCAAGCCTGCTTTTCTAGTTTCTTTTCTAGAACCTTTGACTTAATGTAAATGTTTTGTACCTCCAGTCATCACCCAAGGTGCCAAGATTGAGCCAAAGTGCGACCTGGAATGCAAATACTTGACGTTAGACGATAACAAAAAGCTACTGGGGACCACCTTAGCTGAATTTCCAACAACATTTAATGCATTTATTTACAGTAGATACAGTTCATCAAAGTAATTCAATGGAATGGAAGCTTGTGTTCTGCTGATATGTTGAGTGTGGCTCAATTAGTAGAGCATGGAGCTTGCAACGCCAGGGTTGTGGGTTTGATTCCCACGGGGGACCAATACGAAAAAGAATATATATATACAAAATGAGTGGGACATTCTGTATCTGTGCGGCCTTGTCTGTTTATTTTTTGTTCTGTCTCTGCAGGACTTTTTGTGATGTTGTTTGTGATCGATCAGATTGGCAGGAAGAAAAGCATGGCGATGTGCATTCTGCCCCTGTACTCTTGTGTTGGGAGGTAAATGCTCTCTTCACCTTGGCCATGTCCCAGATTTCAGAACCTTGGTAATCAAGGGCATTAACTCTTAACTGACCCAGTTAGTCCCTGATTGGCTGTAGAGACTACTCCCTTCTTCATTCCTGCTCTGCTGGCATCTCATCTCTCATACTCCCTCTCGCTACGGGTTGCTCTCACAGTTCATCTTCATCGCCAGAGCCTTCATCACTGGGGGATTCCAAGTTGTTTTGTCTGCACACCTGAGGTAAGCATATTTACATTTTTCCATCTGTAGATACTTGACATCTCAGCTTCTGCTGTTGAGGACATGAGGACGTTTTGTATAAACTATTCTTCCTGTAGGTATATTCCACAGCCACCAGAGGTCAGGGTGCCCTCCTAACTCCCTTTATGGCACATTTAATAATGATAATGATCTAAGACATCCTGCCCCCTCACCGAGGGCTCCTCAGCACTGCTAACCTCCAGCTGTTTTGGCCCATACAGGCGCTGCTCAAGAAGTCTGTGTACCTGACACTGTCTGTGTACTGCATCTGCTGCCTGCTGGCCACAGGAGCGTCCGTGCTGTTGCCCATTGAGACCACAGGCTGGGCCTGCAGGAGACTAGTCAAATCACAGCCGGCCAGGAGATGACCAAAAGCCAGACGTCAAGTGGCTCTGAGGTTTCACCAACACATGCCACCTATGGATAATCCTATAACAGCTGACGAGGACAATAGGGTGGGCTAAGGTGTTGAGAGCAATGGATGGGACTTGATTATTCCCACTTCAGTCTTTTCAAGTCATGTCCCATGGATGCCACACAAAAGGACATTAAAGATGGGACCGTTTACAAACTGGAACGCCACGCAGACATTATTGGATGGGAATAGACCTCTGTTACAGCACATTAGCAAGACTACACTTACATTTGCACACCAACATTTTTGAACGGGACTTTGATGATTGAGTATTTATAGATATTGTATAACCTGAGAGGCAGTGGAAACCTTTCAAATTTCTCTTAATTTATGATAATTATTTAGCGATAATTATTTAGATAATTTAAGAGAATGTAGATGGCAATAATAAATTCCTCCACATCATTTTCATCATTGCAATACAATGGGTGCATATCTGTGCAGGTGCAATATGACTTCTAAGATTTGTGTACTATTGTTCCTTGCTTGAAGTTTTCATTAAAATGTGCAAATAATATGAATATCAATAAATGTCATGATAAATATCCTTTGGTTTCTGGTGAGTGTAGTAGTCTAGTCTGGCCAGAGTCACCTTGACGACATTGGCCCAATGATAGCGCGCACGCAAACCGAAGCAGCCAATCATAAGATCCGGCAAAGTGTCAGAACAGAAGCGCATGTCATTTCTGCTCCGCATGCAACCTGGCTGCGATGTGTTTTGTTTGTCTGCACAATAAAATGGCATATGGCACAGATGGATGCAATTGCACACTTGCCTTTACAACTATTTACAAATGACTATTCTAAAACGAACTGTGAAGGATGGGCGAGGCAGAAGCCGGTGATGGATTTATCAGGATGGTGAAATCAGAGGCAAAAAATATTTAATGCGATCCTGAGCGTTTTCTTCTGTGCTGTACAGGGTCAATCTCGGCCCAGAGCAACGCGCCTTCCTTCCCCCCATTCAAAGGTCTCGCCTCCTCCGTAGCAGTAGCCAACCATGGCCCTGGTAACCCTACAGCGCTCTCCCACCCCGAGCGCAGCATCCACCGCCAGCACCGCCACCACCAACGCGGGGGAGGTAAGTGAAACTGCGGGAGTTGTTCCGTACTTAGGCATCGCGGTGGAGGAAACGCCGGGGATGCGTCCGATGCTCACGTCCCTCATCCACTAGGCCCAACATTGCAGAGTACGCTTTCAGTTGTCAATATAATATTTTGCAATTTAGTGACATCTTTTATTTAACACGGCAAGACTGTTTTGTATGGACATAATTTAATAGACTTTATGGAATCCATCTGTTTAGAATGGTGAAATAGTCCAGCCCCGCGTTATTAGCTTCTAAACAAAATCTGAGCCGGGGATTAGTTACCAGAACAATGCATTAATTGCATGTGGCAGCATTTTATTTCTGCCTTCAGTTTGTGTGGTTTAAAGACAAATAGGCGTTTATACAGCTAGGTACTTTAATTAAAGCATTATCTCAGGACTTTGCATATATTTTTAAGTAATGACATTTGTTTAAATTCCTTGCTTCAGTTTGCATATGGAATATACTATAGAGTGAGATTCATCAGAATTGTGCAGCTACCTGCCTAGTGATGTGCGCCATGACATCATTAGCGAGTCAGGGATGTTGCGGTTGGTACCCGCTCCTTTCAAGGGTTTAAATCACTGTCAAAATACTGCCGTGGCAGGTGTGAGTTTTATATTTAAAAACATATGAGATCATAGATAGTGACATGGTATGGCCAGTAGAGAGCACTGATACACTGTATACAATGCAAGTGTATTGCACGTTTAAAACCTAATGTAAAGCATCTCCTTCTTCATGTCCCATAAGTTCAGTTTAAACATACTGTGGTTCATCACTCTGATTTTGCTAATAAAGCATATTATGCATTTGTTTAGACCATGACTTTCAAAAGCGAATGAATCCATCATTGCTTGAATTCCTGTCGAAGCAGGCAGTTGCGCACAAACACACACATGGCTGACTGCTGCAGAAATGATGTCATACTAATTACATCATTAAAGATACTGCTGCAGAAATGATTTAAAACTGAGTTGGTGACCTACTGTATATAAACCTGTATACCTCTCATTTATATCTGAAAGTATCTAGATTACAATTGCTACAAGTGACTGATTTTAGTTTGAGCTGTAGTATTAAATAGCCTCTTCGGCATCAGATCCACAGATCAAGCACAGTCTAGGCCTATGTACTCTTTTCAACACTGTAACCTGTCATGGAATGCAGAGAGAGCTTTATACAGGTCTCTTACTTCATGCAACAAACAACAACCACTCTGCCCTCTGTCCTCGGGGAGGTACAGCATTGCACTCACTGCTACTGGTACAGAAGGCCCAATGTCTAGCCTATATTTAGTTACTTGTCCACAGATCAAAAGCATCACTTAGTGATGGTCTATATAGCCATAACTCTAAAGGAAAGGAATCTCTCTGATGTCTCCACCAGTCGATGGGAATCTTCTCAGTCATTGTACTATGACATTGTGATGAGGTATGGTAGCAAGGGGAGCATGGAAGGACATAACAGGGCATACGGGTCATGTGCTGCTGTTGCGCAATCCATGCTACTGTACTGTCTGCACAGCCTTGATGGAAGGGTTTCTGGTTCATGTTTCTAGTGGGCCTACAGTGTATGTAACATTTCTCGCTGTCTTTGTCTTGCAGGAATTAGGGCGTGATGATGACCGGAGAGCAAATCAGAGGTAAGCCTCCCCCTCCCCCATTCTCTCCCTGAAAAAACATATATATTTTAATCTAGAAAAAGTAGTTTGTTTGTTTTCAAAGCACTCTTAAAGTACAGTGACGTGATCTATATGGAAAACATTCTTGCCCTCCCTAGGTGCCTGGCTAAATGACTATAGGGCTCTATGTCCAGCTGCATATTGGGGGTCGAAGGTCAGCTATTATATTTCCCTGAGAAGCTGTGCATGCACATGCATTAGGGGATGCAGTAATGTATATTAAGGATCTGTTGTGCTCCATTTGGGGGAGGGGTTGGTATACATTTATTTGGCCAGGAAATCTGTGTGTTTCCCAAGGCCTATGGACATTGACCCCTGACCCTGGTCCTGGTGTCAGTGGGAATTCCAGGACTGGCTTACAGTAGGAAGCCACCAGGAATGTCCTGAAGAAATAACATGGACACTGGTCCTGAATTACACATATTGTAGGCCTATGTAGGTAAATATGAATAATATATTATTCCTGCATTAATGTTATATCCATTAAGGAGCATAGTATAACTATTATTCAATTAATGAGCGCTTGCAAAAGAGATGGAACATCCCACACCATTGCAGTCCATGACAGTTCACATGGAATGTCCCCATCAGGGGACCAGATGTAGGCCTAGTTGTGTCAAGGGTAATAACAGTGATAATGGTCTAACCCTCAGTTACCATTCCCATTAACCGCCATTATACATTCCAACAAACCAGAAACACTATCCAGCTGTATTGCAGAGCTGGAAGTGAATAGCACAGGTGGAATCCTCTACTCAGCTACAGCAGGATGTGATGTCATGGTGTTGTGCCGGAGCTTGTTTTGTTCTAGAGTTTCTTCTGTCAGAGTTTCTTGGAAAGAGAGTTGATAATACCTTTTTGGCCATGCTGTTGTAGTAGGCCTAGTGTTGGCTGCACACTAATTTCTCTAGTCCAACCTGGCTGGGCCAGGGGGGTCTCAGCCTTACACAACAGCTTCCCCCATCTGGTAGACATGACACACACAGTGTGGGTTGAGATTATAACATTGATAAGGTAGATTAGATTCTTGGTGGTACATGGCAGATAGAGGAATGTTTGAAAGGTGGTATAGAGAGCGATTTTGATTATGTAAAATCTTGCTTCAGAGCTGCTTCTGCCTGCAAAAAAGGTAGGATGAGAAGGTAAAAACACAACAAATGATTGATATGAGTGGTTTTGCATCATTGCATTCTATTTTTTAGTTAAACGGCTAAAGCAAAGACATTTAACTTGATAGTGATAAATAGTCACCAGAGAAATGCTGTAGGGCGGAATAGTCACACCATTGATTATTGAAGAGTCTGTTTTTGAAGTGGCCCAGTCTACATTAGAGCTGCTCCTCTTGTCCTCTCTCAGACCCAGTGATGTCAGCGAGTCTGCCTCTCTGAGGGCCATACTGTATCAGTCAGGCAGAAACCTGAACCACATTTACCCTCGGTTGTCACAGTACCCTGCCTGCCTCAGCCAGAAAACCCAAGCACCAGACAGGGTTATGCAGCAGCCAAAGGGAGGTGTGTGTGTGTGTGTGTGTGTGTGTGTGTGTGGGCAGACACTTTTAAAGGGAAGATCTCCTTGGTGTGTGTGTGTTGTCTAACTAGCAGCTTGCGTAAATTGCTTGACACTGGCATTGGATATGTGTTCTGTGAAGGAGTTATGGTTCATACAAAGTTAAATATGCCACTCAATGTGTAGTTTCCTTTGGCTCAGTGACTCATCAGAGATCCTTTGGGATCTTACACGTCAAACAGCCTCCACTCACTCTACAGATGTGTGCTCTGTAGACTGAAGCTGAGGCAAGCTAGATTCCCTGCCACCCAACCCAGCCAATGTTTTGTGTCGGGAGTTGCGGAGGGAGTTCTGATTGCTCAAGTGCGCACTGTGAGGAGGAGATAAGCTGCTGCTAATGGTCGGGGGTTGAGGCAGGAAGCAGAGCTGAACAGACACAGCAGAAGTCTGAAGTCTGATCCTCACAACCCAGACGGGCAGGAGGGAGAGACGGACGCACCAGACCAAGACAGGATACATCATCAGACTAGTTGAACCCTTCTGCACCTTTTTACAGGGAAAAAAGAAACCCAGGGCAATATCGGTTATTATGCTTTGGAAACCAAATTTGTTTTTGAGGCACAATTCTTGTGAATGTATTTTTTGCACGTGGATGTACTATGAAGCTATAAGGGTGGAGGAGATGTTGTGAAGAAGCCAGTAGACACCAGAGAGCTACTGAGGGAGAGATCCAGTAACAGCATCAGGATGCATCTTGTGGTGGAGCCTTCACAGGAAGCCGTGCTTACCATGCTGCCTCACTTTGTGGAGAACGCAGTCCTGACTCAGAGAGAGATCTGCCGAATGTAAGTCCTCCACTCACTCAAGGAGAAGCAATCCTGAGTGTATCTCTCACTGGCATTATTACCTTGATAAGAGGTAGCACAATGGCGAAGATGGTTTGAATGGTTGAAACTTGTAAGTGTGCACCCAGTATTTTCTGTATTAGTCATTGGTATAAAAGTGTAACATTTTATTTTTATAGCTCTGTGGGTTTTTTTCCAGGGTTGACAACTTATTTTTTCTTATACATAAATACAAAGTGTACTTTAATCTTACATTTGATCGTACTGTTAGAATTGCTTACAGGTATTGTTTTAATGGCTGTCTAGATTTCTTCTTGAGTGTTCCTTTTAGAAGTCTACAGTTCACAGCTGTCTTACGGTGCGTTTACACGGGCAGCCTAAGTCTGATCTTTTTCCACTAATTGGCCTTTTAACCAATCAGATCAGCTGTTTTGTCAATAATAAAATACATCAGAATTGGGCTGTCTGTAAACGCAGCCTTAGAAACATAGGGACAGGCTCTGATTGTTCTCAGTAATAGTGTAATGGACGGATCAACAGTAGCTGGAGCCTTTTCAATAAACCTCTCTCTTTAGGTCTATACATCCATCTGTGATTGATATTCAGTACATCCCATTTACAGTACATCAGCCATTTTGAAGATGAGCTATTATGTAACCAACTGATTTTTATATGGTACCCCACCCAACTCTGACCTCTTGACTGAGGCCACCCTCATCATCATCATCCTCCTCCTCATCTTTTCAGGACATTCTGAAAATGAACAATGCTACGTAATGATAACAGCGGGGCAGAAACAAAAGGTCTTGTGACGGACCCACTCTGTCATACCAGGCTTTGTTTGTGGTGGCAGAGCGAGCAGGCAGGCTGCCTGTTAACAAAGCCCAGCTCTGTTCCTCCTGGTCAATGTTGTGGCCAGCAAACGCCCAGCTCTGTTCCTCCTGGTCAATGTTGTGGCCAGCAAACGCCCAGCTCTGTTCCTCCTGGTCAATGTTGTGGCCAGCGAACACCTGGCTCTCTTTCTCCTGGTCAGTGTTCTGTCCAGCAGACGCCTAGCTCTGTTCTTCCTGGACATTGCTTAGTCCAAGGAAAACCTAGCTTTTATCCGGGGGTGGTCAGTGCCTCCAGCACATGGGTTAGGGCAGTCAGGAGAGCCCATCCCTGGCAAGAGAAGGGAGAGATGGATGGTGCTGGCTGAAGAGGGAAAGGCAAAGGAAATATTTCAGTGGTGGGCACAATTATCTGCCCACCGATAGGTGAGGAGACCTAACTACGTTCTGTCAGTTCATTAAGGTCAGGAGACCTAACCACGTTCTGTCAGTTCATTATCTGAGGGAAATATTTCATAAAGGAAAGGTCTGCTCACATTTACTTACTGATGAGTTCAGGAACATCCTTTCCTTCTAGTCACTGAACCTTGGAAAAGCAATTAACAGCCATCCCACCCTGCCTCTTCTTCCCACTGTAGCTCTGCTCTCTGATTCTACCCTCTGTGCATTCTACATCTCCAGGTCATTTGTCTCCATTCCTGGAGAAAAATAGCCTCACTCATTGACAAGTGAGAAGATTACTGTGGGTTGGACAGTTAATTGAACCACATCAGCCTTAGGAGAGTCTGCAGCAGGGCATCCACATTCCACCTGATCATTTTCAATGGATGTTTTGCCTCCCTGAAGTGAACGCACCGGTGATTGCATAGTCTGTCAAAGACATCATGGAAAGGAAAGTAGGCTATGGCTGGGTAGTTTTGTGACAACAGACATACTGTTCATCTGTAGATCTACTTAAATGGAGCACAACTAAACAGGGAAGAGACACCAGGCAGGTGTAGAAAGGAGTGACTATTTCAAATGTCCTCTCTGGTCTAGAGTAGAACGCCATACTACTTACTATAGGTACTGTGGAGTGCAGTGTGCAGTGTGCCACAGACCGTGCTTAAACTGTTGAAGCAGTACAATGATTTGTCCAACACGCTATTCAGATATGCTGATGATCTGTTGCCTATTTTCAGTACAGTATGTACTCTTTCTTTCACTTCTCTAATGAATGCTTCCCCTTCTGTGTGCTACAACATCAAACCACTAGAAACCCTATTTCCCTGTCTGTCTGTCTGTCTATGTTTCAGCCTCAGCGAGAGCTTCTTCATGGTCAAAGGAGCTGCCCTCTTCCTGCAGCAGGGCACCAATGCACAGGGACCCAAGACCCCTACACACCACAAACACACAGGTAAATACACTGGCACGCAACAAACACGCACTGGACCCATTGTTCAGTGAACCGTGACAATGCCACTGCTAAAGTTCTATGCAAAGACAAGGTAATATTTGCTGAGGTTGGCTTGGCCTTTGTGGTTGAGCCTGTATTCAACCCATATTCACTGAAGGATTACCTGGCCTTTGACTGCCCTCGAGGCAGGTACTTGTCTGCTTTTAGCTTTGATATGGTTGTCAAAGTAGGTCCAAGTGTGACCCTAGAGCCTTCCTAGTAACCCGGTGATGTCACACAAAGAAAGGGAGAAGACAAACCACACAAAAAGGGGCTTTGTAGATCCTGCTTGTTTGATTTTCCCATCAAGATGTTACATAAACTCATCAAGCTGGACAAACCAGCCTGCAACGCATCTGATGTTACCACAGTGGTGTGTATACGTACGGGTAGGCCTATGGGTGTGTACCTGTGTGTGATGCAGCATGTCTCATAACAGGGTTGTTGTTGAGATTAGTTAGATGGGGGAATGCTATCACCTCATTTGGAGTCCAAACACACCCCTCCCCTCTCCTCCCCTATGATATGCAGGTTAATCACAAGATCATCACCAGACGTTCAAGTCAATGTTTAGCTCTGATAAACCTGGCATGTATTTATCTGTGTGTTTACGCAAATGACAGACTGTTTCTGCATGTTTGTATCGGTTTAGCCGAGAGTTGTCCTTGAGATTAGATGTTCTGGTACACCATTCCCATTTATTTTCATGTCTTGTCATGAGATGTTCAGGCTCTGCTCTGCCATGTGTAACTTCAGTACAGACGTGTTGTTGTGACGGGTATTGGATCACCCTGCAGGTGGGCCTAATCAGAGGTACCAGTCTAAGTAGGGGCCTGGATAGCCGAGCTGGACACAGTTATACAGTATGTCTGATTAGGTAGATAGGTTTGCTTGATCTGGATTATGGTATGCGGTTCTCTTCTCTCCCAGGTGACTTACCTCGACACCTGCAGGTCATGATTAACACCATCCGCTCTGAGGACCGCATTAAACTGGTGAGTCAAATCCCCATAAGGTACATCTAAGATGTACATACCATCCATTTTGATTGACACAGATGCTACACAGTGTAACCTATTCCTCCTGCTGTTCCCCAGGCTGTACGGTTAGAGAGTGGTTGGTCTGACCGTGTACGGTACATGGTTGTGGTCTACACCAGCGGTCGCCAGGACACAGAGGAGAATATCCTGCTAGGGATGGACTTCACCGATAAGGACAGGTACCCGTCTTTCCTCCTTAGCCAGCAGTAATACAATACAATGTGGTTTGTTGTTATCGTAGGGTAATAATCTATTCCGTTGCATTATTCCTAGTAAAAGCTGCTCTATCGGGATGGTGCTACCACTATGGAGTGATACGAAGATCCATTTAGATGGAGATGGGTAAGTGCTACTCTTCTTCTTCTACATACTGAGTGTACAAAACATTAAGCTATTTCCATGACAGACTGACCAGGTGAATCCAGGTGAAAGCTATGATCCCTTATTGATGTCACTGGTTAAATCCACTTCAATCAGTGTAGATGAAGGGAAGGAGACCGGTTAAAGAAGGATTTTTAAGCCTTGAGGCAACTGAGACATGGATTGTGTATGTGTGCCATTCAGAGAGTGAATGGGCAAGACAAAAAATGGAAGTGCCTTTGAACGGGGTATGGTAGTAGGAGCCAGGCACACCGGTTTGTGTCAAGAACTGCAACGCTGCAGGGTTTTTCACGCTCAACAGTTTCCCATGTGTGTGAAGAATGGTCCACCACCCAAAGGACATCCAGCCAACTTGACACAACTGTGGGAAGCATTGGAGTCAACATGGGCTAGGATCCCTGTGGAACGCTTTCGACACCTTGTAGAGTCCATGCCCCAACGAATTGAGACTGTTCTGAGGACAAAAGTGGGGGGCTGCAACTCAGCATTAGGAAGGCGTTCCTAATGTTTGGTATACTCAGTGTATACCCTCACATACAGTACCAGTCAAAAGTTTGGCCACACCTACTCATTCCAGGGTTTTTCTTTATTTTTAAAATGTTCTACATTGTAGAATAATAGTGAAGACATCAAAACTATGGAAACCTGTAATGCATTTCAATTAACAGGTGTGCTTTGTTAAAAGTTAATTTGTGGAATTTCTTTCCTTCTTAATGCGTTTGAGCCAATCAGTTGTGTTGTGACAAGGTAGGGGTGGTATACAGAAGATAGCCCTATTTGGTAAATCTTCTGTATACCACCCCTACCTTGTCATGAAGCTGGTTGAGATTATGCCAAGAGTGTGCAAAGTTGTCAAGGCAAAGGGTGGCTACTTTGAAGAATCTCAAATATAAAATATATCTTGATTTGTTTAACACTTTTTGGGTTACTACAGTGAGGGAAAAAAGTATTTGATCCCCTGCTGATTTTGTACGTTTGCCCACTGACAAAGAAATGATCAGTCTATAATTTGAATGGTAGGTTTATTTGAACAGTGAGAGACAGAATAACAACAAAAAAATCCAGAAAAACTCATGTCAAAAATGTTATAAATTGATTTGCATTTTAATGAGGGAAATAAGTATTTGACCCCTCTGCAAAACATGACATAGTACTTGGTGGCAAACCCTTGTGGGCAATCACAGAGGTCAGACGTTTCTTGTAGTTGGCCACCAGGTTTGCACACATCTCAGGAGGGATTTTGTCATACTCCTCTTTGCAGATCTTCTCCAAGTCATTAAGGTTTTGAGGCTGATGTTTGGCAACTCGAACCTTCAGCTCCCTCCACAGATTTTCTATGGGATTAAGGTCTGGAGACTGGGTAGGCCACTCCAGGACCTCAATGTGCTTCTTCTTGAGCCACTCCTTTGTTGCCTTGGCCGTGTGTTTTGGGTCATTGTCATGCTGGAATACCCATCCACGACCCATTTTCAATGCCCTGGCTGAGGGAAGGAGGTTCTCACCCAAGATTTCACGGTACATGGCCCCGTCCATCGTCCCTTTGATGCGGTGAAGTTGTCCTGTCCCGTTAGCAGAAAAACACCCCCAAAGCATAATGTTTCCACCTCCATGTTTGACGGTGGGGATGGTGTTCTTGGGGTCATAGGCAGCATTCCTCCTCCTCCAAACACAGCGAGTTGAGTTGTTGCCAAAGAGCTCGATTTTGGTCTCATCTGACCACAACACTTTTACCCAGTTCTCCTCTGAATCATTCAGATGTTCATTGGCAAACTTCAGACGGGCCTGTATATGTGCTTTCTTGCGCAGGGGGACCTTGCGGGCACTGCAGGATTTCAGAGTTTCACGGCGTAGTATGTTACCAATTGTTTTCTTGGTGACTATGGTCCCAGCTGCCTTGAGATCATTGACAAGATCCTCCCGTGTAGTTCTGGGCTGATTCCTCACCATTCTCATGATCATTGCAACTCCACGAGGTGAGAACTTGCATGGAGCCCCAGGCCGAGGGAGATTGACAGTTATTTTGTGTTGCTTCCATTTGCGAATAATCGCACCAACTGTTGTCACCTTCTCTCCAAGCTGCTTGGCGATGGTCTTGTAGCCCATTCCAGCCTTGTGTAGGTCTACAATCTTGTCCCTGACATCCTTGTAGAGCTCTTTGGTCTTGGCCATGGTGGAGAGTTTGGAATCTGATTGCTTCTGTGGACAGGTGTCTTTTATACAGGTAACAAGCTGAGATTAGGAGCACTCCCTTTAAGAGTGTGCTCCTAATCTCAGCTCGTTACCTGTATAAAAGACACCTGGGAGCCAGAAATCTTTCTGATTGAGAGGGGGTCAAATACTTATTTCCCTCATTAAAATGCAAATCAATTTCTAACATTTTTGACATGCGTTTTCCTGGATTTTTGTTGTTATTCTGTCTCTCACTGTTCAAATAAACCTACCATTAAAATGATAGACTGATCATTTCTTTGTCAGTGGGCAAACGTACAAAATCAGCAGGGGATCAAATACTTTTTTCCCTCACTGTACATGATTCCATATGTGTTATTTCATAGTTTTGATGTCTTCACTGTTATTCTACAATGTAGAAAATAGTAAAAATAAAGAAACCCTTGAATGAGTAGGTGTGTCCAAACTTTTGACTGGTAGTGTAAATATACATGAAACTTTACACAAAGGTACGGTATGTGTCACAGTACATCACACAGACATCAAGCTGCATTCAGTCATACAGTCGACCATGAAGTATCTCTGATCGTTTAGCCCGTTCAAACAGCCCAGCCCTGTAAGTGACGCCGAATGAGTTGCTCTGCCCTCCAGTGGGCAGTCCAGTCAACTACAGGCATTTTCATCCCTCCATGTGGCAGACGAGTTCTTGCTGAGCTGTTAGTCATCCCGCTCTGTGCTGGAGGAATGTTCCATTGGGTTGTGTCCTGAATAGTCCCCTAAACCCTTGTAATTCAGCCCCTATTTGTGCTCCCAGACCTCTCTCTCTCGCTCTTTCTCTCTTTCTCTCTCTATCCATGAACCTAATCCTTTATCCTCCCATCTTCTCTCTCCTCAGAGGATTTAGTGTGACCACAGGAGGACGATCGCATGTCTTCAAGCCTGTTTCTGTGCAGGCCATGTGGTAAGTGTCTGGTTTTTTGATTTGATACTGTGTTTGGGTACTTCAAAATATAATTGTCTGGTGACCTTATATTCCCTGAAACCATATAGTGACAGTATTCTACCACGTTGGTTCCATTTTAATATCAACTATCAATGAGCGGAAAACCATTAACCAGTAGATTCATTATTCAGGCTGGTAACGCTTTGATACTGAAAACCTATTGACAGTGTTGAGTCCATGCACCATCTACTGGTCAATAGATGTCAGTACCATTACAATGTGCATGCACTTTTCTTTTCATTCTCAGCAGACTCATAATTTTCTCTGGGTTTGACAGGCCTTTAAATGTGCTCTGAATTTCCTGCCGTCATTAAAAAATCTATTATCAAAAGACTGACTCTCTGTATAATCAGATAAGTGTAACAGCTTCTGAATAGTTGCTGTTGTGAACCTGTATTATGACTGAGAGCTTCTTCTACCTGTGTGTCTTCAGGTCTGCCCTGCAGATCCTCCATAAGGCAAGTGAGGTGTCTCGCAGGCACAACTACTTCCCCGGGGGCATGGCCCTCACCTGGATGGGCTTCTATGAGAGCTGTATCACCTCTGAGCAGAGCTGCATCAACGAGTGGAACGCTATGACTGACCTGGAGACCATGCGGCCCGACTCACCTGCCATGTTCGTCGAACGGTAAGACCTGAATCATCTGGTTTCGTAAGATTCAGTTAAATTGTTTTTCCTATGATTCATTTCAATTTACAGTTGCACTACCTTCTGAGATTGGTAATCTGTCCATCAGATTCATCAGGGTGTTAACCGGGCCTTTTTTGTTTAAATCAAAAGTGATAAATGTGTTGGTTACATTCATAATTGAATGTATATATTGACTTATGTTGTGTTGTTCAGGCCAACGGAGAGAGAGAGAACAGAGTGTGCAATCAAAGCTAAACTACGCAGCATCATGATGTTCCGTGACCTGGAGAATGTCACTTCCAAGGAGGTATGTGTCTCCACTCACCAGGCTTTGTAGGGGCACACAGATCGGTTTGTTGTGACAACTAATTCTGCATGGTATAAGTCCCATAGTGCAGCCTAATACCGGTTATATCCCCCCCTCTCAGATCCGTGTGGAGCTAGAGCAGCAAATGAGCTGTAACCTGAAGGAGTACAAAGAGTTCCTTGACAACGAGATGCTGCTGATCCTGGGTCAGATGGACAAAGCCACTCTCATCTTTGACCACCTCTACCTGGTGAGAACTTTTCCCTAACTTTACATCCTAATTGTCTCTTTGTATCCCTAACACTAACTAGTAACTACAGTCCTCCTCGCTAACCTCTGAACTACTGCCACAACTCTATTACTGTAACCCTGGTGTAGTTAGTTAGTTTGACCTTTGTAACCTGATGGAGTAAGTTGTCTTGATATTCATTCCTCTGTGTTTGTGTCTTCTCTAGGGCTCGGAGTGGAATGCCTCCAATCTAGAGGAACTACGGGACTGTGGGTGAGTGGGAGTCTCACAAACACTAAAGCTATGTCTCTAGAACTGCTCCCTAACCACCACTGCTCCCTAACCACCAGCCCTGGCTCACGGACATAGTGTTGTATTATTCTGTATTCCCATGCCAAGGACAATAATGTACAGTATCGGTCAAAACTTTGGACACTTACTCATTCCAGGGTTTTTCTTAATTTGTACTATTTTCTACATTATAGAATAATAGTGAAGACATCAAAACTATGAAATAACACATGGAATCATGTAGTAACCAAAAAAGTGTTAAACAAATCAAAATATATTTTATATTTGAGATTCTTCAAAGTAGCCACCTTTTGCCTTGATGACAGCTTTGCACACTCTTGGCATTCTCTCAACCAGCTTCATGAGGTAGTCACCTGGAATGCATTTCAATTAACAGGTGTGCCTTGTGGAATTTATTTCCTTCTTAATGCTTTTGAGCCAATCAGTTGTGTTGTGACAAGGTAGGGGTAGTATACAGAAGACATCCCTATTTGGTAAAAGACCAAGTCCATATTATGGCAAGAACAGCTCAAATAAGCAAAGAGAAACGACAGTCCATCATTACTTTGAGACATGAAGGTCAGTCAATACGGAAAATGTCAAGAACTTTGAACGTTTCTTCAAGTGCAGTCGCAAAAACCATCAAGCGCTATGATGAAACTGGCTCTCATGAGGACCGCCACAGGAAAGGAAGGCCCAGAGTTACCTCTGCTGCAGAGGATAAGTTCATTAGAGTTAACTGCACCTCAGATTGCAGCCCAAATAAATGCTTCACAGAGTTCTAGTAACAGACACATCTCAACATCAACTGTTCAGAGGAGACTGTGTGAATCAGGCCTTCATGGTCAAATTGCTGCAAAGAAACCACTACTAAAGGACACCAATAAGAAGAAGAGACTTGCTTGGGCCAAGAAACACGAGCAATGGACATTAGACTGGTGGAAATCTGTCATTTGGTCTGATGAGTCCAAATTTGAGATTTTTGGTTCCAACCGCCGTGTCTTTGTGAGACACAGAGTAGGTGAACGGATGATCTCCGCATGTGTGGTTCCCACCATGAAGCATGGAGGAGGAGGTGTTATGGTGTAGGGGTGCTTTGCTGGTGATACTGTCTGTAATTTATTTAGAATTCAAGGTACACTTAACCAGCATGGCTACCACAGCATTCTGCAGCGATATGCCATCCCATCTGGTTTGCGCTTAGTGGGACTATCATTTGTTTTTCAACAGGACAATGATCCAAAACACACCTACAGGCTGTGTAAGGGCTATTTGACCAAGAAGGAGAGTGATGGAGTGCTGCTTCAGATGACCTGGCCTCCACAATCCCCCGACCTCAACCCAATGGAAATGGTTTGGGATGAGTCGGAAGGCAGAGGTGAAGGAAAAGCAGCCAACAAGTGTCAAGCATATGTGGGAACTCCTTCAAGACTGTTGGAAAGCATTCCAGGTGAAGCTGGTTGAGAGAATGCCAAGAGTGTGCAAAGCTGTCATCAAGGCAAAGGGTGGCTTTTTGAAGAATCTCAAATATAAAATATATTTTGATTTGTTTAACACTTTTTGGGTTACTACATGATTCCATATGTGTTATTTCATAGTTTTGATGTCTTCACTATTATTCTACAATGTAGAAAATAGTAAAAATAAAGAAAAACCCTTGAATGAGTAGGTGTGTCCAAACTTTTGACTGGTAGTGTATGTCAGGTCATTGTTGCATCTTTCCTTCAAAAGACCTACCAATACAGAAAGGTCTGTTGAAGGAACACTGATAGCACCACTGAATGAGATGCTGCCCCACTGCAACGCCACCACTCTTGTCAAGAGGGCACAACAGTGCCTCTACTTCCTAAGGCAGCTGAAGAAATTCAGCATGCCACACCAGGTCCTCTCCAAATACTTCCACTGCACCATCGAGAGCGTCCTGACCAGTTGCATCGCGGCCTGGTACGGGAATTGCTCCGTTCACTACGGCAAGGCCCTCCAGCAGGTGGTGAAGAGGGCCCAGTACATCACTGGGACCGTGTTCCCACCCATCCAGGATATTTACTTGAAACAGTGCCTGAGGAAGGCCAGCAGCATCGTCAAGGACACCACACACCCCAGCCACGAGCTGTTCACTCCCTTATCGTCGGGCAGACAGTATCGGAGCATGAGGTCTGATACCATCAGACTGCCGAACACTTGATCTGGACTGATCACTGGCACTGATTCTCTGCACCTTAGTATACATGCACTCACATACCCACACACACAGATATACACTGAGTGTACAAAACATTAAGAACACCTGCTCTTTCTATGACATAGACTGACCAGGTGAATCCAGGTGAAAGCTATGATCCATTATTGATGTCACCTGTTAAATCCACTTCAATCAGTGTAGATGAAGGAGAGGAGACAAGTTAAAGAAGGATTTTCAAGCCTTGAGGCAACTGACATATGGATTGTGTATGTGTTCCATTCAGAGGATGAATGGGCAAGACAAAAGATTTAAGTGCCTTTAAACAGGGTATGGTAGTAGATGCCAGGCGCACCGGTTTGTGTCAAGAACTGCAGCGCTGCTGGGTTTTTCACACTCAACAGTTTCCCGTGTGTATCAAGAATGGTCCACCATATATTGGGGATTGGAAATGATGCAGACAATTACATTGATGGAAGCTACAAGCTATCTGAAGTATTAAAGCTGATATACCCCCTATAAACATTTAATTAAAAAAAAAAATATGGTCCACCACCCAAAATACATCCAGTCACTTGAGACAACTGTGGGAAGCATTGGAGTCAACATGGGCCAGCATCCCTGTGGAACGCTTTCGACACCTTGTAGAATCCATGCCCCGACGAATTGAGGATGTTCTGAGGGCAAAATGGGGGAGGGGGATGCAACTCAATATTAGGAAGGTGTCCTTAATGTTTTGTACACTCAGTGTACACACATCCACATTATTTGTTTTTGTTGTTGCATTATCGAGAAGGAACCTGCAAGTTAGCACTTTTTGTTGGACAGTGTATACCATGTGTATCCTGTACATACGACTAATAAAACTTGAAACTTTTTTTTTTCTTGATGCAGTGTGGGCTACATCCTCAACGTGACCAGGGAAATAGACAACTTCTTCCAGGGCACGTTCTCCTACCACAACATCCGGGTGTTTGACGAGGAGGCCACGGACCTGCTGGCCCACTGGAACGAGACCTACAACTTCATCGTCAGAGCCAAGTGAGTGCCTACTTGTCAAACAAACTAAACCCTACTTCTCGAACAGCTAACTAAAACACATGTCTTGCAGCATGTGAAGTATTTACCGCATAACATCAATAAAGGAAATGTAGGGTTATTTTATACACTAAAACTATGTGGAAAGCCTAGTCACTCTGGAAAATACTTATTCTAAATGCACAGGGTTTTAATGTAAAACATATTTGCCCCACAGGAAGAACCAGTCTAAGTGTCTGGTCCACTGTAAGATGGGTGTGAGCCGGTCAGCCTCCACGGTCATAGCGTATGCCATGAAGGAGTATGGCTGGACTCTGGAGAAGGCCTACAACTTTGTGAAGCAGAAGAGGAGCATCGCTCGGCCCAATGCTGGCTTTATGAGGCAGCTGGCCGAGTACGAGGGCATCCTGGACGCTAGGTGAGTCCGTCAGGGTATACTGGGGTACTATACTGGTATATGCAGGTTTGTTCCAGTATATAACCAACTGTGCTACACGAGGAGTTTCTGCCATTCATTCTCACTCCACTGCAGTCATGAGGTATTGGTTAGTGCTATCCTTGGGACGTCCCTACCCTAAACCACTACCCTTACCCTAAACCACTACCCTTACCCTAACCATAATCCTTACCTAACCTTAATTTCAACTTCAATGGGGTAGCATCAGAGTTGGGACATCCCAAGGATACCAGGTAGCAAGGACCCTGAGGTATTTAACTTCATTATGCTCAACCTAACTCGCTGCCTAGAGGTCAGGTCAAATGTGACAGTTAATTCACCACAGTAGCTGTCTAGAGGGGGTCAGCAAAGGTAAGCAGTCTAAGGTTATTAGCGTATTATTAGGTTGGTAGAGAGACTGCAGATCAGTGTGACTGAATTATCCTTAAAAAGGCTTATTAGTGGCTAAGTATCTCGTTAAGTACAGTGAGGGGAAAAAAGTATTTGATCCCCTGCTGATTTTGTACGTTTGCCCACTGACAAAGACATGATCAGTCTATAATTTTAATGGTAGGTTTATTTGAACAGTGAGAGACAGAATAACAACAACAAAATCCAGAAAAACGCATGTCAAAAATGTTATAAATTGATTTGCATTTTAATGAGGGAAGTAAGTATTTGACCACTGTGCAAAACATGACTTAGTACTTGGTGGCAAAACCCTTGTTGGCAATCACAGAGGTCAGACGTTTCTTGTAGTTGGCCACCAGGTTTGCACACATCTCAGGAGGGATTTTGTCCCACTCCTCTTTGCAGATCTTCTCCAAGTCATTAAGGTTTCGAGGCTGACGTTTGGCAACTCGAACCTTCAGCTCCCTCCACAGATTTTCTATGGGATTAAGGTCTGGAGACTGGCTAGGCCACTCCAGGACCATAATGTGCTTCTTATTGAGCCACTCCTTTGTTGCCTTGGCCGTGTGTTTTGGGTCATTGTCATGCTGGAATACCCATCCACGACCCATTTTCAATGCCCTGGCTGAGGGAAGGAGGATCTCACCCAAGATTTGACGGTACATGGCCCCGTCCATCGTCCCTTTGATGCGGTGAAGTTGTCCTATCCCCTTAGCAGAAAAACACCCCCAAAGCATAATGTTTCCACCTCCATGTTTGACGGTGTTCTTGGGGTCATAGGCAGCATTCCTCCTCCTCCAAACACGGCGAGTTGAGTTGATGCCAAAGAGCTCCATTTTGGTCTCATCTGACCACAACACTTTCACCCAGTTCTCCTCTGAATCATTCAGATATTCATTGGCAAACTTCAGACTGGCATGTATATGTGCTTTCTTGAGCAGGGGGACCTTGCGGGCGCTGCAGGATTTCAGTCCTTCACGGCGTAGTGTGTTACCAATTGTTTTCTTGGTGACTATGGTCCCAGCTGCCTTGAGATCATTGACAAGATCCTCCTGTGTAGTTCTGGGCTGATTCCTCACCATTCCATGATCATTGCAACTCCACGTGGTGAGATCTTGCATGGAGCCCCAGGCCGAGGGAGATTGACAGTTCTTTTGTGTTTCTTCCATTTGCGAATAATCGCACCAACTGTTGTCACCTTCTCACCAAGCTGCTTGGCGATGGTCTTGTAGCCCATTCCAGCCTTGTGTAGGTCTACAATCTTGTCCCTGACATCCTTGGAGAGCTCTTTGGTCTTGGCCATGGTGGAGAGTTTGGAATCTGATTGATTGATTGCTTCTGTGGACAGGTGTCTTTTATACAGGTAACAAGCTGAGATTAGGAGCACTCCCTTTAAGAGTGTGCTCCTAATCTCAGCTCGTTACCTGTATAAAAGACACCTGGGAGCCAGAAATCTTTTTGATTGAGAGGGGATCAAATACTTATTTCCCTCATTAAAATGCAAATCAATTTATAACATTTTTGACATGCGTTTTCCTGGATTTTTGTTGTTATTCTGTCTCTCACTGTTCAAATAAACCTACCATTAAAATTATAGACTGATCATTTCTTTGTCAGTGGGCAAACGTACAAAATCAGCAGGGGATCAAATACTTTTTTCCCTCACTGTATGTCTGTATAAAGCTTCCGAGTGGCGCAGCGGTCTAAGGCACTGCATCTCAGTGCTTGAGGCGTCACTACAGACCCCCTGGTTCGATTCCAGGCTGTATCACATCCAGCCATGATTGGGAGTCCCATAGGGCAGTGCACAATTGGCCCAGCGTTGTAGGCTGTCATTGTAAATAAGAATTTGTTCTTAACTGACTTGCCTAGTTAAATAAAGGTAAAATATTATTTTTTTAACATGTACTCTGTACATAATATGGTTATTCTAACCCAATCACTTTGTGCCTCAGTAAACAGCGTCACAACAAGCTGTGGAGGCCCGAGGGAGGGGAGGACAACCCAGATGAGGCGTCTGGCCAGTGTTGTGGTGGAGAGGAGACCCCCGTGGAGGATGAGGCCTGGGGGGGAGAGGGCTGCGGCGCCTCGCCCTGCCAGGGCATGGGCCTGGAGGTGGACGCCCTGGACCCTCTCAACTACAACTACTACTTCAGACGGCTGTCGGACACGGCCCTGGACAGCGAACCCTCCACCCCAGTGCGCGGCCCTCCCCTGCTGGGCATGGAAAGGGTGTTCATCGAGATCGAGGATGTGGAGAGGGACGCCCTTCTGGAGGACGAGGGCTTCCCCATGGCCCAGCTGGCTCTGCCTGGGGAGGGCACCGCCGCCCAGACCTGTGGGGGCCGCCTGGAGCCCCTGGAGGACATGAGGCTACGTCTGGAGTTCAGCACGGTGGAGGAGGAGGACGAGGAGGAGGTGCAGAAGGAGGAGGCGGAGATGGCTGCCCTGGCCCGGACTCCTGCAGGAGGAGAGGGAGCGACGGAGGACGAGGAGCGGAAGGATCAGGCCAACGTGAACCGCTTCAACAACGAGAACGCCAACAACAGTAACCGTCTGGCTGCCAAGCGCAGCTGCCCCGCTGCCTTCGACGTGAGTGGGACAGTAATTAGCTACCTGTATATATAAGAATTTTGATGTAACAGTTCGGTTACTTTTAACTTGAACTGGCTTGGGGTTAGGGTCAAGATATTAAGCCTATAATTGTAATGCTGTAAGTGTAGTGTTTCTGTCATTATTTGATCCCATTTCATTTCAGGGATCATCATCTTATAGGTGTCATAATCTGTGTTTTATTAGCTTCGAGACCTTAATCAGGTAATGTCCTTGGTCCATTAACCTGTCACTCTGTCTGTGCCTGACCATGCATTCCCACTCGCTCTCTATTTCTTCTGTTTAGGACAGTGCTAGCACAGGAAACCCTTACAAAGTGAAGCCCTCCTACCAGTCGTGTAAAGACTGCCTGCGTCTGCCACCAGGGCGGCGCTGTGAGCGCCCGGCAGGAGGACGCACCCACCGCCTTAACCCCACACGCCACTGCGGGGTGGTCCCCACCATCTCCATAGACCCCCCTGGCACCCACTTCGCCAACACCCCCACCCCCCACTCCCCCTGTGCCCTCCCTGCCACCATTGCCCGCCTGGAGGCCTACCGCCAGCGGCTGGTGTCGCCCATGAGCTGCGAGGAGCTTCCCCGAGACAGACACTGCTCCCTGGAGACTGAGGACATGGACGAGCTGCAGGAGGAAGAAGAGGAAGAGCAGGAGCCAAAGCCAGGCAGGGAGGCGGGGACAGGAGCCATCACAGAGCTCACGTTTATGAAGCTCAGCTTGGAGGGGGAGAGGCCAGCGGGTCAGCCTCCTGGTGTGGAGTTGCAGTCTGCTGGGGTGGAGATGGAGCCTCCTGGTGGTGGAGTGGAGACACAGCAGGAGGCCCTGGCCCAGCTACAGAGGACAGGGCTGGAGCTGGGGCGGGTGAGGCAGAGAGCAGAGCAGCTGGAGAGGCTCTTAGGCCTGGCCATGGAAGGTCCACTCTCAGGGGCTGGGCTGTCTGACCAGATAGACCTGAGCTTGGCGGTAGAGGAGATGGAGATGGAGGGGGATGTAAGGGTGCATTCTAAAACCCCCATCCCCTCTACCAGCTGTGCAGTCACAGCCGCAGACCCCCAGATGAACACCACCCCAGTGTCGTACCCCCAGTGGTCCACCCAGACTTGGACCCCTGTGTCCTCCCCCCACGGCTCCACCCTCACCCGGAGCTCCAGCAGCGACAGCCTCCACAGCAACCGCGGGGGACACCCAGACCTGGTCAGGCCGCGCACCCAGGAGATAGAGACCCGCATGAGGCTGGCCGGCCTGACCGTCCCCTCCCTGCTCAAACGCTCTAGCTCCCTGGCCAAGTTGGGAGGCCTCACTTTCTCCACAGAGGACCTCTCAGACCTGGCTGATGATCAGGCCCAGCTGTTCTCCACCGTGCCCCCAACCCTCTGAGCCTCCATCCACCCCCTGAAGCTGACTGTGTTTCCAGTGTCTCTCCTCCAGACAGGTTCCATGTGTCTAAACTCCAGACAGTGTCAGAGCAGAGGGAGCAGGTTTGAAGGAGAAGGGATACATTTGCCAGGTGTGCTAGAGGTGTCCTGGAGACATGCCTGAGACATATTAGCAGCATGTTGGCTGGAAGAAAGAAAAGTAACTAAAGAATTCCTATTCCTATTATAGACTGAGTGTACAAAACATTAAGAACACCTTCCTAATATTGAGTTCACCCCCCCCCTTTGCCCTCAGAACAGCCTCAATTCGACGGGGCATGGACTCTACAAGGTGTCGAAAGCGTTCCACAGGGATGCTGGCCCACGTTGACTCCAATGCTTCCCACAGTTGTGTCAAGTTGGCTGGTTGTCCTTTGGGTGGTGGACCATTCTTCATACACACAGCAAACGGTTGAGCGTGAAAAAACCCTGCAGCGTTGGAGTTTGACACTCAAACCGGTGCGCCTGGCACCTACTACCATACCCTGTTCAAAGGCACAATCTTTTGTCTTGCCCATTCACCCTCTGAATGGCACACATACTCAATCCATGTCTCAATTGTCTCAAGGCTTAAAAATCCTTCTTTAACCTGTCTCCTCCCCTTCATCTACACTGATTGAAGTGGATTTAACAAGGGACCATAGCTTTCACCTGGATTCACCTGGTCAGTCTGTCATGGAAAGAGCAGGTGTTCCTAATGTTTTGTACAGGCAGTGTACATGTACTGTCTGTTTATCAATCCAAATAAGATCTACTATTGGAGAAGAACCACTCGAAGGAGCTCAATGAATGTGTGCAACTGAGCCTCTGTTTTGATTCATTCAACATCTCATGTGCCCCTGAGCATCTCGTGCCCCTGTGCATCTCATGTTCCCCTGAGCATCTCGTGCCCCTGAGCATCTCGTGCCCCTGTGCATCTCATGTGCCCCTGAGCATCTCATGCCCATGAGCAGACTGACTGTTGAAGATTGAATCCTCATTTACTGTACATTCCTCCCTTGTTACAAGCTGTTTTTGTGTCACCGAACAACTTAATCATATGAGCATCTTCCTGACTCTTCAAGCAAAGCATCTCAAGACTATTTTGGTCCAATACTGTTTTTGTTGGCTTGCCTCCTCAATGACTGGCTCAACCAGCCCTCCTCCATTGAGGTACTTAATGTAATAATGTCTTGAGAAGTGGTCAAAAGTCCAATCATAAGTCTAGTGTTACACAAGGTGTTCTCGTCGTGACTAGAGCTTCCTCATGGGGATCACGCATGCTATGGATGATGGGAAGAAACACAGTTAGAGAAGAAATATTGACATTTTCTCCTGGATTAATTTCTGTTTCTTTGAGGTAGTTTAGAGGGAGTATATAAACTTTGGTTTGGTTTAGTTTTGCCACAGCTGGACTTTCACCACTGCTGTGCAATGGCAATAGGTACAGTAGTTCAATGATCTGATTGAGAACTCATCCTCATGCTTGTATGGTTTGATAGGATTTGTGGGCAACTGAAAGAGTTCAAATGGTTTTGGGACAGGGTTTTACAACACTGCATTAATCTACTGTACCACTGATTATCCTCTGCCCCCCCCCCCTTCTCTCCAGACCAGCTGTAGTCAAAGCCATAATGTGTCTGACACCATGACTTTCTTCCATCATCCCTTCATCACTCTCAAAAGGCAATCAAATACAGTAGGTCAAGATTTTCTGACTGTTTAGCATTGGCATCAACATTTATCTTCTACATGCTAGTACATACTCTCCTCCCCTTTCTGTTCACACCTTTGTGATACTGCACAGTAGATGTAGAAGCTTTGATAACCGGCTTTATTCAACTGTCATTGTGCCACAGCAACAGAGTAACATTGGACTACCTTTCTTTGTACTGTTAAAAAAACTCATACATTGATCTGCATAAGCTATACAAGACAACACCTTTGACTCTCTGAAGGCCCAGGCACAACAATGGTACTATGAAGTGGCCACTGAGTCGTTGCTATACATTGAAGCAGAACTACTGTTTGAACAGCTTGTTTTTGCTCTCCCATTTAGTGCCAGACCTGGGAGTGTCCCAGCAGTGTCTGTGATGTCTGCAGCAAAGCCTAATGTGATTTAGCTGGAGCTGTTTGGGGCAAAAAGAAAGAAGCAGCTTTTCTCAGCTTTTTACATTCGCATGGCAACGCTAACAGCCAATCTAGGAAGTTGGGACAAAAACAAGCTGAGGCGTTGGAACAGACGATTATCTATAGTTGCTCAGAAAGGGGTTATAATTCTGGTTTCTGTGGCAGTCTGTAGAGAGAATATCACTAGCTACTAGGAATTGATTTGTTTACAGCAGATATGAGGAACTTCCAAAGCTGTTGTAGAGCAGCAGTACAGTATGACAGGCCACTGACATCATCCCACATGCTGTATGACCAATGTTCCATTAACTTATCTCCTTTGTTTATCAGTTAGTGTATTTATTTTGTACATGTTTTAATTGTATAATATAATATGCAGGTGGTTGAGTTCTTTGTGGCCAGCCTAAGCTTACTTTGCCACACGGGTATTATTATGCTTTGAAAGTTGTTTTGTCTGTTGTAACTACTGCATTTGGCATGTTGAGTGTGCAAGGATAATGTGTGATGATGGCAGTGTGTGTGCAGGCGCATGCATATGTTAAGATTTTATTACCACCATGGTTGTAATATGAGTGCTATGGGAAGATGGGAAAGGTGTCTGTGTATGAGTGCAAAATAACTGTTACTCCTTGAACTATACGTCATTGTCACTGATGCAATGCCCTATACTATACATCATGTAGACTGGATTGCTCTGGATAACAAAGAAAATGAAAATCACTCTTAATCAGCTGAATATCGCGGCATGTGTTACATTAGTAACTGTTGTTAGTAAGTGTGTGTTACTCAGAGGTACTGGTCAAAGCAATTTGCATTTAATTTAGGTTCAAGCCACAGTAATGGCTTGGGTTCTGTGGTCAGTGAACACTGGGTGTGTTTAGACAGGCAGCCCAGTTCAGATTATATTTTTTTCCACTAATTGGTCTTTTGACCAATCACATCAGATATTTTTCAGAGCTAATCTGATTGGTCAAAAGACTAATTAGTGAAAAAGAAAGATCAGAATTGGGTTACCTGTTTGAACGTAGCCCTTGTGGATTTTGAGTTACTGCACTGTTTGCCTGTGTTCACTGGTGGGTTTTCAATTATCAAAGAGATTCCCACACAGGTAATAATGATTTGAATGGAATAGGGATTTGTCTCAAACTACCCCCTGTCCCTTCACTTTTAATCCAGTTCAGCCTATCAGATGTCTACCACTTGAGGTTAGTGTGGTCACCATTTAGGCGAGATCATTTGGGTTTGCGCTTTATTCAAACCTACTGTTATACTACCTTCTTGTGGCTGTTATAAGCATGATGTAATTTATGACATAACAGGTTATAAAAGTTTACAGAATATCCTATAATATTATAAAGAGTGGAATTCGATCTTGAAAGTTCAACTTTTTATTTCCTGATACTGTGATGGGGTTATGATGACATTATTATAGAAGTTATGTTTGGTTGGCCAGTTGTGCTCAGCTTTAGGCCATGCTCATAGCAGTGAACAGTAGGCCATGTGGTGGATTTAAGTGCTGTCAAAATGAGCGTCTTCACCAAATACTCCATCACCACTGATGCTATGCTTAAAGCTACTGCACTAGGTTTGATTGTTTGCGTCATTGTTTTGATTTTGTGTTTTTATATTTCTACATAAGTGCCTTAACCTTGGCCTTAGCTCTGGCTGTCCTAACTGCATTGTAGGCTTTGCAGAGTCATTGTGACTGGAAAGGCCACTTGCCCTCTGCCCCCAAAATAACAATCCTGATGCCCCTTGTAAGCTACGTCTTGGCTCACACAAACCCACAAAGTACACATGTTCACACACAAGCTCTCACTCCACACTTGCATATGCTTGACAAGCTCATCAGTTGCTAGGGTGATCTATTATTGAGACCAAAGTCTGAGGGGTTTATTTAGACAAATAAGCACAGAACCGAGTCTTATATCTACATTCCCAGGCATCTTAGGGTTCACCTGCCCTTACTGACAATCCTTTAACTGGTCAATGCTTTGAGAGTGTGATGGAGAAAGCTGGATATAGAGACATAGGAAGAGGGGGATACTTGCAGTAGTTCATGTCAAGAGTACAAGTTGCCATCTTTCCTTGATGTTCACCCCTTACCATAAGATGTTTTTGCATATAAGCCAAGGTATGAATGAGTGAAACCGCCTAATACATACATAATCAAGTTGAGTGATTTTTGTTACATTTGTTTTTGTACTTTTTTTGGGTGTTTTCTTTTTTTAAGCTGTGACTTATTGTTTGCACTGGCTATGTTGTGTGATGCCTTTTTTCTATGATATTTTGTTTTATTTTTTACATTTTGTTAAAAGGATGTCCAGTCAATGTGTATCATGGAAATAAATACTTTCCTATTTTCTGGCCTGTACTGGATCATACTGCACACTGAACGGAGAGGAGACCATCCATCATCTGACACTACATGCACATAGACCATTGGTTCCCAATCTTTTCTGAATCACACCTAGGGTTGCAAATAAATTCCATGGTTTTCCAGACATCCTGGTTGGAGGATTCCGGGTTTCCTGCTTATCCTCTCCTGGACTCTTTTCTTGCTCACAGGGAACAGCAGTATCTGTTTGCCTTTGGCCTTTTGCACGGCCTTATTAGTTAACAACACAAGGCAGAACTCTTATTGAGTTAGTCAAATTAACTAATTGTGACATTACGGGATGGGCAGGGAGGAGAATGGGAGCAGGAGGAGACTGGTGACAGTGGAAGAAGGATCCCTCCAACAAAAATACTCTGTAGTCCTTCAGGGCGACAGGCTAGACAGGCAGGCCTGCCGCTTACACAACTCAGACGGGTGAGTGCCTCCCTACCTCTGCTCTGCATCTCAGATGACATGAAGCAAATGCTGTAACATTATGACAGACATAGACTTTATGCATAGGTTACATCAATTCTAATTGAGCTTTGTTTGTTGATGTGTGAAAGTAGGATGAGTGTGTTCAGCGTTGCCCTTTTATTAGACAAAATTGTGTATTTGGTTGAATGTAAAGATAGTCAGGTGATGTGTTGATAATACTGGACCTGGGTTTGGGTTAAACAGATGAGGAGCAACGTTAGTCTCAATTCTCTGGGCTATTGACCAGAGCAGCATATTATTTGATGATATTCTGAGTGACACACACATTTTTGCATCCACGCGTCAGTCAACTTGGTGCATGTGCCTCAGTTGTTTATGTCATGATGTAACTCCTGGGTAAAGAAATTGACACACTCAACCATCCACTACGTCCATGGCCATGATGATTCAGAGCTATATTCAACTCCATGTTTGCGCCTCAATGGGCTGTTCTGAAGTTGGCCACAAAGGTATTTGTGTAGTTATCTTTTTATGGCCTACCACATATGATTGAATAGCAGCCTTTATTGTTACACTAGGCTCTGCATAGCGGTTACCTTTTTTACCTGTTCTCTTATTCGCTCTTTTGAATGGTGCATCATACTAGGCACTTATTTCCATAAGGGCCTGGGACTGTTTTTGTTTCAGAACAGTTTATGTTGGGACTTTCGGGAGTTGCTAATAGTTTGTTCTCTTTGAGTCACGTCTCTCATAAATGCTCGGTGTCCTCGCAGAGAAACTAAGGGAAGGAGGGAGGATATTTGGTTGAGGCTGTTGTCACAGACGCCTCCCACAGTTGCCAGCTGCTGCCATGAGAAGATCCTCGACCCTGCACACATCCATCTCAAAATAACCCCTTAGATACAAGCCGGAAGGAACTCTGCAATGCGCATATATATAACTCAAAAACCCAACCTCAGACAGGCAATTGCTTTAAATGAGAATGACAGATCATATGTGAATTTGGTTGGGTCGCCCAAAAAGTTAGATATTGCATCTTTAACATACATTCATTGTAAGTGATTATAAGTTCTTATTTCATAGAAATCTGGAAACACTGGGCAGTTACTTTGATAGCTGAAGGTTAAACGTGTTTAACGTGTTTAGATCACTTACTTCACTTAACAGCTGAGCCTAAATCAAACGCAAAAAATGATCTCATAGCAAATTCTACCATTATTAAAACATTGATCACTGCAGGCCTGGGTTTAATGCAGTATAACTGATATTGTCTGGGGGGCTTACTGGAATAGTGTTTAATATATAAGTAGCCCTGGACAAGTGGCTCTCAGCACCACTTAAGCCTGAAATAGCTGAAGAGGCAGCGGGGTAGGATTAGTGATGCAGGGTCAAGAGGTTCAGTCACCTGTCTGTCCTCAATCATGCCTGGAACATGGAAATGGAATTAAAGGCTACTGGATGTCTTCATTTGGTTTCCTTCAATTATATGTTTAGTCACTGTCCATGTTGTAGTCTACTAAATCAACACCCTATGAAAATAAAACATGTATTGCTACATTTGTAGGCAAGGCAGCAGCTACTCTTCCTGGGGTCCAGCTAAATTAAGGCAGTTATACATTTTAAAAACATTACAATACACTCATAACATATTTCACAACATATTAAGTGTGTGCCCTCAGGCCTCTACTCTACTACCACGTATCTATAACACAAAATCCACGTGTACATGTGTGTATAGTGCGTCTGTTATCGTGTGTTTGTATGCATGTGTCTATGTTTGTGTTGCTTCACATATGCTGTTAAGGACATGGTATCACATTTCTGTGTCATAGAGACAGTTACTGTGATGACACACAGTGAGCATTCACATCCAATAGGCCTATGCACATTTCAGAAGGTTTCGCCATGGTGTAAATGCCAAGTGTTTACTACAGACAATAAACCGACCTTAGTGTGATCGTCATTTGAGGACATAATACTTCGTATTTTTGTTTGTAACCTAGAACTACTAAGAAACAGCATGCCATTTTAAAGCCTGTTGAGCTTTTGTTCCTCTCAAATAATCTCCCCTCGGCCATCCATCACATCAGTCGTAAAACTATGTCCTGACCAGTTCCCAGACTGACAATCCTGTTCCAAAGTCAAAACCCTTGTGACTCTGATCTGTTTTCCAGCTGACCTTTCCCTGGTCCTCGTTGTCATAACAATCATAAACAATCAATTGGTTTAATTCTGTCTAATGCCTTACTGTAATATTCTAAGAGTGCGCTTAGATCATGCTCTTACTGTAGATATCTCAGTATGCCTTACTGATTTATTTTCAATGGGAAATGGGCATTGGTTTTGTTCTGTTCATGTTCCAAACAGCCCTCAGTGTTTGAACTTGGCACCAGGCTGGTGACTGATCTATTATCCCAGTTGTCCTGTTTCCTTTTTGGCCCTGGCCTGTGACTCACCGGTGGCAGTGAGAGCCACTTTAATTATAGCGCCACAACATTCCAGCAGGACAGAATGAGGAGAGATAGAAATAGTTCACTGGAGAGAGTGGGGTGGGGTGGGGTGGGGGGGGAGAAAGTAATATATTTTATTCCTATCCTATCTTCAATTTATATACAGAAATATGGAAAGTGAGAGAGAGAGATAGGGGGTGAGCGAGTCAGACAGGGAGAGGCTTGGCACAAGGCCTTCTGTCAAATTAAGAGATAGGCAAGCAGCATGCTACTGTTCACTCTGAGTCGTTCCTTGACCACTGCTGTGTCTTGACGTGTATCTCTCTCCTCCTATAGAGAAGAAAAAAAGAACATCAACCAATGGGTCAGAAACTTAACAAAGTGTTGGAAAAGGAAGGAGTCTCAACAAAAGCCTCCAATGGAGGTGAACAGTCGAAGCAGGGGGGAGAAGAGGGCCTTGAGGCACAGTCGGAGCCCAGTGAACAGGGCAGCGGTAGTCGTAGTGATGGGACTGGGAGCTATGGTATAGCAGAGGGACTTAGTGTCAGCAGCAGCCTGGCCACTGAGCAGGCTGCTGCCCTGACAGACACCCTCAGTAAGGAGCCAATGAGCCCCGCTCTAGGCAAGGAAAAGAGCCCTTTGACCGCGGGGGGAGGGAACGAGGGAGGGGACAGAGAAGACAGGGCTGTCACACGTAATACAGACAAGCCAGAAAGTATCCTGAGCTCTGAAAGGAGCACACAGCGCTCAGAGCCCAAAACACAGAAGAAAGCTGCGGATAGTAAGAAAAGGGTGAGTACTGGGATAGGAGCTACAATGGAAGGACAAGTGAGAAGTAAATACCCTGCTGGTGGTGGGCACAGAGACTCAGATACAGAGGACATGACAGATAGGTCTAACACAGAGGACTTGATCTCAGAACCTACCAAGGAGGACTTCGTACTTCTGGAGAAGGATGAATCGTGGATATCGTCTGATGTGAGCAGCGCGATTGCTGATAGCAGGGACAAAGAGAAGGAAAAGACACAGTCTTCTGTAAAAATAATAGTGGAGGAGGATACGACTTCTGCCGCTGGTGTGAATATATCTCAAGACCTTCCAATGTCGCCTACTGACCCACAGAGGAACGTTTATTCTGCTGTGGATGATCACAGGCTCAGTGAGGATAGACTTCGGAGAGCTTCAGGAAAGAAACACCAGGAATCACCTTTGGGCAACGAAACAAACAAAACACAGAATTTGCCACAAGTAACACGGGATGAGGATACAAGCAGCACTGTAAACACTTCTTGTGTTATTTCCAGTAAAGGCAGCAGTGGTTGCGAGGCACAAAACCAACGTTCACAAACAGACTGTTCGGAAAGAGCAGATCCACATTTGGCTGAACCGGCAGGCATCGGGTGTCCCCCAAAGAAGGCTGAACGAACTGAAGCTGTCAAAGCTATTTCAGAGAAGGAGTCCGGAATTACTGCAGTTTGTGATCTCAAAACAGGCATTCAAGGCAAAGAACCAGCCCTCTTGAGTATTGAATCAACTCATGCCAATTCCAAGTCAAATGATATAAATAATAAATTCCCTGATGATAAAGACTGCACTCGTGATGATTTGGTCTTATTGAATATAGAAGAAGAACGTGATGAGAAAACAGAGGCATTATTCGCGCTCAACACAAAAACGAAGCCAGACAAACGCTGGGAAAAGACAGATCCCGTTAAGAGGGGTTCACAAACTGATAAAGAGAAGAAGGCCACAGCCACAGTCCCAGATGAGCATCCACAGGTAAAAGACACACAGAGAAGGGAAGTAAAAAGAGACTGTGTCACAGACAACAGAATTGGGCCATGTGAGTCAAATCAGTGTGAACCTGAAGTACACATGTCATCTTCAACAGGTGTCCCAGGATATCTAAAACCACCACATCTTCCTCAGCCTCCACCAAGGCCAAAGGCCAAAGGTACAGACATATGTGGGAAATCTATTCATTCACAAATAGGTGTAAAAAAGTTTGATAATGTAGAGAGCAATGATGTTAGTGTCTCCTTGCAACAGCAAACTACAACTTATACTGGAAAAGCAAAAGCAGTATCCTCTTCCACTGACACATGCACCTCCATCACCAAGCATCGACATTTAGGTGATGAGCAGTCTCAGAGAAAGTCTGCCTCGTCCTCATGCTCATTAGAACAATGCAATGTGATTCCCTCCCCTCCTCTGTCTGTGCCAACTCTAGAGGATAGTGATGGGCAGAGCCAGACTGTTCCCATGCAGAGGGAGAGAGAGCCTGTCTGTTACACTCATGTCATCACCCCACCACCCATCACTCACCTTCTGCCTGAGAGGGAGATGAAGAACGCAGTGCCAACACAACATAACAACAGTATGGATTTCACCCAGCCAGAGGACAGAACGACAGGTGCCTCTATAGATCCTTCTGTTCCAGGGGAGAGGCCTAAACCGAAGGGGCCTCCTCCACCTGTCCCAAAAAAGCCCCAAAATCCCTTCGTTAAGATTCCAGCAACAACACGCTCTATGGATGAACAGAAAAGAGGTGATGATTATCACCACAAAGAGAAGAAGAAGAAGAGGAGGAGACATCCACATCAAGTCTGCAAAGGAAATGCTTACGACACAGCTTCTCGGGACATGTGTGTGTTATGGGACGACACAGGTTCTGCTTACACTGTACCATCCAACGTGTACACGCCAGATAATTTTGATTCAATGGATGATTTTCCACAACGACAAAGGGCACCAACTAGAGAGGAAAAGTATAGAAATATCATCGATTTTGATGCTTGGGCAAGAATGGTCAAACTTGCTGCGGAAGAGGAGAAACCAAAACAACTTGACATGTTGGACGGACGACCTTTTTTGGAAAAGCAGGCTAAACTCAAAGGCCCACCTCCTCCAGTACCCCAAAAGCCCAAAAAGCCATTTCTTCCATTAGAAACGGTTCCAATCTCAGAGGACATAGCTTGGCCTTCAGATGACGAGGAGATACGAGAACTAGAGCTGGCCTTGTGTGAGAGAATGGAAGATGAAGATGATGACCCTGAACCCCAACCTGACACGGTCAGCACAGATGTCCGTTGGAAGAGCCTCAGTGACCACAGTGACCGTAGAATCCATAGTGGTCTTGGTGAGCGTAGTGATCGTGAGTCTGTGGCTGAGCTTGAAACTGAGACATACAGGCCTGTGGCTGAGCTCATAAAGGAGACCAACCAGATGCACCAGAGGATCAGGCATGCAGACCGGACAGAACTCCTCACGGCCAAGTCCGTGATAAGGCACGCAGACCGGACAGAACCCCTCACGGCCAAGTCCATGATCAGGCACGCAGACCGGACGGAACCCCTCACGGCCAAGTCCATGATCAGGCACGCAGACCGGACAGAACCCCTCACGGCCAAGTCCATGATCAGGCACGCAGACCGGACGGAACCCCTCACGGCCAAGTCCATTGACAGGGCTGTGGACCTGGGCCAGAGCCTGAAAGTATCACAGATGAAGAAGGCCTTCGATGTCACTAAGAAGCCAACTGAAAAACCACCAGAGACAAAGCCTGAACCCAAAAAAGGTAAGAAAGTGCTTTGGATCAAATACTCTCCCTGTCTGTCTCTTTTATCTATATGTCTCTCCCTCCCTCCCTCCCTCCCCCCCCCTCCCTCTATATGTGTGTGTGTGTCTCTCTCTCATTCACACACACACAAAAACGCACACACACATCCATGTGAGGAACTTGAGTTATAAAGAAGCTATTTCTGTCAGATTGCAGTCTGGTTTTGAGCACCACTTGCAAGTCAATGAGTCACACTTGTCCTTTGAAACTATGGAGCGTACTGTACGCATGAGAATGTGTTAGTCAGGCCTTTGGGTTCAGTCGTACTGTACATAGAACAGTCCTGTGTCCCGTGTGGATCAGTTCGTAAAGCATGACGCTTGCAACACTAGGGTTGTGGGTTCCATTCCCATTGGGGACCAGAACAAAAAAAGTACACAAAATGTATGCACCCACTACTGTAAATCGCTCTGGATAAGAGCGTCTGCTAAATGACTTAAATGTAATAGAGTACCACAGTATGAGTCATAATACCCATAAAACCTAGAGGTCAAACAGGGAAATGGTTCCAATCGTTTTTCCGCCATTCATTTTTCCCATAGGGGATTTTTAAAACACTTAAAACAAGGTCTGTGTTTCGTGTAGGCTTACCCTGGCATGACATTTGATAACCATGTAAATCTCTAGGACAAGGTGACTTTTATCAATATATTCGCCTGTATTTACCCCCCCCCCCCCCCCCCCCCCCAATGAAATGCTACAATTTTGTGAACTGTCTTGTGCTTGTTTTAAATTGACACAATACCTGCTGGCAAAGGTATCAGCTAGAGATGACATGCAGGCACTTGCAGGGATTTGTAGTTTTGCATGATGTCTACTTTGATGCTAGTTAGCATTTTCGAATCTGAGAGTAAATAGAGCCGAAATATATTGATAAAAGTCACCTTGTCCGAGAGAGATTTACATGGTTATCAAAACGTCACGCCAGGGTAAGCATACACGAAATACAGCCCTTATTTTTAAGTGTTTCTAAAATCCTCTATGGGAAAAATGAATGGTGGAAAAACGGATTGGAGCATTTTCCCTATTTGACCACTAGGTGTTATGGGTATTATGACACCTCCACTGTGGGGTTCTATTGAACAAATTTACATTGACCAAGTGCAAACATCTGAGAAATGTGGTAAGCAGGATAGCATGAATGAATAAATGTGGAGCTGCCTGCCCTGCCATTCTCAGAATCACCACTTGCAGGCGCACTAAACAAAATAAAGGCCATTAGGTGACATTCAAGATGAGTATTATTTTCCTTGAAAATAATGGCACATTTTGTACTATTTTCTTTTGCTGTTGGTTTTGAATTAGCTGTCTTTGGGGTTATTGAAGTTTAACTTTATGTCCAATCTAGCAGGGCATGGGTTCAAGTGGGCAATTAAAAAATAAATTAGGCTAAGTCTGTAGCCAATACTCAATCATTTCTGAGACCATTGGCATTGGGCAAGTTCGTTTAGCATGGTCCGTTTCCCCAGGTGAGTGGAGATTTAACCTAAGGACCAATGGAATGGTATAAAATATGCAAACTCCGCCCAACAACGGCACCGGACCTTGCAAAACGAACACGCCCATTCTTCCTCAAAAATTCTGTCCATGATCTAGGCAGTTTTTTAAAATTATTATTATAAGCCTACTTGTGTCAGTGTTGGTGATGCTTTCATAGACTCACTTAATAATTTTCACTGGAGCAAAATGCAAATTTTTTTTATTAAAAGGGTATCTTTATCATATAAATAAGACAATTGTTATCCTAGAATTCCTCGTATGTAAGAGGCGGGGATGGAACAGGGCGTTGCTTCCGGTTCATAGAAGTGGAGTCTGGAGGGAAAGAAGAATACTCGAACGGCAAATCGAGTGTAACAAGGAAAATCCTAACGGACGAAGGCTAAACTACCATATTCATGTTTTCATATTGATTACCTCGCGTTCACGGAAAATTTCGCATAGATTTAGGAGGTAAGGAAAATAGACCGGTCTGTATTTGCAGTAAACATCTTGCTGCTAGCTAACCTACCCGGCTGTGCACCGTTTATGAATGGTAACAGCCAGAGCCATGGATAAAATATGCACTTTTGTTATAATAGCTCGCTGGCGGTGTCTATCATGCTCCAAATTCTAGCCGATAGCATCTTCATGTAAATTAATGAGCATCTTTATCGATGCATTTATTAGACAACGCTTTAGCATGTCTTTGTTAACCTCATTTATTCTCCTGGGTGTTGATCTGCCTTTGAAAATCATTACTAATGAATTGCACATAAGGAAGTAGCTAGCATTTTTTCTAGCCACACAATGCATGGCTATTGTCCACCTTTACAGCGTATGGAATCAAGAATAGCCTGCCTAGCTATGCTCTATGGTCAAATGTGTTGGTTTATTATTACACTGTACTTCAATTTCTGCTTTGACCAATCACCTGTATTAATCAGAAGCATACATGCATATTACAGCACAGGACCCAGTCATCTAGTTAATTAAATAATAGCTAGCTAACGTTACACATTGCTTAGATAGCTAGCTACATGATCTGTTGTAGCTGCTGTTAACAACGCGGGTATATTTAAACACACTAGCGTTGCTTTCAATTGTATTGGGTTGCACAAAAACAGTCCGCGGGAAGCCAGAAGTTAAATACAATTCCATTTCAACTTACTGTGCCAGTGGGCAGAACGGTTGGTCATTATGACGGGGGAATTTGATACAAAATATTTAAAGGATCATATTATTAAACAGACTTTCCAAACGTTGGTCTGTTGTAGACCCACTTCTTCTCCGCTTACCTCATGTCAAAATAAAAGTCCTGCACATGCGCCATAAGATGTGGACAAAAAAGGAAAAACTTGTTTTGACATGAGGTAAGCAGATAGGAAGTGGGTCTACAAAAGCCACGTTTGTAAAGTCTGTTTAATAATATCATATTTTAGATATTTTGTCTCAGAAGGAAGTGGGTCTACAAAAAACCCACGTTTGGAAAGTCTGTTTTAATAATATAATCCTTTAGATATTTTGTCTCAAATTCCCCCCCCCCCCCCCTCATAATGACCAACCTTCCTGCCCACCGGTACAGTAAGTTGGAATGGAATTGTAGTTAACTTCTGGCTTCCCGCAGACTGTTTTTGTGCAACCCAATACAATTGAAAGCAACGCTAGTGTATGTAAATACAGCAGTCTGTGGCAGTCAATTGTGTGTCCAATGATGTGCATGATGTCCAGTCTAATAGGTCATAAACTGATAATAGATGCCACTGTGGTGGGGTTGTCTCAGTTCAATTCTAGACTAGAGTTATCAGTCTGTCTACTGCACCTCTTCTTGCCAGGAAAGAGTAAGCATATGGCCTACCATTGACTGACCACAATTTATCATTTTGAACACAAATGCATTAATTTGGTTAGATAATGTGTCCTTTAGTCTACCTCCCAATACCTAGGGCCTACTATAGCTAATGTTTTGGATCACTTGTATAAATTGATCATGATCTGTTTCTATGGGTTTAGTTGCACGATTTAGGATGTATGCACACATGACTGTAAGTCGCTTTGGATAAAAGTGTCTGCTAAATGGCATATTATATTATTATTGTTATTATAAATTAAAGTCTATCAGGGGTGAGAAAATACATGATCCACCTCTGTTTAGCAGCAGAATATATTTGACTATAGAACTTGCTGACAGACATAACTGTGACCTATAGATGCCATAATGTTGTGCATAGTAAACGTATGTATGACCCTTCCATTCCAGTTAGATGCACAGCTTCAACTGTGACTCGATAAGATAAATGGAAGGGTGATTCCATGTCTCGGATTGAAGTACTGTGAGATATGCTGTTCAGTCAGTAAAAGGATGAAGAAGACCATAGGGGTGCTGATATGTATGTTGGAGTGGTGCTACCCCAGAGTGGTGCTACCCCAGAGTTAGTGGTCCTCTGTAGCTCAGCTGGTAGAGCACGGCGCTTATAACGCCAAGGTAGTGGGTTCGATCCCCGGGACCACCCATACACAAAAAATTTATGCACGCATGACTGTAAGTCGCTTTGGATAAAAGCGTCTGCTAAATGGCATATTATTAGTCCTTTATGTGCCATTCTGCTCTCTGGAAAGTAGGTGATCATGCTGAGGGAAATTAGGCATGTGACGTGTGGAGCACATCTTGTTAGACGGTTCATGTATGTGAGAGGAGAGCCTCTCCAAAATGAATCATCAGGCCTGAAACTAAAAATGGAACAACGTGTTCTGTTTGTCAAACCCTGCATGTCCTTCTCTGACTGCATGATGCAGTTGTAGTAATGCAGGCGTTGGTCATATAGCCACAGTATCATAGGAATAGCTTATGTCCTGTACCCAAGGCTTTGACCCAGGAGGATATTTGAACAAACAGGATATTTTAACACTTGCTGTGTTAATGGCGGTTCCTGCTCCAAGAGAGATCGACGTGTGACTAGGAGGGTCTTCAGGACAAATGGATGCTATCCTATGTTTAGGCTAATATGATTTATATGAAATATAAATAAATAATGTATTATTTGTTCACTGGCCCCATTTCTTCAGAAGGATGCAAACCCATGACCTGAGTATACTGTATGAGTTGGGAGATGGGCTTGGTTGCGCTCAGTCAGAAGAATGTAACGCCGTAGCTCTAGAGCGAGGACAGCCCATTGATACATGTACCAGCTCCTTGTATAATAAAAACGACCTTGATTAAACACCTTTTATAATTGAAAGACCATCTCTTCCCTCCGCATGTAGTATACTCTGATTAGTCTCTTCACCACAGGGACAGCTTCTGTGTTATTCAGACCAGTTCTGTCTGTACTACCATTCAAAATGAGAGCTCAGAGCTCCCAACAACAAACTATCAGATTCTACCCAGTGCTTACATCAGGTCAATTGATAGGCTATTCACTGCATTCTGGTTATCCTTACAAGATTGTGAGGTCATCAGTGAACATTCTGAATAGATGTTGAAGGTAGCAGCATCTGGGTTAATACTAGCGCTGGGAATTGCCAGGGACCTCACGCTACGATATTATCACGATACTTAGGTGCCGATACGATATGTATTATGATTCTCACGGTTCTGTATGTATTGCAATTTGAAGTTCCAAACATATTGCTCACTATATTTCTGCTGCAGAGATACTACAGAGAGCATGAGAAAATGAGTTTTTTTTATTATTATTTTTTATTTAACCTTTATTTAACCAGGTAAGCCAGTTGAGAACAGGTTCTCATTTACAACTGCGACCTGGCCAAGATAAAGCAAAGTAGTGCAATAAAAACAACAACACAGAGTTACATATGGGGTAAAAAACATAAAGTCAGAAATACAACAGAAAATATATATACAGTGTGTGCAAATGTAGCAAGTTATGGAGGTAAGGCAATAAATAGGCTATAGTGCAGAATAATTACAATAGTATTAACACTGGAATGCTAGATGTGCAAGAGATTATGTGCAAATAGAGATACTGGGGTGCAAAATAGCAAAATAAATAACAATATAGGGATGAGGTAGTTGGGTGGGCTAATTTCAGATGGGCTGTGTACAGGTGCAGTGATCGGTAAGGTGGTCTGACAACTGATGCTTAAAGTTATTGAGGGAGATAAGAGTCTCCAGCTTCAGAGATTTTTGCAATTCGTTCCAGTCATTGGCAGCAGAGAACTGGAAGGAATGGCGGCCAAAGGAGGTGTTGGCTTTGGGAATGACCAGTGAGATATACCTGCTGGAGCGCAGACTACGGGTGGGTGCTGCTATGGTGACCAATGAGCTAAGATAAGGCGGGGATTTGCCTAGCAGTGATTTATAGATGGCCTGGAGCCAGTGGGTTTGACGACGAACATGTAGTGAGGACCAGCCAACAAGAGCGTACAGGTCACAGTGGTGGGTAGTGTATGGGGCTTTGGAGACAAAACGGATGGCACTGTGATAGACTACATCCAATTTGCTGAGTAGAGTGTTGGAGGCTATTTTGTAAATGACATCGCCGAAGTCAAGGATCGGTAGGATAGTCAGTTTTACGAGGGCATGTTTGGCAGCATGAGTGAAGGAGGCTTTGTTGCGAAATAGGAAGCCGATTCTAGATTTAACTTTGGATTGGAGATTCTTTATGCGAGTCTGGAAGTTGAGTTTACAGTCTAACCAGACACCTAGGTATTTGTAGTTGTCCACATACTCTAGGTCAGACCCGTCGAGAGTGGTGATTCTAGTCGGGTGGGCGGGTGCCAGCAGCGTTCGATTGAAAAGCATGCATTTAGTTTTACTAGTGTTTAAGAGCAGTTGGAGGCTACTGAAGGATTGTTGTATGGCATTGAAGCTCGTTTGGAGGTTTGTTAACACAGTGTCCAATGAAGGGCCAGATGTATACAAAATGGTGTCGTCTGCGTAGAGGTGGATCTGAGAGTCACCAGCAGCAAGAGCGACATCATTGATATACACGGAGAAAAGTGTCGGCCCAAGAATTGAACCCTGTGGCACCCCCATAGAGACTGCCATAGGTCCAGACAACAGGCCCTCCGATTTGACACACTGAACTCTATCTGAGAAGTAGTTGGTGAACCAGGCGAGGCAGTCATTTGAGAAACCAAGGCTATTTAGTCTGCCAATAAGAATGCGGTGGTTGACAGTCGAAAGCCTTGGCCAGGTCGATGAAGACAGCTGCACAGTACTGTCTATTATCAATCGCGGTTATAATATCGTTTAGGACCTTGAGCGTGGCTGAAGTGCACCCGTGACCAGCTCGGAAACCGGATTGCATAGCGGAGAAGGTACGGTGGTATTCGAAATGGTCGATGATCTGTTTGTTAACTTGGCTTTCGAATACTTTCGAAAGGCAGGGCAGGATGGATATAGGTCTGTAGCAGTTTGGATCTAGAGTGTCACCCCCTTTGAAGAGGGGGATGACCGCGGCAGCTTTCCAATCTCTGGGGATCTCAGACGTTATGAAAGAGAGGTTGAACAGACTAGTAATAGGGGTTGCGACAATTTCGGCGGCTAGTTTTAGAAAGAAAGGGTCCAGATTGTCTAGCCCAGCTGATTTGTAGGGGTCCAGATTTTGCAGCGCTTTCAAAACATCAGCTGTCTGAATTTGTGTGAAGGAGAAGCGGGGGGGGCATGGGCAAGTTGCAGCAGAGGGTGCAGAGTTGGTGGCCGGGTTAGTGGTAGCCAGATGGAAAGCATGGCCAGCTGTAGCAAAATGCTTGTTGAAATTCTCGATTATTGTAGATTTATCGGTGGTGATAGTGTTTCCTAGCCTCAGTGCAGTGGGCAGCTGGGAGGAAGTGCTCTTATTCTCCATGGACTTTACAGTGTCCCAAAACTTTTTGGAGTTAGTGCTACAGGATGCAAATTTCTGTTTGAAAAAGTTAGCCTTTGCTTTCCTGACTGCTTGTGTATATTGGTTCCTAACTTCCCTGAAAAGTTGCATATCGCGGGGGCTATTTGATGCTAATGCTGTACGCCACAGGATGTTTTTGTGCTGGTCAAGGGCAGTCAAGTCTGAGGAGAACCAGGGGCTATATCGGTTCTTAGTTCTGTATTTTTTGAATGGGGCATGTTTATTTAAGATTGAGAGGAAATTACTTTTAAGGAACAACCAGGCATCCTCTACTGACGGAATGAGATCTATATCCATCCAGGATACCTGGGCCAGGTCAATTAGGAAGGCCTCCTCGCTAAAGTGTTTTAGGGAGCGTTTGACAGTGATGAGGGGTGGTCGTTTGACCGCGGACCCGTTACGGACGCAGGCAATAAGGCAGTGATCGCTGAGATCCTGGTTGAAGACAGCTGAGGTGTATTTAGAGGGTATGTTAGTCAGGATGATATCTATGAGGGTACCCATGTTGACGGATTTAGGGTTGTACCTGGTAGGTTCGTTGATAATTTGCGTGAGGTTGAGGGCATCTAGCTTGGATTGTAGGATGGCTGGGGTATTAAGCATATCCCAATTTAGGTCACCAAGCAGTACAAACTCTGAGGATAAATGGGGGGCAATCAATTCACATATGGTGTCCAGGGCACAGCTGGGGGCTGAGGGGGGTCTGTAGCAAGCGGCAACAGTGAGAGACTTATTTCTGGAAAGGTGGATTTTTAGAAGTAGAAGCTCAAACTGTTTGGGCACAGACCTGGATAGTATGATAGAGATATGTAATCTAAATAAAAGTGCTGAAAACATGTTGGCTCACTGTTTAAAAAGAAGATGGAGAACGAGCTATAGTATGAAAAATACCGGAATTTTGGTGTAGGTACAGCCGACCAACGCTATGTAGCAAAAAAGCGTTTTTATTTTTTACAAATCGATACTTTGGGTCAGTTTATATATCGATTATAATATTGTTCAAAATTAATATTGCGATATGTAACTGTATCGATTCCCCCCCCCCCCCCCCCCCATCACTAGTTAATAATAAAAGTAGAATGACTGATGGCGAGCATTTCCTTATAGTCTTGTCTATTATCACTGTCTGCCATGCACATTGTGACCACCATATGGGCTAAAGGAAGGATATAACTTCTGCATCCACTTCCTGTTAAGGAAACAAAGCTACGTCTGCAGGAAACCATCAGTCATCAAAAAACAACATCCCATATGAAGGATGGTGGGAGGATCAAAATTAATTGAATCCAAATGCCAACAAGAGTGAATGTTTTTATATGGGTGGCACACTGGCAAAATGCCTACTGCACACTGTACAATATCTCCTCAAGAGGATCCACCAGGTCAAGGTTTCTGATTTCATGGTGCTGTATTGTGGCTATGCGCTGCTTTCTGTTGGGGGCTATGGGAGACCGACACAAAGAAGCCTTTGATGCTAAACTGTAATTGATTAAGCTCTTCCTGCAGTAGGATGAGCTCTTCTGATTGGAGCCTGCTCCCTGTGAGGCGTGATGGGAATCTATCATCTGTTGTTATGGAAACCGAGCTATACGCTAGCTAGACTGAGCTCTCGTGGAACTTTGTGGCCAGCTTATACCAACATTTAGCCTGCCAAAGGGAACATTTGGGCAATGTGAATAAAGGCTGGCTAAGTAGGCTAATAAGAAGGGCAGTGGATGTTGAGTTTGTCAAAATAACTAATCTTCCTAGGTTCATAGTTCATACACACAAACTCAGCCAGCACCTCATTTGATCAGATGCACAGAAAAGTAGACTACAAAGTCTGCCTCAATTCTGACTGGGAGCCAGCTCTGCCATCAGGCTTGGGACAGCTTAGCCGTGCTCTACCATTTTGAGGCAGAGATGGGGATAAATCTGACTTTATGAGACATTAGTGAGTCAATGGCAATGTCCTATTAAGCTTTTAATGTGTGCTCTGGCTGGAGTGGCTTCACATCAACTGAGCCTCAGTTTGTGTAGTGAACGGTGGCCACACCAGTTTGTTTTTAGTGTAATGTACACTCATAAGAGAGGGTCTAAAGATACATTTGAAGTTTGTAATATTTGTAATGAACAAATACATGTGAAGTAGTGCTGCTGAAATGTTTAAAGTAGCTACTGAGAGGTCTGTCATAAACTGTGTCACTATCTATCGCCTTTTGTACACTTAACTACATGCCCTTAGTAACCCTGTTCTAGCATCTGTCTGACATCTCTCCCTGACTGTCTCTCCTTCTGATGGCAGATATGTTCAGGCGAGTGGTACGAGCGAGTAAGTTCCGTCATGTCTTTGGCCAGGCACTGAAGAACGACCAGTGCTATGACGACATCCGCGTCTCCCGGGTCACGTGGGACAGCTCCTTCTGTGCCGTCAACCCCAAATTCGTCGCCATCATCATCGAGGCCAGTGGGGGCGGAGCCTTCCTTGTCCTCCCTCTGCTAAAGGTGAGTGTGTCACTCAGCCAGCCAACTAGGCATCGTCATGGCTCCTCCTGTCTCATCAGCTTGGAATACTTCCTATCACTGTTGGCCTAGATCTCAGTATTAGTTACATTCAATCGCTCCATTCTGTTTCAGTGTGATTGGATTATTTGTTATTTCCTACGTTTTTGATTACTGACAGAGCCTATATGCAATCATGAAAATGAGACCACAAAATTAGATTACCATGCTATTTTACCACTCACTAACTGTAAGTCGCTCTGGATAAGAGCGTCTGCTAAATGACTAAAATGTAAATGTAAATGTTACCATGCTGGATATGTGTATGTGCCAATCAATTCAAGATCTTTTTAGCAGAATGTGAGGGTGCACTGTAGTTTCACTGCAAAGGGGCTTGCCCACCTTTCGAACGACCACCAATTTCGGGACAATAGTGCTATATGCTGAATGTTGTTTTAGATAACATTTCTAGGTGGTTTAATTCTAGTGACAGAAAAGTGAATATGAAAGAAGCTCCCAATGCCGGGGATTGATCAGTCTGACTAGAGAGCGGGTGTTGTGGGGGTGTATAGGGGAGATGTGTGAACAGCCACACAGCAATTGTCTGTGTGTGTCTCCTCTCCTCTCCTCTATTCAGTACCGAAGAGCTTGCCGCTGCTGTCAGCAGATTTTACCGTATATGGCTGTCCAGCACTTTGCATGTCAGGCTGCCCATGGCTCTACGCTGACCTTTTTGAAAAATGTAGGCGCACGCAAATACATTTTTTCTAGGCGCACTCATGCTCCTACACGGAACAAAAATATAAACGCAACATGTAAAGTGTTGGTCCCATGTTTCATGAGCTGAAATAAAAGATCCCCAAAATGTTCCATACGCACAAAAATCTTATTTCTCTCAAATGTTGTGCACAAATTTGTTTACGTCCCTGTTAGTGAGCATTCCTCCTTAGCCAAGATAATCCATCTACCTGACAGGTGTGGCATATGAAGAAGATTAAACAGCATGATCATTACACAGGTGCACCTTGTGTTTGGGACAATAAAAAGCCATTCTAAAATGTGTTGTTTTGTTACACATCACAATGCCACAGATGTCTCAAGTTTTGAGGGAGCGTGCAATTGGCATGCTTACTGCAAGTATGTCCACCAGAGCTGTTGCCAGAGAATTGAATGTTCATTTCTCTACCAATGTCGTTTTAGAGAATTTGGCAGTACGTCCAACTGGCCTCACAATAGCAGACCACATGTAACCACGCCAGCCCAGGACCTCCACATCTGGCTTCTTCACCGGCGGGATCGTCTGAGGGGGGGTGGGGGTGGTGCTGAAGAGTATTTATGTCTGTAATAACACCCTTTTGTGGGGAAAAACAAATTCTGATTGGCTGGGCCTGGCTCCTCAGTGGGTGGACCTGGCTGCCAAGTGGGTGGGCCTATGCCCTCCAAGGCCCACCCATGGCTGCAACCCTGCCCAGTCATGTGAAATCCATAGTTTAGGGCCTAATGAATTCATTTCAATTGACTGATTTCCTTATATGAACTGTAACTCAGTAAAATCTTTGAAATTGTTGCATGTTGCGTTTTATATTTTTGTTCAGTAACTCCCTGGCTTAGTTTTATATTTACATGTACATCTCCCTTTTAATTTGTGTGTGTTCTCAAATATCTGTTGTAGTCCCTTAACCTCCAGTCGGTCCTGTCCAGTCCAGTAGCAGCAGCCTCACTAGCGGTAGCAGCAGCCTCTCTAGCGGTAGCAGCAGCCTCTCTAGCGGTAGCAGCAGCCTCTCTAGCGGTAGCAGCAGCCTCTCTAGCGGTAGCAGCAGCCTCTCTAGCGGTAGCAGCAGCCTCACTAGCGGTAGCAGCAGCCTCACTAGCGGTAGCAGCAGCCTCACTAGCGGTAGCAGCAGCCTCTCTAGCGGTAGCAGCAGCCTCACTAGCGGTAGCAGCAGCCTCACTAGCGGTAGCAGCAGCCTCACTAGCGGTAGCAGCAGCCTCACTAGCGGTAGCAGCAGCCTCACTAGCGGTAGCAGCAGCCTCTCTAGCGGTAGCAGCAGCCTCTCTAGCGGTAGCAGCAGCCTCTCTAGCGGTAGCAGCAGCCTCACTAGCGGTAGCAGCAGCCTCACTAGCGGTAGCAGCAGCCTCTCTAGCGGTAGCAGCAGCGCCTCACTAGCGGTACAGCAGCCTCACTAGCGGTAGCAGCAGCCTCTCTAGCGGTAGCAGCAGCCTCACTAGCGGTAGCAGCAGCCTCACTAGCGGTAGCAGCAGCCTCTCTAGCGGTAGCAGCAGCCTCTCTAGCGGTAGCAGCAGCCTCTCTAGCGGTAGCAGCAGCCTCTCTAGCGGTAGCAGCAGCCTCTCTAGCGGTAGCAGCAGCCTCACTAACGGTAGCAGCAGCCTCTCTACGGTAGCAGTCAGCCTCACTAGCGGTAGCAGCAGCCTCTCTAGCGGTAGCAGCAGCCTCTCTAGCGGTAGCAGCAGCCTCTCTAGCGGTAGCAGCACCTCTCTAGCGGTAGCAGCAGCCTCTCTAGCGGTAGCAGCAGCCTCTCTAGCGGTAGCAGCAGCCTCACTAGCGGTAACAGCAGCCTATCAAACTGCATTTTACATTTTTTACATTTTAGTCATTTAGCAGACGCTCTTATCCAGAGCGACTTACAGTTAGTGAATACATATATATATATATTTTATACTGGGAAACGAACCCACAACCCTGGCGTTGCAAACACCATGCTCTATCAACTGAGCTACATCCCTGCCGGCCATTCCCTCCCCTACCCTGGACGACGCTGGGCCAATTGTGCGCCGCCCATGAGTCTCCCGGTCGCGGCCGGCTGCGACAGAGCCTGGATACGAACCAGGATCTCTAGTGGGACAGTTAGCACTGCGATGCAGTGCATTAGACCACTGCGCCACTCAGGAGATAACTGACTGCATTGGAATTTACTGTTACATATGTCTTGTTCTAGAACTGACCGCATTCCCCCTGGGGGAGAGGCCTGTGTATGGGGAGTCTAATTAGTGAACTTACTCGGTCAACAAACCCAAACTATCCCTCCCTCCCTTGATCTGTATTGTTACCCCTCCTCCTGGCAAGTTGTTACCGTGACAACAAAAGTAATGTCAGATGGGGAGAGCATGTTAGGCCCCAGGAGGTCAGACCAGTGATTAGATTTCTTCTCACATCCAGCATCTCATAACTGAGTTTTGAGCCTGATATTTCTATCTTTTATTAATAGCTGGTCGAGAGAAACACTGAGAAAAAGTCAGCATCAGCATAGCTGCAGACTTAACGAACCATTAACTACAATACATACATACCTCATTCATACAGTAATGTATAAGCTATCTCTATCCCTTAGCCAAGTACAGATGCCATAGCTCTGACTCTGGGGGGCGGACTGATTTCTTTATCAGGATGGGAGAGAAAAAATGCTGAGGTCAGCAACAGCCTAGCCAGGGACCGGGCTAGTCACAAAGCCCTTTCGTGACGTCAGGCTTCAGATCAGTCCTGTGATGTGTACTGTCAGTGTCAGCTTGGATTAACCCACAGACAGTGGAGCAAAGAGAAAGAAGTGGGTCCTTCTCCTCTCATCACTCATTGATCCAGTGGACAGCAGAGGTCAAATGCTGACCCCCAGGTTCCTGATGTCACCTCTGATTGGATGTAAATCTTTTTTTTTAGGGGGTAGATCATCTTTAGTATTGCAGATAGATTGTGGCTTCCATCAATGTAGTTGTTTGCATCATTTCCAGTCCATCATATTTGTAAAAATATATTTTTGGTATATTTTATTTGATAATTTTCCACCTAACCCTACCTCCCCTCCCCTAATTGGAGTAAACTAATGGACAACAATACTTAGGCTTCTACTTCCAGTTTATACATACTAAACTCAGCAAAAAAAGAAACGTCCTCTCACTGTCACCTGCGTTTATTTTCAGCAAACTTAACATGTGTAAATATTTGTATGAACATAACAAGATTCAACAACTGAGACATAAACTGAACAAGTTCCACAAACATGTGTCTAACAGAAATTGAATAATGTGTCCCTGAACAAAGGGGGGGTCAAAATCAAAAGTAACAGTCAGTATCTGGTGTGGCCACCAGCTGCATTAAGTACTGCAGTGCATCTCCTCCTCATGGACTGCACCAGATTTGCCAGTTCTTGCTGTGAGATGTTACCCCACTCTTCCACCAAGGCACCTGCAAGTTCCCTGACATTTCTGGGGGGAATGGCCCTAGCCCTCACCCTCCGTTCCAACAGGTCCCAGACGTGCTCAATGGGATTGAGATCCGGGCTCTTCGCTGGCCATGGTAGAACATTGACATTAATGTCTTGCAGGAAATCACGCACAGAATGAGCAGTATGGCTGGTGGCATTGTCATGCTGGAGGGTCATGTCAGGCTGAGCCTGCAGGAAGGGTACCACATGAGGGAGGAGGATGTCTTCCCTGTAACGCACAGTGTTGAGATTGCCTGCAATGACAACAAGCTCAGTCCGATGATGCTGTGACACACCGCCCCAGACCATGACAGACCCTCCACCTCCAAATCGATCCCGCTCCAGAGTACAGGCCTCGGTGTAACACTCATTCCTTCGACGATAAACGTGAATCCGACCATCACCCCTGGTGAGACAAAACTGTGACTCATCAGTGAAGAGCACTTTTTGCCAGTCCTGTCTGGTCCAGCGACGGTGGGTTTGTACCCATAGGCGACATTGTTGCCGGTGATGTCTGGTGAGGACCTGCGTTACAACAGGCCTACATGCAATCTCTCAGCCTATTGCGGGCAGTCTGAGCACTGATGGAGGGATTGTGCGTTCCTGGTGTAACTCGGGCAGTTGTTGTTGCCATCCTGTACCTGTCCCGCAGGTGTGATGTTCAGATGTACAGATCCTGTGCAGGTGTTGTTACACGTGGTCTGCCACTGCAAGGACGATCAGCTGTCCGTCCTGTCTCCCTGTAGCGCTGTCTTCGGCATCTCACAGTACGGACATTGCAATTTATTGCCCAGGCCACATCTTCAGTCCTCATGCCTCCTTGCAGCATGACTAAGGCACGTTCACGCAGATGAGCAGGGACCCTGGGCATCTTTCTTTTGGTGTTTTACAGAGTCAGTAGAAAGGCCTCTTTAGTATCCTAAGTTTTCATAACTGTGACCTTAATTGCCTACCGTCTGTAAGCTGTTAGTGTCTTAACGACCGTTCCACAGGTGCATGTTCATTAATTGTTTATGGTTCATTGAACAAGCATGGGAAACAGTGATTAGACCCTTTACAATGAAGATCTGTGAAGTTATTAGGATTTTTACAAATTATCTTTGAAAGACAGGGTCCTGAAAAAGGGACGTTTCTTTTTTTGCTGAGTTTATATACATTTCATGGACATGGGACATTTTACAATAGTTATCTCTTTTTTTATTTTTTTATTTTTTTATCCCACCCTTCAGCTACCCTCAACCCCTCACATCTATCTCTAAAAACCATCCAGTCTTTTGCTGTGATGTTTCACAAAAGTTCTGAACCGTTCTATTCTCATAGTTTACACAGATTCTAAATTTAAGATTAACAACTTTACTAAAAGTACTATAATATTATTGATCAACTGACCATGGCTTTTCAAATCACCCAGCAATGCTATTTGCAAAGATACTGTAGCTTTAAGTAAATTATGTGATTATTTTTTTTAAGCCATTCCTTAACCTGCAACCAAAAACAAGCTTCATATGGGCAGTACCAAAACAAATGATCTAATGATTCTGTCTCTTCGCAGCAAAATCTGCAGAGCTGGGATGGTTGTATCCCCCTTATACATTCTATTGATCAACTCTATGTGAAGGAGATGTGTCGCGCTGCATGAGGCAAATGGTGAAGCTGGTTGAGAGAAAGCCAATCGTGTGCAAAGCTGTCATCGAGGCAAAGGGTGGCTATTTGAAGAATCTCAAATATAAAATATTTTGATTTGTTGAACACTTTTTTTGGTTACTACATGATTCCATATGTGTTATTTCATAGTTTTGATGTCTTCACTATTATTCTACAATGTAGAAAATAAAGAAAAACCCTTGAATGAGTAGGTGTGTCCAAACCTTTGACTGGTACTGTAAGTATAACTTTTCAATGCCTTAATATTTAATAATTGTCATTGTATATGAATGGTCTTTTTTAGGAATGTTAGCCTGCGGAGTTTGTAAATGACCACGTACACTGAGTGTACAAAACATTAGGAACACCTACTCTTTCCATGACATAGACCGACCAGGTGAATCCAGATGAAAGCTATGATCCCTAATTGATGTCACTTGTTAAATCCACTTCAATCAGTGTAGATGAAGGGGAGGAGACTAGTTAAAGAAGGATATTTTAAGCCTTGAGACAGTTGAGACATGGATTGTGTATGTGTGCCATTCAGAGGGTGAATGGGCAAGACAAAAAGACTTTGAACAGGGTATGGTAGCAGGTGCCAGGCGCACCGGTTTGTGTCAAGAACTCCAACGCTGCTGGGTTTTTTCACGCTCAACAGTTTGCTGTGTGTATGAAGAATGGTCCACCACCCAAAGGACATCCAGCCAACTTGACACAACTGTGGGAAGCATTGGTGTCAACATGGGCCAGCATCCCTGTGGAACGCTTTCGACACCTTGTAGAGTCCATGCCCCGATTAATTGAAGCTGTTCTGAACTCAATATTAGGAAGGTGTTCCTAATATTTTGTACACTCAAGGTATAATCCTGCCTTGGGGTTTTGATTATCGTAAAGAATATGAATGAAAGTGCTGAAAGAAAGTAATAGTTAAGACATGCCAGGCATGTACATGAACAATGCCAGGCATGTAAATGATCTATATTGTGTCACAGAGAGTACATTCTGTCCCCAGTATTCATTCAGTGGTGCACCGCTGCTACTAAAGTGTTGCCGCCACACCCAACAGTTTTGGGGATGGTAAAAACGCTTTCAGTGGAAACTTCATTGACTAAAACCAGACAAAGTTTGTAGAAAAGATCATTGACTTATATATTTTTTTATAATGTAATCTTTGAGAACACGAAATCACCAAATTATAACCAACAATTATGAAACCAATCAAATCAAACAATGAATTTAGGACTGTATTACCGACCAGTCACGAAGGGCACAAGCCCAGGGGCCCCGATTGGGGTCCCCATTGATTTTGTTATAATGTTTGAGCATAAGAACATAAAATTGGCCATGGCCTCCGCGACCCCCTCCCCTTTCCGCGACCTTTGCCACCACTGCTAAAAAAGTTATTTAGGGAAACACTCGAGTAGTGTGTGTATATATAGATGTCCTTTAACCTAACGTTGTATTTGTATTCCTTCACAAGCCAACTCTTGGTCTTTGCCAGTAGGACTAGGGGCTCGGGGCTCACAGTTCACCGTTTCTCCCGTCATACTGAACCTCCTCTTTCTCTCTCCAGACGGGTCGCATAGACAAGGCCTACCCAACAGTATGTGGTCATACAGGTCCTGTCCTGGACATAGACTGGTGCCCTCACAATGACCACGTCATCGCCAGCGGCTCAGAGGACTGCACAGTCATGGTACGTACAGCTAGTTTTCACTGCTTACATCTTTAAAATGGTGACACTATGTTCAAGATGTCTTGGCCCAAGTATGAATACCTACCTACTACACATGTTTAGACTCTGTATGTGCATCTTACCTAATAAAGGAAAGCTCTTTACCCCATAGATATTTTGCAATGAACTCTGTGACATCTCTAAATAGGCCCAGTGTCGTCCAGGGTAGGGGAGGGAATGGCCGGCAGGGATGTAGCTCAGTTGGTAGAGCATGGCGTTTGCAACGCCAGGGTTGTGGGTTTGATTCCCACGGGGGGCCAGTATGAAACATTTAAAAAATGATGAATGCACTCACTAACTGTAAGTCGCTCTGGATAAGAGCGTCTGCTAAATGACTAAAATGTAATGTAAAATGTAAAGAAGACTATGAGATCGACGTGGGATCAATAGCCCTGTCTGTCTGTCAGTGTGCTGCACATGCTAGTGCTGCAGCCTCAGCCTCCCTGGTGTGCTCTATACACAAAGCATGTGTCATAGCGTAATCCGATCCACAGCCATAAGTGGATGGTGGGGCGTTGAGGTCATCCTGTCAGAATGTCTTGTGTCCTTATTTGGTCTTAGACAAATTAAATAATGTCTGGAGCAAGAGGTTGACAAGTCCACAGAGAGGTCCATACAATATTTGATCTAAATGTAGTTTATATGATACGATAGACCTTAAAGATGGAATACTAAAACATTTTAGAAAGGTCTGCTCACTGAAACATATGTTATGCAGGTGAAATATGAAATGTTATGCAGAACTTATTCCTTTCACATCCTTGTTTCTGCCCCCATCAGCTCTCTGCTGCCACCCTTAGACTAAACACTGTTAGTACATACTGCTAACATTAGACAAGCACATCCATAGTGTACTGACATCTAGCTAAGGTTGATTGTCTCAAGGGGTTGAGGAGAATTTAACTCTAGTATGTTTGTGTCCATAGTTATAAATGAGAAAATGGCTATAAATGAGTAGAAGGCAATGGTATCATGACTAACTTCATCTCTCGCTGTCTCCAGGTGTGGCAGATCCCAGAGAATGGGCTGGTCACCCCGCTGGCTGAGCCTGTGGTGGTGTTGGAGGGACACTCCAAGAGGGTGGGCATCGTCACCTGGCACCCCACGGCCCGGAACGTCCTCATGAGTGCAGGTAGATACAGGTTTAATACACTGCTCTCACAAACAAATACACAGTTACATTTTCAGTGACATTAGATTGTCTGCAGGAGTATGCCACTTTCAGGATGGAGTTCATTTGTCACAACAGCTCTGAGAATAGGCATTGTATATATTTTCCACTCTACTGTGGGACTGCACTCTGCTACCAGGCAGTGGTATGTGGATTTTGACTGTTGTTTATATGGGTCTGTCCCACAAGGCTGTGACAACCTGATCATCATCTGGAACGTGGGGACGGGCGAGGCCATGATCCAGCTGGAAGACATGCACCCTGACGTCATCTTCAGCGCCTGCTGGAGCCGCAATGGAGCCCTCATCTGCACCGCCTGCAAGGACAAGAATATCCGTGTCATTGACCCCCGCAAGGAGAAGATCGTGGCTGTGAGTGGGCTGGGGACTCTGGGGGAGATATGTTGGCTGGATATGCACTCTTACTGTAGCACTCTCACACACACACACACACACCCTCCTACCAACACATGTCATTGGTGCTGAAACATGCGATCCTCTCTGACAGATGTGTTGTGTTTCAGGAGAAGGACAAGGCCCACGATGGAGCACGGCCCATGAGAGCCATCTTTCTGGCTGACGGAAACATCTTCACCACCGGCTTCAGCCGCATGAGCGAACGGCAGCTAGCCCTCTGGAACCCTGTACGTCACCTCCAACCGGACACACACGGAAATCTGTCAATGTGCCCTTGAGCGAGTCACTTAACCCTAATTGCTCCAGGGTCGCCATTGATAATGGCAGACCCTCGCTGTGACCCCACTCTCTGAGGGTGTCTCCGGGAGAGTTGGGATATGCAAAAAAAACACATTTAAAATTCACACGAGTAAAATAGGACATATATAAGAACCCACCAAATTATTATTTATTATACACATACAGACAGACAGACGTTCATGCACTCATAGATGCACATATCCTTATCTAACCACATGAAATGTATTTTTTGTTTTGACAGAAAAGCATGGAGGAGCCAATATCAGTCCACGAGCTGGACACCAGTAATGGAGTGTTGTTGCCCTTCTACGACGCAGACACCAACGTAGTGTACCTTTGTGGGAAGGTGAGGATGATATACAGTGGGGGAAAAAAGTATTTAGTCAGCCACCAATTGTGCAAGTTCTCCCACTTAAAAAGATGAGAGAGGCCTGTAATTTTCATCATAGGTACACGTCAACTATGACAGACAAAATGAGAGAAAAAAATCCAGAAAATCACATTGTAGGATTTTTTATGAATTTATTTGCAAATTATGGTGGAAAATAAGTATTTGGTCAATAACAAAAGTTTCTCAATACTTTGTTATATACCCTTTGTTGGCAATGACACAGGTCAAACGTTTTCTGTAAGTCTTCACAAGGTTTTCACACACTGTTGCTGGTATTTTGGCCCATTCCTCCATGCAGATCTCCTCTAGAGCAGTGATGTTTTGTGGCTGTCGCTGGGCAACACAGACTTTCAACTCCCTCCAAAGATTTTCTATGGGGTTGAGATCTGGAGACTGGCTAGGCCACTCCAGGACCTTGAAATGCTTCTTACGAAGCCATTCCTTCGTTGCCCGGGCGGTGTGTTTGGGATCATTGTCATGCTGAAAGACCCAGCCACGTTTCATCTTCAATGCCCTTGCTGATGGAAGGAGGTTTTCACTCAAAATCTCACGATACATGGCCCCATTCATTCTTTCCTTTACACGGATCAGTCGTCCTGGTCCCTTTGCAGAAAAACAGCCCCAAAGCATGATGTTTCCACCCCCATGCTTCACAGTAGGTATGGTGTTCTTTGGATGCAACTCAGCATTCTTTGTCCTCCAAACACGACGAGTTGAGTTTTTACTAAAAAGTTATATTTTGGTTTCATCTGACCATCCAAATGCACTCTAGCAAACTTCAGACGAGCCTGGACATGTACTGGCTTAAGCAGGGGGACACGTCTTGCACTGCAGGATTTGAGTCCCTGGCGGCGTAGGCTTTGTTACTTTGGTCCCAGCTCTCTGCAGGTCATTCACTAGGTCCCCCCGTGTGGTTCTGGGATTTTTGCTCACCGTTCTTGTGATCATTTTGACCCCACGGGGTGAGATCTTGCGTGGAGCCCCAGATCGAGGGAGATTATCAGTGGTCTTGTATGTCTTCCATTTCCTAATAATTGCTCCCACAGTTGATTTCTTCAAACCAAGCTGCTTACCTATTGCAGATTCAGTCTTCCCAGCCTGGTGCAGGTCTACAATGTTGTTTCTGGTGTCCTTTGACAGCTCTTTGGTCTTGGCCATAGTGGAGTTTGGAGTGTGACTGTTTGAGGTTGTGGACAGGTGTCTTTTATACTGATAACAAGTTCAAACAGGTGCCATTAATACAGGTAACGAGTGGAGGACAGAGGAGCCTCTTAAAGGTCTGTGAGAGCCAGAAATCTTGCTTGTTTGTAGGTGACCAAATACTTATTTTCCACCATCATTTGCAAATAAATTCATTAAAAATCCTACAATGTGATTTTATGGATTTTTTCCCCCTCAATTTGTCTGTCATAGTGTACCTATGATGAAAATTACAGGCCTCTCATCTTTTTAAATGGGAGAACTTGCAAAATTGGTGGCTGACTAAATACTTTTTTTCCCCACTGTACTTGTTAGAGATGCATTGTATTTCCTAAGTCCCTGTCTTATCCCCCAAACCCAATATTGTCTCCCATCTGGATGGAGGATTAGTGACTTCGATCTTTCTGGGTGGATTTCACAGGTTTTAACAGTAACCTCTCCTCTGTTCAGGGTGACAGTAGTATCCGGTACTTTGAGATCACGGACGAGGCTCCATTCGTGCACTACCTCAACACCTTCTCCAGCAAGGAGCCCCAGAGAGGTGTGGGCTACATGCCCAAACGAGGACTGGACGTCAACAAGTGCGAGATTGCCAGGTAACAACCGTACACTCGGTGTGATAGCTTTGAGAACTTCTCCTTTTGTCCACTAGAGGGAGGACATGTTGCAGTATTTGAGAGAACAGTCCCAATGCCTTTGATTCTGCGGCTGTACATCCTCATCATGTTTTGTCTATTTTACTTGCAGGTTTTATAAACTGCATGAGAGAAAGTGTGAGCCAATCATCATGACAGTCCCCCGAAAGGTTTGTGTCTTTTACTCTTTGAATATTATTTGACATTGATGCTGTAGAAAAGAGTGCAATTGTTGTCTAAATCCGGCAATATTAAAGAATAGATTACCACCACTGACTACAGTACAATCCTAACTGATACCATTCTATCCATCTATCCATCCATCCCACACATTCAGTCAGACCTGTTCCAGGATGACCTGTACCCGGACACAGCAGGACCAGACTGTGCTATCGAGGCGGAGGACTGGTTTGATGGGAAGAACGGCGAGCCCATCCTGATCTCCCTGAAAAACGGCTATGTCCCCGGCAAGAACCGCGACCTCAAGGTGGTCAAGAAGTCCAATGTCCTGGAGGGCAAGCCAGCCAAGAAAGCAGCAAATACCTCGCCTGCCCAGAGCAAGGCCTCTCCACATCCATCTATAGTGAGTAGGACTGGACACTTTCAGTAACAACTGTCAAGATATATTAAGACAATATAGTGAATAAAACTGTACTTTTAACACAGCCAATAGACAAGATGTGTTAAAATAAACCAAGAAAATCAGCTACAGGAACACAGTGAATAGATTTGATTCTCAACAATTTGATATCAGAACAGTACTGGAACATTTTCTGCTATGGCATTTTAGCCACCAGATGGTTTGTGAAACAATGTATCTTGTCATTATTTAACTGGAAGTTCTTTCTATGCTTTATTGCAGCAAAATGAAGGGAAACTGGAGGAGCTACTGCAAGAGGTCAAGTCGCTCAGGGACCTCGTCACCCTACAGGACCGTCGAATTGCCAAACTGGAGGACCAGATGTCCAAGGTCGCCATCTAAGACTCAGCCCCCCGCTCAGGACCATTCATTGATTGGGAGATAAAGTGAACAGGGCCAGTTACTGCCAAAATATGAGAATTCGGCTTCATCATTCCGCTTGGCATCTTCCCAGCGACGATCCCCAAGCACACATTCCAAGATTAACTTTGTTTTTTTATCATCATGTGTACCCCTCACACTTTCCTCTAAAATACTTAGAGAAAAAACTGTTGCAATTCATAGTCTACCTTTTTACTGGGGATGAAATGCATTTAAATAACTGCCATTGTTTTGGTTGACGGAAAAGTCTTACCATTTTGTTATTGTTTTAAGTTGTGGTCAAGAATATTCTGATGTGAAGTTTGTACTTACTGCGATACTCTCAACCATAGTATGTAGCCACCAGTATTGCCATATTCCCTTGATTTTTGTGCTGCCAAATTTTAATGGTGTGTGTGGGTGGTTGTCATTTATTTTGTGTCTTTTCTCCTGTTTTGCATTCCAGTTACAGACTATAGGGTAATATAATGATTTAGTCAAAGAGAAGGATTATCTTCGAACCAACGTAATCTGTTACACTGTTGCAAAAGGAAGAGAAAGAAATCAGAGTTTTTCCACCACGCCAGCTGCTCGTATTAAGCATCAGGTCACTGAATGTGAAGGAAGTCCTCCTGACGATACTGTTAGCTCTTCTGGGTGTAGATTTTAACAGTGGGGGTATCGGGAGGCAGTGGCGTAAACTGCAGCTCTCGCTGGTGTAAATGTAGTGGTGCCTCTGTCACGCTGTGGATGGTATTATGGGTCAACCTGATGTCCCCCTCTCTGGTGCATTTTGTGGCATTGGAAAGGGACCACTCTCTCAGCATTTCTTTCACTCGACCATCTAGTTTATATAGTTCGGTGCATGCAATAAAGATTTTACACATGGAAATGTCTTCTCCACAATAAATCCCTTAAATTCTTTCTTTGCACTAACTTCTCTTTCTGCCTTTTTCACCTCTGTCCGTCTTCCTGGCTTGAATGAAATTAGCCACACACTGAAGCAGGCAGAGCAATGCACAGTCTGATGCTAGACAGATCTCAAGTGGATTTTAGAAACAATTATGTGAATATACAGTATAACATTGTATCTTTGATAATGCCACATAATCTGAAATTATCATAAAAAATGACAACTAGGACAATTCAAGATTCCAATAATTAGTCTAAGTACAATCATGAAAGGTCCTTTGGTCCATCAGCAGAGCGCCAGTGGCACAGTTTAGAGGGGAAAAAACATTAAAAGCATAGAGTAGGGGTTTTCATTGCCTTGGCGGGCCCATAAATATGTCATTTTCTGTTCCTGGCTTCCTGTCCAGACAGAGGCTGCAGCTCCTGTGCTTCTGGTTGGGGGCTGTTCTCATCAGAAAACATGGAGGGAAGGGGAGTCAGAGAGGCATCCAGACACACCGGGAACCAGTGGGCAGATAAAGGGATGAACGTGGACTAGGGGGAATTTGTAGATTAGATGGAGTTAGATGAAAGGATAGAAGTGGAGGGATGTTCAAGGAAGATGAGGTGGATTTGGTGGGAACTTGTTTTTTTTGGGACATGTTACCTACTTGATATGTTTTAAGCTACATTAGATTCAAGTCCTGCTAATATAGCATTTACATGAGTTAATGGATAAGGATTACTGAAAGGCTTACTAGGACACATTTCACTCCTTTATTTCTCTTCTCTTGATCACTCCTTTATTTCCCTTCTCTTGACCACCCACCTCTTCAAATCTTTTGCTGGGAAAACGGCCAGTTTGAAGGTCACTATGTGGGGTAAGTGTCCTCTTTTGTAGCTGTGTTTGTGTGGCTACTCAACTTTATGTTGTGTGTTAAAATTATTCTGGTGTCAGTATCAAATTCCCATGCTGTCTTTGCCAAATAACATTTTGAACAGTTTAGGTCCTTTAGGGGAAATATAATTTGTTGTTGTTTTTAATGGATCAAATGTCATGTTTGCCAATTTAGTGAATATAGTGCTCAAACTCCATGCAGACAATATTTTGCTTTACAAATCATGCATTGTGTGATGTAGTGTGATGAAGTACGCCTATGCCAAGAAAAACTGTCAGCCTGCAACTAAACTAGTGGTTGTGATTAATACATGATCTCTGAGACAACTACCTCTGTGAAGGGGGTTAGAGAGAGCCCAGAGCAACATCCGAGCACTGAAAGGAGCTGGTTCACCAGTGACTCACAAGAACAGGAAGTGGTGGTTTTCATGGAGACAGGTTTCAATACTTGCTGTCACATTTCCATTCTGTCACTGCACAGCAATGAGCCTGGTTACAGGACATCTGTAGTTTGCACAGAAATGAGCCTGGTTACAGGAGGTCTGTAGTTTGCACACATAGCAATGATGCTGGTTACACGAGGTCTGTAGTTTACACTGTAACTCTCCCAAGCACCAGACGCTCTCCATTATCAGACTCCAGACATCTAGCATCTACCATAGAAGGACATATCTGAGACACCACCATTCCACTTAAATATTACTCAGCACCTCAGACACTTCTGTTGATAATTCTATGTCTAACCCACTTCAACTATCATATGAGAGAGTGGGCCTTTGGAAACTTTGATATTTTCCAAAGTATGATGTGGACTGTGATTTTTTTTGGGGGGGGATGTAATGAATTATCTACTATTGTGTGGATAAATGTCTGCTGAGTGTAGTTCTCTGAATTTCACATTCTTAGAGCACAAACTACATTTCATCTTGATGTTCTGGTGCCGTTTCGGCAATTTAAAGTATTGATTGGGGACTTTTTTCTGGAGGAATGTAACTGTGTTTCTGGGTGATTTGTGATGTTTTATTTGTGCATCCCATGATTGTATTTTTGTATTTTAATGTGTAAATGTTTGAGTGTAATGTGTATATTTATGTTGTAAATATACAGGGCACATTTGTAAAAAAGACCTAGGTCTCAATATGTTTTTCCTTAAAATTAATAAATACAAAATAAAAACTGTCCATAAATGCACTGCAAATTGAATCATATTATCCCCTAAACAATTTCAAATGAGGGAAAGGTAACAAACCATCTAGGCATCTCTGGGCTTGTCAGTTTCACACTTGAGTCAGTGTGAAAAACGCAACTTCTGCAGAACAGTGCACATTTCCTGTTTCTTCATATCAGGTTGAGAGCCCTGTTGTGCTTCTACCATCAGCTCGTCAAGGCATGCCAGCATGTGCTTAACTCCAGCATCACCAATTTGAGCCTTATATCCTTCCACGTCTTCTACTACGCTTCCCCATCAGTGAGGTAAGACTTAAGAATTACTGACAGTAGGTGCCTGCGACAATAGAGAGGTTTTGAATACTGGATGTTGTGTGTAAAATGAGCCTTTTTCATTGGTTCCAGAGTTTGAAGATTTTTGCTTTTCTTGAGGTGCCTCAGATTTGTTTTATTCTTTAAATTATTAATTTTTATTTTTGATGTAAAGTATGTAAAGTCAATGTAAAGATTGATCAAAGTAGTTATATGTACTTTAAGTCGCATTATAAAGCCTATGATACCTTTGAGTTCCTGTTTCATCCGTTACATGGGTGTGGTGCTAATTATGAGTAACATATTGTTTCACCATGTCATGCTGACGATGTCACCACCCACAGTGGCATGTCGCTTTGTCACAAACAACGGTTTCCTAAGGCCAGTTAGAACATCCATTAGTTGCTCTGCATGTCAGCATTGATAGTCTGCTTCCTGACGCCCCTGCCATATAGCAACAGATCTATGGATATCATTTGATATCCAATCGCATACCACATTCAAGCAGTAATGTGTGTACTGATTTCTCATTTCAGAGTTGGCACCATGATGTCATGGTCCAACAAGGTGTATCCTGTTCTGTTGTGGAGCCTGTTTCTGTTGTCTTCTGAGGGATCTCAGAACCTCCCACTCACAGAAGACAGAGGCAGTAAATCCACTGCACCGCCCCTGGCCTCCACAGAGTCAACCAGGCCTCTGACTTCTCCTTACACACTGGCTCATCATGGCCCAGACAGTATCTTTACACCAAGACCCTCAGAGTTCACAAACAGCTCTACTATCATGGCCTCTGTTACCCAGGAATCATTTGATAAACATGGCGATATGAGCATCAATACAGCAGCAACACAAAAGAGCGGTTCTTCTATGGTGGAAAACCATGAAGTGATGTACAACAGCAGTACCCAGAGCAACTCACTTGCCCCTGGGTTAGGCACAACAACATCTCACCTCCCCACCGACCAACCCACCAGCCAGACGTCCTCTTCCCATGGGACATCTAGCAGATCTGACGTCTTGTCTCTTGGGTCTAACTCCACCACCACTCCCAGCTCTACATCCATCACAGGACCCTCCTTCTCTGGACCACTCTCCACCACAGGGCATAGCTCCTCTACCAATGAGTCATCCTCTGCCACCTCCACCATGGGGCCCTTATCCATCTCTGACCTCAACACAATCACTGAACTTAACACCACATCTGAGGTGTCCTCCACCACTGGGCCCTCCTCCACCTCTGGACCTTTCTCCAACATTGTCTCATCCTCCACCCCAGGGCCTAGCTCTACCAATGTCTCATCCTCCACCCCAGGGCCTAGCTCTACCAATGTCTCATCCTCCACCCCAGGGCCTAGCTCTACCAATGTCTCATCCTCCACCCCAGGGCCTAGCTCTACCAATGTCTCATCCTCCACCCCAGGGCCTAGCTCCACCAATGTCTCATTCTCCACCCCAGGGCCTAGCTCTACCAATGTCTCATCCTCCACCCCAGGGCATAGCTCCACCAATGTCTCATCCTCCACCCCAGGGCCTAGCTCTACCAATGTCTCATCCTCCACCCCAGGGCCTATCTCTACCAATGTCTCATCCTCCACCAATGACTCATTCTCCACCCCAGGGCCTAGCTCTACCAATGTCTCATCCTCCACCCCAGGGCCTAGCTCCACCAATGTCTCATCCTCCACCCCAGGGCCTAGCTCTACCAATGTCTCATTCTCCACCCCAGGGCCTAGCTCTACCAATGTCTCATCCTCCACCAATGAGACTTTCTCAACCACTTCTCTACCCATCTCCACCACTGACAATTCTACCAACTCCTCTTCTGGGGTCCTGATATCCAAGATTAACACAAAGAAGTTCCCCATCTTGACCACCAAGACAACGACCACCATGACAACGTCACTTTCTAAAAAAGACGTTGATCCATCAGGGGGAGGGGGTCTGCCCTGCTCTCCTACCCGACGGGATGGTCTGGTGAGCCAGTGTCTGATTGCCATTGCCTCCCTGGCTGCAGTGGCCACCTTCTTCATGGTCAGCTGCATCATCCTCTGCACCAAGTACTCCTCCAGGAAGCACCGCTACAGAGTGGGCACAAACCATCGGGGCACAGAGATGGTGTGTATCTCTGCCCTGCTCCACGATGACAATGATCCCCATTGGAGACGCCACATCCCCAAGAGCAATGGAGCCCTGCTGCATGGAACAGAGTTGGATAGTGACGAGGAGGGGGGAGATGATGTAACCCTCCACAGCTTCCTCCCAGACAATGAGCAACGACCAGAGTCTAGAGTCTAGATATGCAGACAGTGTCAGACTGTGTCACACTGTGTGAAGTGCTATATGGTCCAATTACACAGGGTACACAACTCCAAGCCTGAAGGTTAATGGTTATCCCAGCCATCTTAAAGTTTATCAAGGGTAAGGATTAAAAACAGAGACTGTGGGGGGCGTGTAAAACCTTTGTAGTTTTACTGCTTACTCTGGGGTAGATGAGGACTTTTTTTCATTTGATGAGACTTTGAATTGCACATCTGACTGGTCGACTGCTATCAATATACAAACTGTTGCTCTTAGAATATATTTCAGCTTCCTCTTTGAAGTTGTTGGTTGGGCCTCGCTGCACATCCATCTACAGCAACCAGTAGAGGAAGAGACACAAACCACAAATGGAGAACCAATGATACGTTACTTTGTTGTGAGGTGTTTACAGCAAATAGTGACCAAGTTTGGAAAAGTCAGGTGGTCAATCATCCTCAAACGTAATGCAACCCAATGCAGCCTCTGAGTAGTTCTGAGTGAGATTGAGTTTTTGCACCATTGCACTGACATGATTCTGTTAATAGTGAAGTTCCCCTAACAGGATGAGAACAGTGATGTAAAAAAGGTTTGTTACACGGACAGTTTACTAGAGATATTTAGGATTCTATAATTGATTTATAGACCTGGAATTAAAGTTCATGTTATTTTTAAAGAGAATCGTTCCCGCACATACACACTTACAGAGCTATAAAAAAACCTGGACTGCTTATGATGACTCACTGTTCGTTTTGTCACTGGGTGCATGGAGCTATTTTGAGTTTTACGTGGTCAGAATGTTATAGCCTTCAATGTTCTGAGTGGAAATACATGATTAAAAAAAAAATATATATATATATACATTTATATATATATATATATATATATATATATATACATTTATATATATAAAGTACCAGTCAAAGGTTTGGACACACCTACTCATTCCAGGGTTTTTCTTTATTTTTACTATTTTCTACATTGTAGAATAATAGTGAAGACATCAAAACCATTAAATAACACATATGGAATCATATAGTAACCAACAAAGTGTTAAACAAATCAAAAAATATTTTATATTTTAGATTCTTCAAAGTAGCCCTTCCTTTACCTTGATGACAGCTTTGCACACTCTTGGCATTCTCTCAACCAGCTTCACCTGGAATGCTTTTCCAACAGTCTTGAAGGAGTTCCCACATATGCTGAGCACTTGTTAGCTGCTTTTCCTTCACTCTGTGGTCCAACTCATCCCAAACCATCTCAATTGGGTTGAGGTCAAGTGATTGTGGAGGCCAGGTCATCTGATGCAGCACTCCATCACTCTCCTTCTTGGTCAAGTAGCCCTTACACAGCCTGGAGGTGTGTTTCGGGTCATTGTCCTGTTGAAAAACAAATGAAAGTCCCACTAAACGCAAACCAGATGGGATGGCGTATCACTGCAGAATGCTGTGGTAGCCATGCTGGTTAAGTGTGCCTTGAATTCCAAATAAATCACTGATAGTGTCACCAGCAAAGCACCCCCACACCATCACACCTCCTCCTCCATGCTTCACGGTGGAAACCACACATGCGGAGATCATCCGTTCACCTACTCTGTGTCTCAGAAAGACACGGCGGTTGGAACCAAAAATCTCAAATTTGGACTCATCAGACCAAAGGACAGATTTCCACCGGTCTTATGTCCATTGCTCCTGTTTCTTGGCCCAAGCAAGTCTCTTCTTCTTATTGGTGTCCTTTAGTAGTGGTTTCTTTGCAGCAATTCGACCATGAAGGCCTGATTCACGCAGTCTCCTCTGAACAGTTGATGTTGAGATGTGCCTGTTACTTGAACTCTGTGAAGCATTTATTTGGGCTGCAATCTGAGGTGCAGTTATTCTAATGAATTTATCCTCTGCAGCAGAGGTAACTCTGGGTCTTCCTTTCCTGTGGCAGTCCTCATGAGAGCCAGTTTCATCATAGCGCTTGATGGTTTTTGTGACTGCACTTGAAGAAACTTTCAAAGTTCTTGACATTTTCCGTATTGACTGACCTTCATGTCTTAAAGTAATGATGGACTGTTGTTTCTCTTTGCTTATTTGAGCTGTTCTTGCCATATTATGGACTTGGTCTTTTACCAAACAGGGCTATCTTCTGTATACCCCCCTACCTTGTCACAACACAACTGATTAGCTCAAACGCATTAAGAAGGAAAGAAATTCCACAAATTAACTTTTAACAAGGCACACCTGTTAATTGAAATGCATTCCAGGTGACTACCTCATGAAGCTGGTTGAGAGAATGCCAAGAGTGTGCAAAGCTGTCATCAAGGCAAAGGGTGGCTACTTTGAAGACTCTAAAATATAACATATATTTTGATTTGTTTAACACTTTGTTGGTTACTACATGATTCCATAAGTGTTATTTCATAGTTTTGATGTCTTCACTATTATTCTACAATGTAGAAAATAGTAAAAATAAAGAAAAACCCTGGAATGAGTAGGTGTGTCCAAACTTTTGACTGGTACTGTATATATATTGTGCAAACCACTCATAATTTCTCTTTATACATGCTTCAGAAAATATGTATCCTTGCGAGCAATTTTATTTATTTGTTTTCTGCAGAAAAGCTTGTTCTTGTGGAAGTCTTGTTAGGTCTTGATAACAAAACCATCTGCCTTGATGTACAGTGAGCCAAAACATAAACTGTATGAAGTACATCAAATATGGTCAGGATCAGACGAATGTGTGATGAAATGTCCTTTACAATATGTTAAATAAGTCTGTAACCTTCTGTATTGAGTGTCTGTGTAGAAAGTCCCAGACGTTCAGCAGATGTTTTTTGTGTCCTTGTATTGCCATAATAAGTCATAATACAAAGATATCATTGCTAAACCCAGACCCCCCTTCAAACCTCTCAAGCCCTCAGATGTTTGACTTCATGAAAAGCTTTTCTTTTTTAATTTTTCCTAGAGACACCACATGTCCAGTCAAACACAATGAAGAGGCTGCACAATTTAACTGAAAAGTGATCACAAAGGACTGGAACAAATGAATAGATCATAACAAAACTGTAAAGAAATGACAAAGTGATATTAAACAAAGGGCAGCTGGCTAATGACTGTGTCTGTGGTGATTCAAGCCAGGTGGCATTTCAGTTTTTCAAACATGGACCCTCTAGATTTGTCACTATAAAACTATACCCTATGGTTTGTAATATGCGCCGATATTTCCCTTTGTTTTACTATGTACTCATAATAAGTAGATAACACAAGCAAGCAGACCAAATAAAAAGGCTGGTTTATTTTTTACATGCTTTCAAGGCCCCTTTCTAACATCAATATCAAAGTTATTTCTTTGCAGAAGCAGAGATTTACATCTCAGTCCACATGCTTCATACACATCAACAGGCTGTATATTATAAAACTAGAATCACATTTTCATGCCAGGGAAAGCTGACTCTGAGGGATGTTGACAGAGATTATAAGACAAATGGAATCATAGACCTGACACTAGACTAGAGTATGTACTCTGTAACCACCTCACTATCATTATGACCAAATAAAGGTTGGCTAGTCTTGATGAATCATCTCAAACATTCTGAGCTGTAGCTGTAGCTGTGTTTAATCTATACACAGTCATATCTCTCTGCGTGTGCACACACACACGCACGCATGCACACACACACACACACACACACACACATTCTCATTCTCTCTCTCTCTCTCTCTCTCGCTTGCTAGTTCTTTCTCTCTCTTAATTGTGGCTCCACATTGCGCGTGTTTAACTATTGTGATGGAAATTGTTATGTTTGTGCTTTTATAATAACCCATTTCTGTGTTCTGTTTGTGCTTTTATAATAACCAATTTCTGTGTTCATGCAAGTGACTGATTGAACGACTGGGAGAAATCCTCACTGTAGTATATGTAATTTGGCAGTACGCTTAGACCCTTGTTTTGAGAACGATTCCATCACACTATACTCCATAGAACACCCTGCTCATTGTTTTTGGCAAGGCCCTCAGCACGTGCCCCAACACCCCTACCCTCTTATTGGTGGTATGTCCACACAGAAAAGATTAACCCCTTCCTGTGAAAGACAATCACACTGTGGAGCTGCATGTCTGTTAACGTGGCTGGTCTGCTGTAAGTCATTAGGGTGTCAGAGGTACAGTGTGCCATAACTTTTGCCATAACTATAACCACTTGGGATCGTCACTATACTCTTAGAAAAAAGAGTTCCAAAAGGGTTCTTTGGCTGTCCCCATAGGAGAACCCTTTTTGGTTCCAGGTAGAACCATTTTGGGTTCCATGTAGAACCCTCTGTGAAAAGGATTCTACATGGAACCCAAAACAGTTATACTTGGAACCAAAAGGGTTCTACCTGTAATCAACAATGGTTATTCAAAGGGTTCTCCTATGGGGACAGCCGAAGAACCCTTTTAGGTTCTAGATATAGATAGCCCCTATCTAGAACCTAAAAGTGTAGCTTCGGTGTGGAGAATGTGTATAATATGGGAGAGTGAGTAAGGTACAGTATGTGACAGAATAAGGTATGTGACAGAGTAAGGTATGTGACAGAGTAAGGTATGTGACAGAATAAGGTATGTGACAGAATAAGGTATGTGACAGAGTAAGGTATGTGACAGAATAAGGTATGTGACAGAATAAGGTATGTGACAGAGTAAGGTATGTGACAGAATAAAGTATGTGACAGAGTAAGGTATGTGACAGAAGAAGGTATGTGACAGAAGAAGGTATGTGACAGAGTAAGTGCAAGTGAATTCAATAAATTCCGAAAGGCCTTGATAGAGTTATTGTTTAGGAGGCCCAAAATGTTTCAGAGGGTTAAGTGCATGTAAGACGACAGAGGGAGTAAGCCAAGTGACAAACAATTTATCCAATAAAATGTCTGCGGTTTGTCAAGTCGCTGTCCGCAGTTAAAACCCAGAGCGGTGATTTTCTCCTCACTCTGAGCTCAGCCAGCCTGCTGCAGTGTTGACTCTGGCCTTGAGCATCCAGAA